CTGTCGAGATAGCTCCCTCTGAGGTATGACTGAGGAGGTAAGGAGTCAATACAGGCCCAGACGTTAGATACTACGACGCGTCGATACTATCTGACGCGTGTTATCGTCCTTACAATATGTATTTCCGTGTGGTCTCTCAGAGCTCGTTCCTGGGCCTTTGGTATCCAGACGCACTCTACAGGCTGGATAGACCAATGGTGATTGATTTGTCGAAGGGATGCGGGAGATGGATCATAAATCACGACGCGTCCGCCAAAACATCATGTCAATCCAGAAATTCCAACGTCAGCGTTTCTCAGGCGCTTGCGCCCATCTTCTCTTGCAATGGCGCTATCTGTCGTCAACCTCGTGCAGCCGATAGTTTTTCTGCTATCTGCGCGGTGCTTTCCAGTCTTTCGGAATAGCGTATCGAGTTCATAGCAGGACGTTCTCTATTCATAACACGATATGCAGCAATGAGAAACATGTGCCCAAACCAAGTATCCGTGCTCTTCCTACCGAGCATTTTCTAATTCTTCTCACAGGACGGCTCTTCTACTAGCATAGGTTTCGCTGTTCTCTCGCTAACGCTACAAAATCCCTTCTTCTTCCTTCCCTTCTCAAATGTATGAGGGGGAACGAGTTTACTTGCCCTCGAACATCTTCTTGATGGCCTCGGTAGAGTAAGACTTTGGTCGCTCGAGAGGCATCTGTTGTTTGATCAGCTGATGATTCTTGGAGTGGATAGGACTGGACGTACACCAAGAGCTCGGTCCCAGATCAACTGAGAAACAACACCGAAGGCTCGGGAGACACCGAAGAGGACGGTGTAGAAGTCCTGCTGGTGGAGACCGTAGTGGGTAAGGAGAGCACCAGAGTGGGCATCCACGTTGGGCCAGGGGTCTATTATCAAGTCAGCTTGATAACAAATCAAAGAGGGACAAAGACTTACTCTTGGCCTTACCGGCCTCGAGGAGAATGTTGGGGACGACCTTGTAGATCTGGCCAACGAGCTTAAACAAGGGGTCGTCGGGGAGGTGCTTGAGGGCAAACTCTCGCTGGGCGGTGTATCGGGGGTCGGTCTTTCGGAGGACGGCGTGACCGTAACCGGGGACGACCTGTCCACCCTTGAGAGTAGACCAGACGTACTCGGCGACCTTCTCGTCGGAAGCGTCTTCGCCGATCTGGCTCCTCATCTTCTGGAGCCACCTGAGGACTTCCTGGTTGGCGAGACCGTGCAAGGGACCGGCAAGACCGTTCAAGGAAGCGGCAAAGGCAAGGAAGGGGTCGGAAAGGGCGGAACCGACCAAGTGACCAGTGTGGGCAGACACGTTACCACCCTCGTGGTCAGAGTGGATGGTGACGTAGAGCCTCATGAGCTCGACAAAGTCGGCGTTGTCGCCGAAACCGAGGAGGGTAGCCAAGTTGGCAGAGTAGTCCTTGGTGGGGTCGATGGCGGGGACCTTGCCGTCACCGTAGACGTTTCGGAAGATTCGGCCAGCGATGTTGGGGAGCTTGGCGATGAGGTCCATAGAGTCATCGAAGGTGGTCTTCCAGTACTCTCGCTTGTTGACACCGTCAGAGTAGGCCTTGGCAAAGGCAGAGTCGTGGTTAAGCTGCGCGACGCGTTAGTAACCGCTTCTTCGACCGAGAAAACGCGCGAAAGAAGACGTACAGCGTTAACAGCGATGGAGAACTGAGTCATGGGATGGAGAGTGTTGGGGCATCGGTCGATCAACTCCTCGACAAACTTGGGGATGGAAGCCCTAGCGGCCCACTCCTGGGAAAGACCCTTGACCTGCTCGTCGGTGGGCACCTCACCGGTCAAAAGCAACCAGAAAAGGGCCTCGGGGAGGGGCTCGGTACCGCCGGGGGCGGTGGGGAGCTGCTGCTGGCACTCGGGGATGGTAAGACCCCTGAATCGGATACCCTCGTTGGGGTCGAGGACGGAGCCTTCCCAGATAAGACCCTTGATACCTCGCATACCACCGTAGGCCATGTCGACAGAGACCTCGCCGAGGGGCTTGCTGCCGTGGGCGGCACGGACAGCCTTGACATTCTCAATCTCCTTGGGGATGAGCTCGGCCATGCGGTCCTTGAGGGACTGGACCTGCGCGGCAGGGGTGGAAGCAAAGTTCCTCACGAGGGGAGAACGGAGCTGGGGCTGTCAGCGGCGGTCGCCGAGTCGGGGATGGGCTCACCTGGGAGCGGAGGGCAGTTCTGGAAGCGAGGAAGGACATTTTGGGCGGTGCTTGGGAGAAAAGAAGAAGAGAAATGGGTGGGGAATATAAACCGTCCTAGATACCAACGGGATCAAAAAAGGGCTCGGAATATCGGCAATTACTCGGGCGGGTACCCGCATTGCACATTGTTGGCCAATGGGACGACGTGGGTTCGGCACGAGTAACCGGCTTACGTAAACCGCTGATGACACACTTTTTGCAGCTCGGCTTCTGCGACTTTCTGCACCGTATACATCAAGCATGGTCGCAGACTCGGCATACTACGACCTCCTGGGCGTTGGCGTGGAGGCGACGGAGGGCGAGATTAAAAAGGCGTACAAGAAGAAGGCCATGCAGCACCATCCTGTGCGTACCCTCTAGACTCCGGACGGCACGGCGCTCATCTTTCATAGGACAAGGCAAGTCGTCTCGATGTGATTGGGTGGGGCGTACTAACTGCAGGGATAGAATCCGGATAATCCAGAAGCCCACGAGACCTTTCAAAAGATCGGCCAGGCCTACGAAACGTTATCGAACCCAAACGACGTCCGTCTCTCTCCTAGTCTCGACTAGTCCAAGTGCTAATGTTTGGTTCCCTCTCTACCGCTTTCTCACGACATTGCTTCGCTTGGAAACGATACACAGCGCGCGACTTATGATCAATATGGGCCAGATGGACCTCGTGGCGGAGGGGGAGGCGGTGAATACGACATGGACGACCTCTTCAATGCCATGTTTGGCGGCGGCGGCGGTTTCGATGGGTATGACGACTTTGGCGGTGGTTTCGGTGGCGGCTCCCACTGGTCCTCTGGTGGCCCTCGACGCAAGCCTGCGAAAGGTAGAGATACCACCGTGCCCTACGACATGTCACTGGAGGAGGTGTTCAAGGGAAAGAAGGTGGTCATGAACTTGGAGAGGGACCGGATTTGTAAGGGGTGCACGGGAAGTGGAGCGAGGGCGGGTGTCAAGCCGAAGGAGTGTTCAAAGTGTGAAGGAAAGGGAGAAGTGTTTACCGACCGGATGGTGCGTCTTCCTCCCTCATGCTCCTACAGCCTACTGACGCAAGAACAGCTCGCCCCAGGTCTCGTCGGCAAGATGAAGACGCCTTGTCCCGATTGTCACGGCGCCGGCACGAAACTGCGCGACAAGGAGAAATGCAAGAAATGTAAAGGTTCCAGGGTACAGAAGGAGAAGAAAAGGGTAGATTTTGAGATCGAGGCCGGCGTGGAGGACGGAGAACGGATAGCGCTAAGAGGCGAGGGCGATGAAGAAGTGAGTCTCCCCTCGACGACATATCTCGGCATATGCTGACGACCGCAGCCCGACGTACCAGCAGGCGATGTCATCTTCCTCATCCACCACCTCCCCCACCCCTCCTTCCGACCCCAACCCCACTCCCCCGGCTCCCTCCAAATCCTCCTCTCCATCCGTCTCTCCGAAGCCCTTCTCGGCTTCTCCCGCGTCCTTTTCATCCACCTCGACGGCTCCGGCGTGCACATCACCTCTAAAAAGGGCGAACGCATCATCAAATCGGGGTCGATCTGGAGGATTGAGGGAGAAGGTCTGCCGATTAGGGGAAGTTGGGGGAAGAGGAGGGGGGATGTGTATGTTAGGTTTGAGATTGAGTATCCGGATGAGGAATGGGCGAGGAAGCAGGGAGATGGGGAGTTGGTGGAGTTGCCGGGGAGAAAGCCGGATTTGCCTATCGACAAGGAGAAGGTAGTGTATAGGCAGCTTTCGGCAAAGCCTGTCAACTAGAGTCATCGGGAATTGAAAGTGCATTAGATCATCTGTTCATACAATTATACACATACTTTGCATGTCACATCTCAGCATCTTCAGCCTTTGTTTCGACCTCCCCACCTTCTACCTCCGCCCCTTCCACTGGCCTATGGTCGTCGGATTCTTCTTGACTTTCTGGATGGAGATGATCTTCATCTCAAAGACAGATTTTTTTGGCGGTTTGGATAGAGGATTTGATCATGACATAGGATCAAAAAAGCACTCTTTGGGGTCCTTATCATTATGATTTACCGGGGTACACCAAAAAAATAGTCTCCCCCAACTTTCTGCGGGCCAGTACCGGAAATCTCTCAAAGACCCAACCCAGCACTTCCTTGGTGTCAGGCTTGCTATCAACTCCCAGTATTGGTTACCAAATTTAGCCGAGGAGAGCATCGCCGAAATCGTTTCTTCGAGGGTGCGGATGTACCGCTTGCAAACACCATTGAGCTTGGGCATGTACAGAGTGGAACGTTGGTGGAACGTTGGTGGATAAGGACAACTCTTTGGTACCAAGCTTGCACCTCGTTGCTGAGGAACTCGGACCCATTGTCGGAACGGAGGAAACGGACCCTGTCATCGCACTGTCGTTCATTCCTTGCCACGAAGGCTTGGATGTGCTGGAGTACGTTGTTCTTACCGGGCAAAGGGAGGACTTGGGATATTTTTGAGAAATCCTCAATGAGTACTAGGGCATAGGTGTTCCCCGACTTGGAATTCGTGAATGGTCCAACGATTATCCATATGGATCATATTGCTAGGCGCTCTTCGTTGCTCGACTTGACTGGCGGTTTTTGGGCTGTTGTGCCGCCTTGTGTTTGCTGCAAGCAGGACAATCTGTCATCCGGAAGTCCTTGACTTGTTCTGCGTCGAGTGGGACCTGCGTGTAGCCGAGTTGAGAGTAGCCGAATTGGGAAAGGAGTAGGGAGTTTGCGGCCGTATGTCCCAAGCATAAAGTACGTGTTTGTTGTACACCGCGTTGCCGCCGCCAATAAAGTTGGCCTGTGTCCCAAAGTAGGCAGACACATAATGCAAATGATCTACACAGAACATCGCTATGTATGAATCCCCCTTCCCTTTTGTGTCATTCCATCACCCATCTCCTTATCTCCGTTGCCCCTCCCCTTCCCTCTGGCATCCTCTTCGGGTTCTTACAATCCCGCCCAATGTGACCCTTCTTGTCACACCTGTTACAGGTGTGTGTCTCCTTGATATACCCTCTGCCAGCATGCTGATCTCGTTGCACGCTGGCCACCACGACATCTCGCTCTCTGTCATCGACGTCTTTCTCGAAAATCTTCATACACGCAAGCCACGAAGGTGGGTTTGGCTTGGAGAGCAACTTTCGAAACTCTCGGTACTCGCCAACGAACGTCTGGTCGCGACGGGGGAGGGAGAGAATAAACAAGTCGCATCGGTCGACCTCGGTGAGTCTGGACTCGTTTCGCTTGGCGTCGGCCCACGTCTTGTTGAACGTCGTGAGGTGGTCGATCATCTCCGTGGCCGTTGGGTGATCGGTGAGTCGCATGGCCCGGAGGTTTCGCCCAGCTTGTCGAGTGAGTTCGCTCGTCTCGTTGGAGTCCAACGAGAACAACTCAATGAGGTAAGTCCACTTTTCAGCCGCCGTGTGTAGCCGCTGAACGTCTTGGTACAGATCCTCTGCGAGCGTCTGCAGAAGCACACCCTGCGCCGTCTCCTCTCGCTTACACTACTCTTTCCACTCTTCCTTCGAGGCCTGCTTCGCGGTGGTGCTACCGGTGAACTCTGGCATTACCGATCTTGCGCGTAACGTGCGTGGTGTTTCGTCTGCGTCGTCAAACGAAGGCGCAAGGTGTGCTTCTGAAGACGATTGCAGAGGATCTGTACCAAGACGTTCAGGGGTTACACACGGCGGCTGAAATGTGGACTTACCTCATTGAGTTGTTCTCGTTGGACTCCAACGCGACGAGCGAACTCACTCGTCAAGCCGAGCGAAACCTCCGGGCCATGCAGCTCACCGATCACCCGACGGCCGCGGAGATGACTGGATGAGCCGGCTTCGCAATCCCAGTCGACGTCGAAGAGCAAGGGCAAGGAGATGAAGGAGAGGAAGAGTGAGAGGAGGAGGAGCGAGCATGGGGTTCTGTCACCTTACGTAACCTCGCGCGTCATTCTATTACTGCCTGCCTGCTGCTGCACTGCCAACGAACCAAAACGAACAGAAGTCGAGAGTACCAATGGAGAATCGAGTGAGGGGACGGAAGCGAGACGTCAGTATGCATGTAACGGGCAGTTGTTATATGCGTTTCAGTCTGTAGTTACATGTACGCGCCCATCGAACTCTAGCCGACTTCAGAGCACTAAGATTTCCATACCTGCACTGTGATTGTCTTCTATGCCTTTGTCTTCTTCTTACTCGCCCCATGCTCACTCTCACTCTTTCTTTTCTTCATCTCCTTGCCCTTGCTATTCGACTTCGATTTGGATTGCGAAGCCGGCTCATCCACCTCCGTATCATTGCCATCACCCAACTCTTTCATCACCCTCGCCTCTTCCGTCTCATCCACATCCATCTCTTCGTCTGTCTGTTTCTTTGCCCTGGGCTTCTTCTTCCCTCTGACCTTCTTTGATTTGGCGTAGACTACTTGTGCTGGGACGATTTTCTCTAGCTCGGGGACGGGTTTTGTGGATAGTGTTATGGACATGTAGGGGTGATGTTTCATCTTAGGTCTATCGAGCTTTCGTCAGCGATTGCTCGAAGGCATAGAATAGCAAGCTTACCTGGACGACCCACCGAGGACTCTGCGCAAAGCAGCTTCTTGATCTTCTCCTTCTCCTATCACAGGCTCGGGCGTCCAATTACCCGTCTCGGTATACTGCCACAACCCTCTCCCAGTTACCTCCTTCCCCTCTCCCTCCTCCTCCCCTTTCCCCTTCCCCTTACCCTTTCCCTTCTTGTCCACCTTTTTCCCTCGACCAGATAAAAGACTCTCGATATATTCCCGCTTGACGCGTTCGACGACGGTGACGAGTTTTGGGATGGTAGTTGTCACTGGCAGCAGACCGTTCTTTGCTTTTGGAGTTGGTTTGGATGATGATGATCCTGGTCCTATTGACGAAGATGAGGTAGAAGGTGGTGGTGGAAGGGTGTGGTATACTATCGGCACATCGGGCACATCCTGCAAATATCATAAGTCTTCGTCCCTCGCACCCGCTCCTCGAACTTCGCGAAGGGTGGGCTCACAAGCAACCATTGTAAACCAAACTGCGCGTAGTTCCCACCCTTACCAGCACTTGTGATACGGATTTTGTGCACTGGGAAGCCGTGCCCAGAATCTTCCGTGTGAAGTCGTACAGCGCCGAGTAGAGAGGTTCTTGTCGGTTTGGGATTGTTGACGGGTTTTTGTTGATCTTGTTCGGGCGGCTCTTTTTGGATCTTGCTCGGGCTCGTTTGCGGGATGCCTTGGGCCATGGTACTGAGATGGTCGTAGTGTAGAGGAAGACTTCAATGCGCGATGATTGTAGATGGAGACTGGAAAGGGCAGTGGACAGCAGAAAATCGCGTCGAGCAGACTTTTTATTTGTTCAGACCATTTACCGCCGAGATGGCCGACGGCCTGGCCCAACTTGCATGAGGCGGGAGAGGTGAGATGCTCGCTATCTGAGGCCCTCCCTCCACCATCCTCCCATCAGCCGCCATAGGTCTTTCTCTTGACTCCAATGGCCCACACTCTCTCGTCCTGCAAGTAGACATCCTGCGGTAGAGGGGCTTGCATTGTCACATATTGGGCGGAATACCGGATCGCTACCTGACAAAAACTCGAGAGCCTGCAAATTATCGCAGGCGGCCCAACATTTAATGTACTATTAGTAAACAACAACCGGGGAGATTGGGATTACAATTGTATTATGAAAGCTTTTTCGGGATACTTTGATGCCAGTTTTGGAAAAAGAGATCTCTTCACTTTCCGTTTTTGGAGGACATGCCAATTGTATATTCCGATTTTCAAGGCAAAACATGATATCCAGCCGTTTCAAGAATAGAACGGTTTTACCCTTCCCTTACTGGGCACCAGCAGTGTTCTCCTGTCCCCGTTCGGATACTGGCAGTATTCTTTTGTCATTTTCGGGTAATACATAATAAACGTATGTCTCTCTTCTACGGGTTCTGCCATTTTATCTCTTCTGCCACTTTCGGAAATATCCTATATCTAATGTCGGTGTTGATGCTTTGCGCATTCCATTCCCACACACTGCCCTACATCCCCTCACCATGGCCGAGCCCGAATTCCACTCAGCGCCTCCACTTAAGAAGAGAAAGATCGGCACTTGTTCCAAGCCGAGTATAAGTCCGGTACGCCTCATCACTCTCCTCCCGCGCATCTCTTACAACCCTCGCCAGTCTATGACCTCACCGATCAGGCCGATATTGAACGATTTCATAAGAGTAGGAAGGATAAAAGGGAGAAGGCTAGGGGGAAGGAGAACACATCTGGGCGCCCTTCTGACCCCTCCGCGAGAGGATCGTCGCTGTTCCAGATAACCTCCAAGCAGCATGTGAGTGTATCCAGGCAGTGGAATTGTGTGACGGCACATCTGACGTGCTACCAGTAGCATCGTCTGCGTCTCATCCCTTGCCCGACTTGTCTACTGCCTGGATACACTCACATGCTGCTTGGAGGTTATCTGGAACAGCGACGGATCCTCTCGCGGAGGGGTCAGAAGGGCGCCCGGATGTGTTCTCCTTCCCCCTAGCCTTCTCCCTTTTATCCTTCCTACTCTTATGAAATCGTTCAATATCGGCCTGATCGGTGAGGTCATAGACTGGCGAGGGTTGTAAGAGATGCGTGGGAGGAGAGTGATGAGGCGTACCGGACTTATACTCGCCCTGGTGATTCTTATGGGGAGTCTCCTCGGTACATTCCGGTTTGAGACAAGTGCCGATCATGGCCAAACTAAAGTCTGCTCTTCGTCATTCCAACCATGACGCAGCTATCAAAGCGGCAACATCCTAAAGAAACAGTGGGTCAGTGAATCAATGATATCTACTCTCGTTCTTGATCAAAGAGTGATGATTGCTTGGCTTCACAAATAGGGGGTGGATGCGTCAGAGACGAGAAGGGAAGGAGTTAGAACAAGTCCATGTTTGGCGAAGTGTGTGGATGAGTTGCACGCCTTGTAGCGGTGGACCAGCGAGCTGCACTGACTATACTTTTGCCAGGATCTTTCTTGCTTGACGGCGGAAGGGTGGAAGATCAGCGGGCCGGCTGTGTTTTTGTATGTCCTCAGAGCTTGTATTATTATCTGTCCCATGTATCATACATTTGAACAACAGCTGCAGTATACCAAGCTACTTGTACAAAGAGAAGCGGGAAGATGTTGTTCGTTGACAGATAGGACTATGTATCTAACAAGGGCATATGGCATCTGCTGGCTGGGCCCCGGGCCGGGTGTTATGTATCGTAAACCGTAAGTTCCGTGAATGGAGGAGTTGATTGACGCGCGCGCCTTTTCCTCCCTGCAGCAACAATAGCCACATAGGCGCACGGCGCGTAGAGGTCGATGGAACAAATGCCATTTTGCGCGTCGACCTCTCAAGCCGCCTCGACCTCGTCTTTCTCCAACAATAAAGCATCAAAATGTCGGTTGATCAGATCAACCCTGGACAGGCCGTGTACGCCCAAGACGAAGTGAGTGGAAAGACAGCCTCGAGGCGGATTGTCATGACAGGAATGGAAGGCTGACTTGGACCGTTTTGTAGAATGGGCGACCTTTTATCATTGTTCGGTAAGTCTATCATTCTGGGACTATCGACTTGCCAAGTCAGGAGGGGAGAGTGAGCGCCAAGAGTAGTTTGTGCTGAAGACAAGCCCGAATCTGAGGCATGAGCTTGAGCAGACAACCAAGACGTGTGGTGGTATTGTGATTATACTCCATTATATTGTATTCACACTAAGACTGCTCCCACTGGGGGCTTTATGGTTCTATCTCTTTATTATGATTACCACCACACGTCTACTATCTGTGCTCCCAGGAAAAACGAGGCAAGAAAGAGAGCTGACGAAGCCTGCAGTGAACAAGGCAAGAAAGTGAGAACTCATGGTCTCGAAGCTATCCGAGTACGTTCAAACCCAAGCGTCCTCCCCAAATGAGAGCTGACAACGACATACAGAGCCATATCCTCGCTGCCCGCTCTGTCACCAACATCATCAAATCCTCTCTTGGTCCCCGTGGTCTCGACAAGATCCTCATCTCCCCCGACGGCGACATCACCGTCACCAACGACGGTGCCACCATCCTCTCCCAAATGGAGGTCGAGCATCAAATCGCCAAGCTCCTTGTTGAAGTCTCAAAATCCCAGGACGACGAGATTGGAGACGGTACCACCGGTGTGGTGGTGTTGGCAGGCGCGTTGCTGAGCTCGGCGTTGAGCCTTTTGGACAGGGGAATACACCCGATCAGGATTGCGGATGGTTATGAGAAGGCGTGTGAGATTGCGGTGAACGAGTTGGATAGGGTGGCGGACAGGATTGAGTTTAGCAAGGAGGACACGTCGAATCTGATCAAGACTGCCAAAACCTCTCTTGGTTCCAAGATGTGAGTTTCTCCATCTCATATGCGGACAATATTGACGGACGCAGCGTCTCTATCGCCCACGAAAAGTTTGCCAACATCGCTGTCGACTCTGTCCTCTCTGTTGCCGACCTCGAGCGCCGCGATGTCGACTTTGAGCTTATCAAGGTCGACGGCAAGGTCGGTGGTTCCCTCGAGGACACTTCTCTCGTCCACGGTGTTGTCGTCGACAAGGACATGTCACACCCCCAGATGCCCACGACTGTTAGGGACGCCAAGATTGCTATCTTGACTTGTCCGTTTGAACCTCCTAGGCCCAAGACGAAACACAAGTTGGACATTGAGAGCGTCGAAGAGTACAAGAAACTGAGAGAATACGAGAAGGAGAAGTTCTTGGAGATGATCAAGAAGTGAGCCTTCTTTTTTGTCATTTTGAAATGTTACTAATGTATTATCAGGGTCAAGGACACTGGTGCCAACCTTGTCATCTGCCAATGGGGTTTCGACGACGAGGCCAACCACCTCCTCATGCAAAACGACCTCCCCGCTGTCCGATGGGTCGGCGGTCCCGAAATCGAGCTCATCGCCATTGCCACCAATGGTCGTATCGTGCCCCGTTTCGAGGACCTTTCCGCGGACAAGCTCGGTAAGGCTGGTATCGTCAGGGAGTTGACTTTCGGAACGACGAGGGATAAGATGTTGGTCATTGAGGAGTGCGCAAACTCGAGGGCTGTGACCGTGTTTGTCAGGGGTAGTAACAAGATGGTAAGTCTTTCTATCTTGATGTGGACGTGAGCTGATAAGAGTAGATCATCGACGAGGCCAAGCGAGCTTTGCACGATGCCATCTGTGTCGTCCGAAACATCGTTCGAGACAATCGTGTCGTCTACGGTGGTGGTGCCGCCGAGATCTGTGCTTCCGTCGCCGTGTCCAAGCGTGCCGATGAGATTCCTTCCATCGAGCAATACGCCATGCGTGCGTTTGCCCAGGCGTTGGATGCAATTCCTCTTGCGTTGGCGGAGAACTCTGGTTTGTCGCCGATTGACACTTTGGCGGATGTGAAGAGTAGGCAGGTGACGGAGGAGAACCCGAGGTTGGGTATTGACTGTATGGGACGGGGAGAGAATGGTGAGTCTATCTTCTTCGTCTTGTTGTTCCGGCTTGTGTGCTATCGACGGCACATGTTCTACCTCGAATGAGGATAGAGTATGCTCGCACCTTCCTTCCAGCTGTCGCTCAACCCTGCCATCTTGCAAGGGAAGTCAAGGTGCCAGCTGGAATAATCGTTAGCGCGAACCCCGCGGGGACACGCGAGCGGGGTCCCGGCGATGTCATTCAACGCGACTCCACTCTTCACTCTAGCCCCAAACGAGCCCCCTACCTTTTCTTTCTCAGCCCAACGATTCAATCAATCGAGTAGGAAACTGACATCATCCACGCAGACATGAAGACGCAACACGTCTACGACCCCCTGATCTCCAAGAGGCAGCAATTCCTCTTGGCTACCCAGGTAGTGAGGATGATCTTGCGAGTGGACGATGTGATAGATGCTTCTGCGTTCGAGGAGTAAAGAGAAGGGTAGCCGCTGTCATATGCATGATCTGGACTGTACAATAGAGCGGTTCCACGTAAAATCCAAAAATATAGAGGAAATAGGCGCAAGTGACGCATGCGGAGGTCCGCGTAATGCCGACCGGGAATGACGTACCGGGAGCCGCGCATTCGGTCCGTGGGATACCGTTCCCGACTATTTCAAGTTCTTTCCATCTCCATCTTTTGTCTTTTGCTTTTCCATCTTCTCTTTCTACTCCTGCACTGCCTACACCCACCCACCAACACAAACTACAACTATGGCCGCTCCCCAAGCTACTCTCGGTGCCGACATCGAGCCTCCCGCTACCGATCTCATCACCCTCACCAGGCATATCTTGTCCCAGCAGCGCGCTCTGGGCGTTGACGCCTCTGGCGACCTGACCTTGCTTCTTATTGCTATCCAGGTGCGTAGTGTTCTTCTTGGAGTTTGCCAGACGCAGAGAGAATTGTCCAAGAGGTCCGGGCTGATGATTCTTCCTTTGTGCGCTACTCCACTCGCTTTGTCCTTGTTCCTTTGTCCCCGTTCATCAATGCTACGCTTCATTCAACCTCCAGGTCACCTCAAAATACATTGCTACCAACGTCCGTAAAGCCCGTTTGATCAACCTCGTCGGTCTTGCCGGTGCCGAGAACGTCCAAGGCGAGGACCAGAAGAAGCTCGATGTGCTGTCCAACGACATTATGGTCAACGCTCTGAGGGCTTCTGGAAAGTGCAGTGTGATGGTCAGTGAGGAGGTTGAGGAAGCTATCATTGTCGGTGGCTCCAAGGGTACTTAGTGAGTCGTTTTTGATAGGATAAGAGATGCCGAAAGGCGGCACGGCACTCGTAATCTGTTAAACGAAGCTAACCCGCTCGTGCTTAGCTGTGTCGTGTTTGACCCCCTTGACGGTTCAAGTAACATTGACGCCGGTGTCAATGTCGGTACCATCTTTGGTATCTACAAGGTCGTACGTGTATCTCTACAACCCAATCATGGGCAAGGCTCACCTTTTCCACAGCAAGATGGTGCTAAGCCCTCCGTCAAGGACGTCCTCCGCCCCGGTAAGGATATGGTCGCTGCCGGTTACACCATGTACGGTTCTTCCTGTAACCTCGTCCTCTCCGCCGGCCAAGGTGTCGACGGCTTCACCCTTGACGAAGGTCTCGGAGAGTTCATCCTCACCCACCCTTCGATCCAAATCCCCAACCGCGGCAAGATCTACTCTTTCAACGAGGGTAACGCCCAGCACTTTTACCCCCCCACCAACGACTATTTGAATTCTATCAAGTTCCCTGAGAACAACAAGCCTTATAGTGCTAGGTACATTGGTTCGATGGTGGCCGATGTGCACAGGACTTTGCTGTATGGTGGTATCTTTGGTTACCCCGATGACAAGAAGAGCAAGGATGGTGCGTCTCTCTCCTCTTTTTGCCTCTTGACATTTGCTAACGTTTATATAGGTAAGCTGCGTATGCTCTACGAGGCCTTCCCCATGTCCTTCCTTACCGAACAAGCCGGTGGTGTCGCTACCACCGGTAAGGAACGTATCCTCGATGTCGTCCCCACCTCCATCCACGGCCGATGCCCCGTCTTCCTTGGTTCCAAGGACGACGTTGAAGACTTGAAAAAGTTTTACGTCGGCTACGAGAACCCCGAGAGGAACTGGTAAATCGCATGAAGCTGTAGGGGGTTAGGCAGAATGACTTGGATTTCTCTTTTGGGAATTTGTACTAGTTGAGTAACGAGAGGAAAGAAAGGAAACAGTGAGAAGTTGATCATAGACTGTACTTGTGAACATCATCATGCACCCGACATGACTATTGCTCCGTTTCTATGATTCGTCTTCTCCAACAATGGCACGGTGGCGGTTCTGGCATCAAGACGTTCATGATAATCGTAAAATAAAATGCAGATAAGGGTCCTTAAACAACCCAAACATCGCCCAAACAATCCCACTCTCGCTCAACAGTACCCTTCCGACCACTACCTCCCCTCGTCCTGTCCTCGGTTTCCCCCTTCTCACCATCGGCGTCATCATCATCAAACCGCAACACCCTCAATCCACCCAGCACGCCAACCCCAGTATCCCACCCCAAAAAGTCCCAGGACCATTCTACCGAGGCTTCCCAGTACTTTTTGCCCTCCTCTCCTTCTGTTGGTGTTGAGGGTTTGATCTCGGGGATCGGCCCGGGGATCGGGGTATTCTCGCCCTCGCTTTTGTCTGCTCCTTCTTCTTCGGCGTTTTCTGCTGAAACTGAAAGGTCGGGGGGAGGAGGAGCAGGCGCAGGCGCAAGTAAAGGTGGTGGAGGGATAGAAAACCAATCCACCACCTCCCTCACCTCTCCTTCTCCAACATCATCCAAGAACGTCAACGAATTACCCATATGATACACCTCCACCACCCTCGCTTCCTCTCCTGAAGCGGCTTTCCGACCTTGGCCTGAAGTGTGCGATTGCCCAGACCCGACCCGGGCCATGGCAGCTGCCACCCCCATCGCAGCTGGATAAGCCGCAGGCCTGTACGAATTAGAACTATTGAACGCAACATGCGGGGAGGGAGGCCAGGGGCTTCTTGTGCCCATTAACATTACATTCTCACCTCCCTGGGGCTCGGAAGAGCCATGAGGCTGTAGGAACTCGCGTTTCCCAGCTCCAGCTCCAGCTCCAGCGACCGACGTCGGCGTACCGGGCCGACTACTACCACCAGCAATAGTATTGTTATTGTTATTGATAAACCCCCCAACGGCAGACTTGAGTTCCGCCCTCAACGGCGTTATCGGGCGACTGCTGGTCGACCCTTGGCCTTGGGCAGTGGAGGCGGATGAAGGTGTGAATGGGCGGGCGGAGGGAGGTGGATGGGAGAGAGGTGTACTTGTACGGGGGAGGGATGGTGCGGAGATAGCTAATTGGGGGACGGTAGAATTGTGGGGGTGGGGGTGGGGGTGTGGTGGGGTGGGAGGGAGGAGGGGGGTGAGGTATTGGACAGCCAATCTCGGCAGGGCCGGTTTCTTTCCCGAGATCAAAGAAGCGTTTATAGCCTCCGCCGACCTTATCGACAACCTGAACTTGAGAGGGCAGGTGGTTTCCTTCTTCAGACCTCGTCTGTTGGAGAGCATGACGAGATCATATGTCCATTTCGTCTCTTCCCCATTGGCATCCGCGCTAGACGGGATGACAGGCAGAGGGTGTTCGGAAGAAGAAGAAGGATCGCGTCGGAGAGGGGAGGGAGACGCCGGTATGGGCGATGGTTGGTGGACTGGCAGTTTGCCTGGCGTTGCAGGCCCTGGAGCAGGTCCTTTCCCCGGTGGTTTCAGACTATCCCTCACCCCTGCTGTCAAAGCAGGAGCCGCAGGAAGCGAGGCCAAAGCCGGTGCTCTCCGATTCAACATTGACGTCAACAAGTTCCCCGGCGTATGATATGGCCCAGAGATCCACGAGATGGCCAATCGTCCGAGAGGCAGGATCTCGCCTGGCGCATGCGTCGGTGGAAACTTGGACACCTCTTGCCCCTTTTCCGTCTTCTGCGGGGGAGAGATGGGAGAAAGGACAAACAGGTATTGCCTGACATCCCCGACTTGGAGCTCTTCGCCCTCCAAGCCGAGGGCGTCCCCGCTGACCTTGTCCACCACCAGCCCTTCGACCGGCTGGAGCGCAACGGTGGAGAGGAGGAGGGATTCGGTGGGCGAGGTGTTTTGCATGAGCACTTCGAGGAAGGTTTGGTGCCGGAGAGAAGGGGAGAGGAGGGTGTTGGGGTGGGTGGGGGATTGGATACGGGTTTTGATACTCAACGGTGTGATTGCCTATACCTCCAAGTCAGCTCTCCATCTATTAGAAGAAGAAGAAGAGAAGACTTGCGTTGAATTTGAAGAATCTCTGAAACGTCTTGCGCCCATCCAACGTCTCCCACGCCACACTGACAATAACCACCCCAAGCCCCAGATCCTTCACCTCACTCTCCGCGCTCAACTCGACCCTCTCCCCAAACGCCAGCTCCGGAATCTCTTCCTCCCCCGGCTTCACAGGCTCCACCCGGTTCCTCTCTTCCTCTAGAGCCGAATCTGCCATGGACGGCTTGCCGTGGATGACTTCGCCCAGCCGGGTGCGGGTGGTGGGCGTTTGGAGTTCGAGCATCATCTTGACGCCGAGGACGGGGTAGCGCTGGCGGTGCGAGTTTTCGAGGGCTACCCTGCAGGCGAGCATGGAGCCGATGTGGATGGTGCCGAGGGGAGGGGGGTAGTTTGGGGTGGGGGAGAATGCGAAATCATCGGGAGGGGGCGGGGGCGGTAAGGGGATGGGCGGGATGGAGGATTCGGTCGGGGGCTGGGAGGTGGGGATGAGGGTGAGGGGGGTGAGCTGGAGGCTGGGGGTTGTCAGTGGGCGTGGTGGGGTGGAAGGGGCTTACATTCTGAGGGTGAGCGGCGCCGAGTCCATGGTTGGTGCAAGAGGTGGTGGTGAAAGCAAAGACTCGATGACCTCCACTTGTTGTTTACGCCCATGAGACTTGTTGCATTTACATCCACTTGTACAATTGTTTTCCTTAATACGAGAGAGACTACGGGAGACGCGATGGATACACTACAAATAACACTACAACCCCTGACCCCTGTTGAGCTGCTTGACCACCTGCCTGCTCTGCCTCTCCAACATCTGGAACGCATTCTCCAACTGGTCCTGGCTCACGCCAGTCTCGGACTGATGAGGGAAGCTGAGATCTTCGCTGATGTTGAGCTCGCCGGTACCGGTGAAGGGCGGGGTGGTGCCGTGGGTGGTGGCGTTCTGGCGGATGAACGTTTCGAGCGCGGCGATGCGGATCTTGTCTGTCTGCTGGGACTACGCGGCGCGTCAGCTTTTTGCATCTAGAGATGATGGGATGGAAAGCGTACCATGACGAGGTCCTTGATGACAGCATCCTTCTCTTGGCATTGCCTGAGCACGACCTGGAGCTGAGCAGACTCGGCTTCGAGCTTCTTCATGTGCTCTTCGCGACGACGGCGGAAAGCCTGCTGGGCGCGCTTGTTTTGCTCGGCGCGAGAGAGCTTGCCGGTGTCCCTACGCGTCGTCAGCACACAAACGCCAAGATGCAAGATGCTCGAGGAAAAGTACTCACACGGGGGGCTCGGGAGGAGGAGGAGGCGGTCCAACAGGTTCCTTCTCCTGCGCCGACGCCAAAGTCGGGTCAATCTGCGGCTCCTCCTGCCCATGCACATGCCCCACATCCACCCCCGCCGCCGCCTGCCCATTAATCGCCATCTGGCTCAGCTCCGTCAACGACGTGATATCCTGCGCCGCCGCCCCATGCGACGGCGAGTCGACGTGCAGCCCGCCGCTGCCGGGGGTATGCCCCGAAGGCGATCCGCCGCCGCCGGAATGGGGGCCCGGGGAGCCTTCGGTGCTCTTGCGCGAGATACGCCGTTTCTTGCCGCTCTGCTGCTCCATCTCGGCCCACCCAGCGCGCTGGTGCGGCAGCTTGCGTCGCTTACCGCCCATCTCCCCCCGGTCGCCATAGTCCATCTGGGCCGCGACCTGCGCCTGGTCGACGGGGGCAGGCAGCGGCTGCAGGTTCGGGGAGTGGAAGCCGGAGAGCGCGTTGGATGCGAGCCTGTTGAGCGAGGGGGTAGAATTGTGGGGGTGGGGGTGGGGGTGTGGTGGGGTGGGAGGGAGGAGGGGGGTGAGGTATTGGACAGCCAATCTCGGCAGGGCCGGTTTCTTTCCCGAGATCAAAGAAGCGTTTATAGCCTCCGCCGACCTTATCGACAACCTGAACTTGAGAGGGCAGGTGGTTTCCTTCTTCAGACCTCGTCTGTTGGAGAGCATGACGAGATCATATGTCCATTTCGTCTCTTCCCCATTGGCATCCGCGCTAGACGGGATGACAGGCAGAGGGTGTTCGGAAGAAGAAGAAGGATCGCGTCGGAGAGGGGAGGGAGACGCCGGTATGGGCGATGGTTGGTGGACTGGCAGTTTGCCTGGCGTTGCAGGCCCTGGAGCAGGTCCTTTCCCCGGTGGTTTCAGACTATCCCTCACCCCTGCTGTCAAAGCAGGAGCCGCAGGAAGCGAGGCCAAAGCCGGTGCTCTCCGATTCAACATTGACGTCAACAAGTTCCCCGGCGTATGATATGGCCCAGAGATCCACGAGATGGCCAATCGTCCGAGAGGCAGGATCTCGCCTGGCGCATGCGTCGGTGGAAACTTGGACACCTCTTGCCCCTTTTCCGTCTTCTGCGGGGGAGAGATGGGAGAAAGGACAAACAGGTATTGCCTGACATCCCCGACTTGGAGCTCTTCGCCCTCCAAGCCGAGGGCGTCCCCGCTGACCTTGTCCACCACCAGCCCTTCGACCGGCTGGAGCGCAACGGTGGAGAGGAGGAGGGATTCGGTGGGCGAGGTGTTTTGCATGAGCACTTCGAGGAAGGTTTGGTGCCGGAGAGAAGGGGAGAGGAGGGTGTTGGGGTGGGTGGGGGATTGGATACGGGTTTTGATACTCAACGGTGTGATTGCCTATACCTCCAAGTCAGCTCTCCATCTATTAGAAGAAGAAGAAGAGAAGACTTGCGTTGAATTTGAAGAATCTCTGAAACGTCTTGCGCCCATCCAACGTCTCCCACGCCACACTGACAATAACCACCCCAAGCCCCAGATCCTTCACCTCACTCTCCGCGCTCAACTCGACCCTCTCCCCAAACGCCAGCTCCGGAATCTCTTCCTCCCCCGGCTTCACAGGCTCCACCCGGTTCCTCTCTTCCTCTAGAGCCGAATCTGCCATGGACGGCTTGCCGTGGATGACTTCGCCCAGCCGGGTGCGGGTGGTGGGCGTTTGGAGTTCGAGCATCATCTTGACGCCGAGGACGGGGTAGCGCTGGCGGTGCGAGTTTTCGAGGGCTACCCTGCAGGCGAGCATGGAGCCGATGTGGATGGTGCCGAGGGGAGGGGGGTAGTTTGGGGTGGGGGAGAATGCGAAATCATCGGGAGGGGGCGGGGGCGGTAAGGGGATGGGCGGGATGGAGGATTCGGTCGGGGGCTGGGAGGTGGGGATGAGGGTGAGGGGGGTGAGCTGGAGGCTGGGGGTTGTCAGTGGGCGTGGTGGGGTGGAAGGGGCTTACATTCTGAGGGTGAGCGGCGCCGAGTCCATGGTTGGTGCAAGAGGTGGTGGTGAAAGCAAAGACTCGATGACCTCCACTTGTTGTTTACGCCCATGAGACTTGTTGCATTTACATCCACTTGTACAATTGTTTTCCTTAATACGAGAGAGACTACGGGAGACGCGATGGATACACTACAAATAACACTACAACCCCTGACCCCTGTTGAGCTGCTTGACCACCTGCCTGCTCTGCCTCTCCAACATCTGGAACGCATTCTCCAACTGGTCCTGGCTCACGCCAGTCTCGGACTGATGAGGGAAGCTGAGATCTTCGCTGATGTTGAGCTCGCCGGTACCGGTGAAGGGCGGGGTGGTGCCGTGGGTGGTGGCGTTCTGGCGGATGAACGTTTCGAGCGCGGCGATGCGGATCTTGTCTGTCTGCTGGGACTACGCGGCGCGTCAGCTTTTTGCATCTAGAGATGATGGGATGGAAAGCGTACCATGACGAGGTCCTTGATGACAGCATCCTTCTCTTGGCATTGCCTGAGCACGACCTGGAGCTGAGCAGACTCGGCTTCGAGCTTCTTCATGTGCTCTTCGCGACGACGGCGGAAAGCCTGCTGGGCGCGCTTGTTTTGCTCGGCGCGAGAGAGCTTGCCGGTGTCCCTACGCGTCGTCAGCACACAAACGCCAAGATGCAAGATGCTCGAGGAAAAGTACTCACACGGGGGGCTCGGGAGGAGGAGGAGGCGGTCCAACAGGTTCCTTCTCCTGCGCCGACGCCAAAGTCGGGTCAATCTGCGGCTCCTCCTGCCCATGCACATGCCCCACATCCACCCCCGCCGCCGCCTGCCCATTAATCGCCATCTGGCTCAGCTCCGTCAACGACGTGATATCCTGCGCCGCCGCCCCATGCGACGGCGAGTCGACGTGCAGCCCGCCGCTGCCGGGGGTATGCCCCGAAGGCGATCCGCCGCCGCCGGAATGGGGGCCCGGGGAGCCTTCGGTGCTCTTGCGCGAGATACGCCGTTTCTTGCCGCTCTGCTGCTCCATCTCGGCCCACCCAGCGCGCTGGTGCGGCAGCTTGCGTCGCTTACCGCCCATCTCCCCCCGGTCGCCATAGTCCATCTGGGCCGCGACCTGCGCCTGGTCGACGGGGGCAGGCAGCGGCTGCAGGTTCGGGGAGTGGAAGCCGGAGAGCGCGTTGGATGCGAGCCTGTTGAGCGAGGGGGGGATGGGGAGGGGCAGAGGAGGGGAGGGGGAGCGGGCGGGGACGGGGTTGTTGTGGGTGTAGTTGCCGGCGGCATCCTGGGAGTAGTCTGTGTTGTGTTGGAGGTAGGCGATGAGGCCGTCGTCGGACTGGAAGAGCGAGTTGGCGAGGGCAGAGGCAGACTGCTGCTGGGGGGGCGGAGTGGGCGAGACGTGCGACATGATGAGGTGAGACCAGGTTGAACGACTTGGGGGTTATGTAATGAAGGACGAGGAGATAGTTATGTAACAAATGAAGTGATCATTTGATCCCGCGGTGATACGGCGTTATGTAATCAGTGTGGCACTTGATACTACAACATGCTTGCAACATGCCCATGTCAGGATACGCCACACCCGCCCAGCATGGAGTGCCAGTGCTGTATCGTTGGATTTGCAGCGTAAAGACCATCGACAGCTGTGCCACAAAGGTGTTTGGCAACGCTTCCATGATTATGAAACCGAATGACATCTCCCACCATCTAAATCCTCTACCACTCTACTCCCTCCCCCCCGCCCCACCCCGCCTCTCTAACCCCTCCACCCACCTTACCACCTCCCCCCAATCCCTCACCCTCTCCACCCCCTCCGGCAACCACCCCTCCTCAATCTTGCCCCTCCTCACCCTCTCCGCCTCCTCCAACAACCCCTGCTCCTGTTTCGCCACAAACGTCATCTTCTCCACGGGCAGTGTCGTCTCGGGTGTGTGGACGATGGCGTTCCAGGGATATTTGCCGAAGAGGAGGACCTTTGTAGGTTGGGGATGGGGGAAGGTTGCGATGGCGGTGTCGTAGGCGTTCTCGGCAGAGTCGTCGATGAGGAAGAGGGATTGGGTGTTGTAGACGATCTGTGACAAGCAAGATTAGGTTTGTAGATGAGATATGTGGGGAAGACGGACTTCAGCTTTGCTCCGCTTTTTGTGCGATACGATAGCCTTCTTGGCAGCGTGCCCTTCGTGCTCCTTCTTGGTAGGCTCGAGGTCCTGGAAAGCGCCGGTAAAATGTATTTCGTCGAAGACTGTAATACATCCTTATCAGTCCGAACTCCATCATGAGAGAGCAGCGGCTGAGACGTACTATCGGGGAGGTAGGTGGTGATCCACTCTTCGGTACCTTCTCGTTGACCCTCTGATCTAGCTGTGATGATCACCAGACTACCAAAAGTGGTTCAGCTATCGCCCACACATTCTAACAAGTCGAAAGAGGAACGTACCTATAACCCAGATCTTTCAGCCTCTTTAACGCCTCCTTCGCCCCTTCCACAGGCGGCGCCTTCATATACAGTCCTTCGGCATAAAGCTTTGTCTACAGGTGACATTCTGGATCAGCGCTAGTCCGTGTATAGTGGGGTAGTAAATGGGACGTACGACCATGGCAATAGTCTCTTCAGGGTTGCCCCATCCACGGTTCATCCAGTATAGGTAATTCTGAAAGTCGTCTAGGGTCAAGGGCGGTTGTGTACCAAAGAGCTCGTTGTGCACTGTCAAAGCATCAGTACAATCAATTTGCCAAAGACATGCCCGGAGAGGATAAGGACTTGCTGTTGACGATAGTCACGTTGGTTTGGCTAACAATTTCAGGTTCATCAGGACATAGAAACAGTCATATGGATATGAATGAGGAAGGAAAAACGTACCAGAGCACATCGTCCATGTCTACGGCTATCCGGCCTTTTCCTGTACCGAGGTCGAGGGGAGTGTTGGTACCCGTGGCAGTGATGAGCTGCGTATCTTGATCGAGGGGTTTTGTCGGCATGATTGAGATCTATATGAGGTCTAGGTCGATTGAGGAGTCCAAGGTCCAAGGTGAGGGCGGTCAATCGAGATGGAAACGAGTGGAGAGAGAGATAGCAAAGAGCAGTGGCGATTTAGATGGTGGCCTTCTAGATGTCGGTGGTCCGCTCAATGGAAGGTAGTGATGAGCTTTTTCCTTTCAGCGCTGCTGAGGTCGTGGTAGAAGAACGTAGGTTGCCTCGTTGTGGAGAGATGGAGAATGGATGGCGAAATGCCCGTGGTGGTCGGAGGACTCGGGGCGCCGGTCCATTTTGCTCCCGCCCATTGCCACTGTGGCTATCGATCAAATGCGAATAGAGTACGTTATACATAGCTGCTTTGCTAATTTCTACACTATACTTGATACTTTGCTAGTACCGTAATGCCCAAAAGAAACCCTCTTGTACCCAAGAAAATGAGAAAAACTATATTATTACTTCTTCTGATCACGCTCCGTCGCTGTGTCTTCTCGGTTCCTGCCTCTCCTCCCTCCTCTCGCTCCCGTGCGCATGGCCATTCTCATGATACCTCATCGCCGGCAGATCCACTCCCCCGAACCTCCCTTCCTTTTCCTCAAACCGCCTCTCTTCATCTCTTCCTCCCAAGCCACCAGGATGAGGCAAAGAAGGCGCCTCCCGATCACGCGAGACATGCCCGTCCAGCCGATTGTTCATGAACGACGGCCCGAGGGGCGTTTGCGTGCGGATGGGCGGCAGGTTGTCATACGGCGAATGGAGGGACGGTTGTCCGCCATAAGACGATGCTCGAGGGAGCTGGCCCGGGTGGGGGGGGTGCGCGTCCCATGATCGTCGATGCGACACGTCTGGCGCAGGCATGGCAGTCTGAGGCCGTCGATACTGCTCTTGATGTCCGTTCCACCCTGCAGATGAAGAATAGCCAAGGGGAGGTAGAGAGGGAGAGTGTGAAGGTCTGCTTGTAGAGTAACGTTCGTCGAGATGCTGGGGCGGCTCGTAGCGATAGCTTGGGACTGTCGTCGAAGGCGCTGGAGGCGCACCTTTGGGAGATTCTTCGACCGTGCCATCAGACCCGGTTTCAGCAACAGTCTCGGGTACAGACTTTCTCTCTGCCGGGACATCGTCATTCAGCAACGCTGAGATCCGCATACCACCGCCGGTCCTCTGAATGGGCCGCGTGGGGCTGCTATCTTGGGCCGGAGAGAGGGCACGAGGTTGAGGCGGAGGGAGTGACGGGATGGCAGTAGTCGGGGGCTTGGCCGTGGGGAAGGTACCGAGACGAGGTTCGTATCGGTCGGCAGAGGCGAACGCCGGGAAAGCGTCGTAGATAGTACGCCCCGCCGAAGACGAGGGTTCGCGTGCAGACTCGGTCTGTGTAGACTGTCAGCTCTTGTATCACTATATCGCATGAACCCTACTCACAACTTGCGCCTTGTCACTCGCACTTCCTTCCAACGGCTCCAGCTCCGCCCGATGGCCTTCCATATAGTTCACCACCTGCCTCTCCGACTTGCCCTTCAATTGCGCCGCTATGAGTTTTGCTTCCATACCATGTACAGACACGAGCTCTTTGACCTTGCGCTTCTCTTCCACGGACCAGTACGAATTCGTCGCTGATCGTCGCGCGGGCTTTTCGGCAGGAGGTGCAGGAGCAGTGCCATTCACGACCGGGGCGGAAGGATCCGCGGGGTCGGCGTTGGGGTTGGGAGTCTGTGGCTCGCCTTCGACAGGAGCAGTGACCTTGCGTCGCTTACCCGGTCTTCGTACAGGCGGCAAGAGTTCAGCCTGTGCAGCCGAGCTAGCAGCATCCGCCAGCGATGCCAACGCATTCGCTGCCAGCTCGGTGCCCATATCGGCAATAGGCGTGACAGTTTCCGTCACAGCACTGTTGGGCACCGACGAAGATGAGGGATGTGAAGGTGTAGTAGCAATTTCGGGGATAGAACTGACTCGAGGGCGCTTGGCAGTCTTGACAGTCATGCGCATCTTGGATTTACCAGATATTGCTGGCGTTTCCGATCCCGCGCGAGAAGTCGATGCAGACTCGCCATACGTCTCCTCATCATGCTCCTCGCTGGGAGTCACAGGCACGCTCACTTGCGAACCCCGCTTTTTTCTCCTCCCGCCTTCTCCTACATGTCCACCGCGTCCTCTCCTGCCAGTAGTAGGCGCAAAAGAGACCGATGGCTCTCGTGCTCTGACGGGGGTAGAAACAGGCCCATCGTCTTTTCCGGGCACCGTAGGCTTTGCTCGCGTGAGATCCGCCATCAACGCCGAACTCTTGGCACCCTTCTTCAACGCCAACTTTCTCTTGCCTCCGCCCCGCTTGTGCGCCAACATTGCCTTGTAATCGACCTCCTTCTTTGTGCGGTAATAGTACAGCACGCAATCCCCAGCACTCTTGTTTGGTATCCCATCCGAGATCCTCCCAAATTGCTTTGGGTACGCGAGATACCGCTTGACAAAGATTGCCCTCTCCTCGCTCGTCCAAATCGGCTCTTCAATCCCTTCAAAGTCGTAGAAAGAGATCGGATCCTGGACGAGATCGTTGTCGTCATCATATTTCAGACCCCGCTCTTCGCTGAGGATCATATCCGGTACCACCGCCGCGGTCTTGGCCGCCCGGAGGAGCGGGTCAGCTTGTTCTTGCTGGGCGATGGCAGCCATGATCTCTTCGAGCTCGGCATCTGTAGAGACGATATCGCCAAGGCCTCTTCGGCGGTTGGAGCGGGAGGAATGGGAGGCAAAGAATTCGTCGACGCCAGGCGTTGTGGGTTGAGCACCGGGAAAGGCATTGGTCACACCAGTAGGCCCCAGAAGAGCCTGGAAATCCGCAGGCGGCTCTCCCCTCTCCTTCATAAGCCCATCGAGGTATGCGATATGCTCCTTCCACTCCTCATTCAACTCCAAGTACTCTTGCCTCAATTCTCGCACCTTTCGCTCTTCTCCCTTCTTCTCCCTCGCGACAATGATCCCGACAAATTTGGCCGCGTGGGTCTGTTGTTTACGCATGGGGTTTGTGATTTTGCGCAGATACTTTTCGCGTTCAGCATCTGTTGTGGCGATGACGCGAGACGTCTCTTCCGGGGCTGCAGCAAGGTTCCAAGCAAGGATCGGGAAATCATGAAACACAATCTCCTTTTCCTGCGCCTGCTTTACCCCAGCCACAAGCCTCATCAGCCTCATCTCTTCCATTTTATCCTCATCATCGACGTCATCCTCATCCTCTTCTTGTTCCTCCCTATCTGGACCGGGCGTACCGCCAATGGGCCCAGTGGGCGGGCCGGCATCTTCCGTGTGATCTGTGGAATTTGTGGGCATGGGGTCTTTGAGCGGGGTACGGTCGAATGGGGCGGTGGGTGGGGGGAGGAGGATGGAGCGGCGTTCGGCGATGGTGGAGCGGTTGGTAGAGGTCGATGATGGTTCGGGCGCAGGGACGGGTGGGGGAGGTAGCGTAGTGGGCGTTTGAGGGACATTCTGTAATCTCGTTAGCATTGCACATGGATCATTGCATGGGACGTACCTCTGGAACGTCCACAGCCATAGAATCACTCTCAGCAATGACTTTTTGCGTCGCAACAGTCTCGGTGGGAAGAGACAATTCGGATTCAGACACTTGAACAACTTGAGCGGCGGGGGCAGTAGGCAAGACATCCTTTGTCTCTTCCTGTGTCACCACCACTTCAGCCTCGGCCATCACTACATCTTCGCCTTCCGGTCTCGCTTGCGCAGTAGGCAAGACGCCGACGCGAGTTTCAATGACTTGGGTTTCCATGACGACGTCTTCTGACTGGTTTTCTGACGCAGGAAGAGCGGGCGTGGCGGGGAGAGGCAGGTCTACTGTGGGAAGAGGGATGGGAGGGGCGGGGGCTGAGGATGGGGGTGGGAAGCTCGGTGTCGCAGGGGTTTGAGACTTTTCCACCGTATCAATACCCTTCGGCGAGGGTTGTTCCAAGGATTGCGCCTCAGCAGCTTGAAAAGGCTCACCCAGGGGCGCTGCAAGCTCAGGCTGGGGTTCAGCCTCCGAGGCAGGCTTGATGGAAGCCGGTGGAGGTACAGGCGGTGTAGCAGGCTGCTCCACTTTACTCTCCTCTACCAGCTCGTGCGTCGGTACAGCAGGACTCGTCGACGGCAGCTCGCCTTCTTCCGGCTCCTTGTCCTTTGTCTGCACCTTCTCTGGAACTGCTTCAATTGTCAAAGCAGGCTCTTGCGCAGGTTTCGCAGCAGCCGGGATTTCCAGCGACGCAACCCTCTCTCTTGGGGGATTGGACAAGCTCTGCCTCGGTCGAGTCCCCCACGGTTCTCTCTCCCTAGGCTCTCTCGGCTCTGGAGACCTCCTCCACCCGTCCAACCCAAGACCAGGCGGGGGCGACCCTCTCCGTCTATCCATCTCCCTCTCCCTCTCCCTTTCTCGCTCCCAAGGTGAATCTCGTTCTCGCTCTCTATCTCTTGCCCATTCGCGTTCTCTTTCCCAAGGCGGTAGGGGCCTCTCGCGTTCGCGCGGGGGAGACCACCGCCGGGGAGGTTCGTCCCATGCCGGTGTTGGCCTCGAGACGTGTACAGGCGAGACGACTTCACCTTCTTCCAAATCTTCTTCTGCTTCTCCCCCGTCTCGCTTTTCATCGTCCCCCGCTTGACTTTGCGTAGGCTGAGGAGCAGGGGAAGGGAGTGATTCGGTCTTGACGGCCAGAGGCGCAAAGGCAGATATGGGAGCTGTCGACGGCGGAAGACTGAGAGGTCTGTCAAAGTCTCTTGAGCGTTTACGATCTACAGGACTTGACGAGCCGCGTTGAGAACGAGCGTGCCCCGAGAGGATGGGTTCTGAGAATTTCGAATGTGTCGGTGAAGGCTGGACGTTTGATGTATACCCGGCCCTGGGCGACGACGCACCGCCCGACGTGCGTCTAGGCTGGAAATTCCTGTCGTCTCTTAACGGCAGCGGTCTCCCTGGCGGTATCCGCGCAGGATACGAGGTGGATGCTGCGGGTGTTGGCCGCGGACCTCTCACGATGGGCGGTGGGGGTGATCGTGCCCGACTCGGGGGATAACGCGACCCCACAAGATGTGGTGGTGTCCTCCCTCTCAGCACCCTGTCCCTCTCATCCCACCGTTCTCTCTCCCCCCACGATGCGCGCTCATCCCGTCTCTCGCCAGGCGGTATCCGGGAAGGAAGAGGGGAGAAAGAGGAAGGTCTGCGGAGTGTGCGGTTCTCGCCCTGCCACCCCGCGTCGAGCGACACACGATCGCGCACGTCGTAGCGGCTGTCCAAATCGCGTTCGCGCTCCCAGTCTCGGCCTGCTCTTGGGGGATCGCGTTCCCAGGTGGATGGGCGGTCGAAAGACCGGCGGGGGGGTGACGGTGAGAGGCTGCGTGGACGCGAGTTTGAACCCGGTGGGTAGCGTGATGTTTGGCGAGGTGGACGGTTGGACCAGGGAGGTATTGGATATGGTCTTGATGCTGGGCCCTATCACTTTATCAGCGCCTTCTTTCCGCAGATGGATGGCAAAGAAAGACGTACGTCGCCACGATACCCGTCCCTTTCTCTTTCTCTATCAAAGTCATCCCATCTCGACGGGCCTGCCCTCGGCGGGGGCGACCGTTTAAGGCCCCCGCCCGGCGGTATGGGCTTGAGAGGGTACGACGGGGCACGAGAAGGCCCAGTGTCGGGGTGCATGGTTAGGTGTGGGAGGGTAATGGCTGCGGCAAATGATGGGGGACGGAGAGGGTAGAGGGGGTGAAAAGTGGGTCTCTTTGGGAGACGATGGTATTTTTGGGTAGGGCGAGACTCTTTAGAGCATTCCGGGGGGGTATAGAGGGCCTTGAGGGGGCGAATGTAGGCGATAGATGGAATGAGTGGAGCGAAGATGGGCGGAAGAGGTGAAAAATCGACGCAAACATCCAGAAGCTAATCCAGAAAACCTCGAATTAGAAATCCACAACCTCAGATCTAATCCCATTACAAACGGCAAGTGCCACTAATCCCCTAGAGGGCGGCCGCCGCAAATGCCGGGTGTTACGTAAATGCACGTGGGGGGGGGGGGTGATCGAATGCGGCCATACAAAGGGTGGTGTGTACGTCATCGGTGGCTGAGCATGATGTTGACGGACAAGCGGGGGAGTCGAGGGCAAAGTATATAGGGAGGGGAATTGTTCGCCACCATCTCTCCTCCTCTTCTCCACCTCGCACTCGATTGATTCAACATGGCCAACCTCATCGAAGGACTCTACCACACCGTCCAAGTGCGTCCCCCTGCTTCTACCCATACACTCGTCAGCTCACACTGCCAAAACAACAGGGACTGCTCCAGAGCATCTTTGCCGTCTTCCAATCCTTCTTCAACGTTATCTATTCGTTCGTCCACGGTATCATCTCGCTTGTCTGGGGCGTGCTCGAGAGTGTGGCCGAGTTTGTCGGTGCTTCCGTCCACTTTGTCATCTGTAAGTCCGCCATCCCTCCTCCCATCTTCCATGACCCTTCTGTTTGCGCCAGAAGGTAGACAAGCTGACATAGAAAAAAGCAAACATTCTCATCCTCGGTCTGCTCGGCCTCGGTTTCGTACTCTACAACGACCGAAACAAGCGCGGGACTATTGGGAATGACATTAAGACTCACGCCCATAACACCAGGCTTCAGGCCCAGAAGAAGGTCAAATAAGCCCGCGTTTAGTATCCAACTTGAGACCTCGGGGTGAGGCGTGGTCAAGGCGCAAGCGTGGCGAAGCGCTAGTATTGAGCCTGGAAGGGGCGAGGCGATGCGAGGGTTGTGGCGTATGGTCGGTGATTTTTATAGAAATGTGAATAAGCCGCAAATATGTATAATATCTTTCTGTGATTTAGTGGAGATGGAAAACGCAGAGTCGAAGAATGCGTTGAGAGAGAGGCAAACGTGCTGAAAGAAGATCCATGGGCAGATCCCGATATCGAGGTTCAGGTACCACGCGGGGCACCGCGCCTGCCCTCTCGAGAAATCAAAACAAACACCACCTCAGAGCAGTCTCCTCCTTACATCTCAGTACAGTGGTCTTATTGGGGGCATGGTAGACTCCTGGATCTGAGACAAGAAAAAAGACACCAGATAATGCGCTCATGCCACCAGTAATCTCCCAAGCACTCTGGATCGCCCAGAATGCGCAATACATCGTACGTCCCCTGCCCTTCTCCTGCTTCTTCCTTCTGACTTCCCCTCCCACGCCCAATCGAGCCCGGATCCAGCCCTGACAAAAAGCAGGTAGCCCTCTTCCTCCTCTTCACAACCCTCCTCCTCTCCCTCCTCGGCTACCTCATTCTCCGCTACTTCCTCCCCACCTCCATCCTTTTGCTCTTCTCATTCTCTGCAGCTCCCGGTGGGGGTAAGGGACGAGGGAAAGCGGGAACGCCGAAGAAGAAGGTGGTGACGAAAGGGCGGAGTGTCAATACGCGCCAGACGGGGAGGGGGAAGGGCGTTGCTGTTGAGGGAGGTGTTTTGGGAGGAGTTTATAGGGCGACTATCTCTGCGCTTGGTACCGGTACGCTTCCTTCCCTCCTTTCCCTCTCAGGAGACAAACACAATACGCTGACGAATGCGCTGGATCGGCAGGCCTTATCCTATGCGCCCTCGTCTCACTAGGTATCTGTATCTGGTCCCTAACAGCGAGAGGGTGCGAGACTCTGCGGCAAGTTGGTTTGTACGTCCCCCTCCCCTCGTCTGTTTGCATCCACTACTTCTGGCTTGTGGCGTGACATTTGCTGATGAGGGGGTCTCGAAGGATCGAGCTGTTGCCATGGAAGACTGGGCTGAAGTGTTATCGTACTCGTTGGGATTGGTACGTCCTCTCCTCTCCTCTCCTCCCCTCTTCACTCCTTCATGCGCAGTAGTTCTGTGGTGTTCAGATACTAATGAGAATGTGATAGGGTCATAGACGTAGTCAGCGAAGTTGTATTCACCGTACTACAGAAGAGCGAGTATGGCAGCGCTGCTTTGAAAGGTATCAACATGTATTGAAAATCCATCTCTTCTATTCTTCCTTTTCTGGTATTTCAATTCGACATCGGCATCACAAGAGGCGCTTCATTATGTTACTGCTTGCTAAACTCATTCACAGCCTTTCTCGTACTATGCGGCACTTTGTGAGTTTCGATGGCTTGTGGGGAGGGAAGGGTTAGGGACTCACGCTCGGACGTTGTCGAGGGCAGTGGGCATGTCGGAGTGTAGGCAGATCGTGAACCCGCCTTCGAGGAATGGTAATTTAAGGGGTTTGTTATTGATGTCCAACGCTAACACCCAGCCCATCAGCTCTCCCCCTCTTCCTCCCCCATCCCCTAATCCATTCAGAGACTCACTTTCCTTCTCCCTCAGCACCCTCTCCACCTTCTCCCTAATCCCCGCCTCCGTCGGTTTCCGGCTCTCCCCAACACTCAACAACCTCCCCTCCGCATCATAGTCTATATCCACAAACAGCTCTGGAATGAACGGGATCCCGAGCTCTTTGCAGACGGATTCGTGTGCCGTACCGGCGAGGCCGACGAAGGGGATTGGTTGGGAAGGAGGAGGAGGGGAGAGGGCGAGTTGGGCTTTGAGGAAGGCGCGGAGGAGGGCGGGGCTGTCGCGGAGGATAAAGTAGAGTGCTCCGTGGGGCTTTGAAACCCATCAGTCCGCCGCTTATCCCGCGCAGGAAGGGAAGGGGAGAAGAACACACCTTGACATGAGCCAAAACACCTCCCTCGGCTTCTACCACCGCCTTGACAGCTCCGATCTGATACAAAGCCCCCGCATAAACCTCCTCCTCGCTCACATCAAATTTACGTCTCCCGAAACCTCTTATGTCGTCCAAGCCGGGGTGGGCGCCGATGGCGACGTTGGAAGCGAGGGCAAGGCGGGTGGAGGAGAGGATGGTGAGGGGGTCGCCGGCGTGGAACCCGCATGCTACGTTGGCTAAACCATGTGAATTAGTATAGTGGCAAGAGAGAGATGGGGGGGGAGGTACCAAGGTCGATGAGGGGCATGAGTTCGGCATCGGGGCCGAGCTTCCATTTGGCAAAGCCTTCGCCCATATCACAATTGATAGTGACGCGGGGAACGCCCGTCGCGGTGGAAGCCATTGTGCGTCTGAATACTGGTGGAGTGGAGAGACGTCTGAGAGAGCTGGAGAGGGGGCGGGAGATGGGCATGGCTTATCGGGCTTCGGGCTGGAGGATAAGCAGTCGGAAGCAAAAGAAGGATCCGCAAGCACCTGACCCAGGAAGGAACCACATGTCTCTCGCTTGATCGATCGCTTCAGAGCTCGGCCCGGCTGTTGATTGCCGAGATCTCTTTCGGGCTTCTTATCTTTCGGCGCATGGTCATTTGACGCTTCCCTCCATCTCTCTTCTTCCCTTCTTCCCGCCCCCCAACGACTCAAGGATGCCCCCGCCAAAGCTGCTCATAGCCAACCGCGGCGAGATCGCCCTCCGCATCATCCGTTCCGCCAAAGCGCTGTCCATACCTACCATCGCCATCTTCACCCAGGCAGACGCTGCTTCGCCTCATGTGTCGGCGGCTGACGAAGCTTACCCTGTTGGGGGAGAGAACGGGGATGGGAGTGACCCGAAGGGATATTTGGATATCGATGCGATAGTGGGATTGGTCAAGAAGAGTGGGGCGACGATGGTAGCACCGGGCTATGGTTTCTTGTCTGAGAATGCCGTGCGTATCACTTTCATGGGTTGAACCAAGTTGATGGCGTATAGGCATTTGCGGAGGCAATCGAGGCTATTGGCGTCACATTTCTTGGCCCTACGCCATACCAAATGACCTCTATGGGTCTCAAGCACGAAGCACGCGCTGTTGCAAAGAAGGCTGGTGTACCCATCGTCCCCGGTTCGGAAGGCGCCGTGGCCTCGCTGGAAGACGCTGTGAAAGTCGCGGGGGGTATTGGGTATCCCGTACTCGTGAAATCTAGTGGTGGGGGTGGTGGGATGGGGATGCAAGTTTGTCGATGTACGTTCCTCTCTTCGCTTCTTCAGCGTCTTGGCTCGCGACTGACTTTGTGTGGTTCTGGGAATCAGCCGAGCAAGAACTCGTAGCCAACTTTGAATCCACCCGCGCAAAAGGCGCCGCCCTCTTCAAAGAATCCACAGTCTTTCTCGAAAAGTTCATCACCCGCGCCCGACATGTCGAAGTCCAAATCTTTGGCAACGGCCAAGGCCACGTCGTGCACATGGGCGAGCGCGAATGCAGCGTCCAGAGACGACATCAAAAAGTCATTGAAGAGGCGCCTTGTGTGTTGTTCTCCTCCGAGATGGGGAAAGGGGTGAGGAAGAGGATGTGCGAGGCCGCGGTCAGGCTTGGGGAGCTTATGAAGTATCGGTCGGCGGGGACAGTCGAGTTTGTGTTGGACGTCGACTCGCCTACTTATGAGTTTTACTTTCTCGAGCTCAATGCTCGTATCCAGTAGGTCTCTTCTTTTCTCAAAGACAAATCTGTGTTTACTTGTTCCAGAGTCGAACACGCCATAACAGAGGTCACTCATCCCGGCCTCGACCTAGTAGCGCTCATGATCCGCCAAGGCCTCTCCCCATCCAAATCCCTCCCTCCCTCCGACCTCGTCCAAGAAGACTACCTTCCCATTGACGGACACGCGATAGAAGTGAGGGTCTACTGCGAGAATCCGAAAGCGGGTTTCAAGCCTTGCCCGGGTCAATTGCATGAGGTCTTGTGGGGCTCGGTAGGGAAGAGAGGTCGGATCGATACTTGGGTCAAGGTGCGTTTCAACATCTTTCCATGCACAATATTATAAGTCGGCGAGGGAGCTGATTGTTTTTGAGAGTAGACAGGAACGACAGTGACTCCGCATTACGACCCGATGATTGCCAAAGTGGTCGTACACGGCGAAACGAGGGATGAAGCTATCGCCAACATGCTCACCACACTCGACGACTCGCGCATCATCGGGCCGACTACGAACCTGGACTACTGCAAAACCATCTTGTCCACCCCTGGTACGCTTCCGTCAAGCTAGGTCGTGAAAGGTGATGGTGCTGATGGAAACGCGGCAGAATTCGAAGCTGGCGAGATATACACCACTTTCCTCGACTCGTTCGTCTATGCCCCACCGGCTATGGAAGTCCTCTCTGCTGGCCTTTCCACCACCGTCCAGGACCTTCGGGGGCGATTTGTCGGTAAAGGGATTCCCCGAGGTGGGGCTGCTGACGGTCTGGCATTGTCGGTGGCCAACTTGCTTGTCGGCAATGGCACAGGGGTGGAGGGGTTGGAGATGACTATGATGTATGTCCTCGGGCATTCAGTTATGATAGAGCTGACGTTGGGCAAAGGGGCGCAAAGCTGTTATTCCATGTGGATAGCGTGGTAGCTGTAACGGGTTGTCAGATGCCGCTCGCTATAGACGGCCAGAAAGCAGAGATGTGGTCTAGCCTCCCTATCAGAGCTGGCCAAACCCTCCGCATCGGATCTGCCGTAAGCGCCTCCTTACTCTCATCGTTCAAAGCTAATTCCCTCACTAGTCAAGCACAGGTCTGAGGAGTTATCTCGCTGTGCGCGGAGGATTGCTCAACGTCTCCACCTTTGAAGGCTCCAAATCCACCTTCACCGGCGCCGCTCTAGGCGGCTATCAAGGCCGCGCCCTCATCCCCGGCGATCTCCTCACCATCACCCCTTCCTCCCTCTCCTCCTTCACCCCGTCCTCCTGGCCGTCCGTACCGGCCTACGACAACACCTGGCAGATCGACGTCTGCCCAGGCCCCCAGTGGGATGAGGAATACCTGTCTGAGGAGGGGATGAAGACGTTGTTGGAAGGGAAGGAGGGTGGGGGTGGGTGGAAAGTGAGTCCGGCGTCGAATCGGTCTGGGTTGAGGTTGGAGGGGCCGAGAGTGAAATGGGCGAGGACTGATGGGGGAGAGGGTGGGAGTCATCCGAGTAACGTCATCGATCAAGGTAAGTCTTCAATTCGGATTTGTTGATAATGAAGAGCTGACGAAGGTTAGGATATCCGTTCGCGGCGCTCAACATGAATGGTGACACTCCGGTGTTGTTTGGAGTGGACGCACCGGATATGGGCGGGTTCTCTTGTGTCCTTGTAAGCACCTTTTTGTATTTCGTGAGATCTCGGTGCTGAAGGGAGTGCAGACGGTGGCGACGCATGATCTGTGGAAACTCGGTCAAATTCGTCCAGGCGACAGCATCTCATTCAACCTCATCCCCACTTCATCCATCCCCAAACTGCTCAAAACCCTCGAGTCCTGGCTCTCTTCGCCTTCCTCTCCTCCCCCCTCTGCTTCTTCCTCTACAAAACCATCGGAGCTGCTCAAGACCAACGTCCTCCACCGCTCTCAGAAACCAGGGAAACCAGAGACCATCTTCCGCTCTTCCGGCGACCGCTTCATCACCTACGAAATCGGACCCATGGCCCTCGACCTCCCCAACCGCGTCCTCATCGAACTCTGGGAACGCTCCATCCGCGCCCTCTCCCTCCCTGGCATCATCTCGTTTTCCACCTGTATCCGATCTTGCATCGTCCACTTTGACCCCGCCCAGATCTCGCAAGAGGCACTGTTGAAAGTGATGGTGGAAGAGGATGAGAAGCTGGGAGGAGCGGAGGGGGAGGAGATTGAGACGAGGGTGTGGAAGTTTCCGGCGGTTGTGGATGATAAGTGGTGTAAGGAGGCGGTGGAGTACTATATGAAGACGGCTAGGAAGGAGGCTGTCTACTTGCCCAGTAACGCCGTCAGTTGCCACTCTTCCTTCTTTGTGGGAATAGATCAGAGCTGACTTTCTTCGTCAGGACTATCTCGCCAAGAACAACGGTCTCGGGCCAGATGCAGTGTACGATATGATCACCAAAACCCCTTGGCTCGTGCTCGCCCAAGGATTCTTCGTCATGCTTCCGTTCATGATCGTGAGTCCTCTCACCTCCTTTGCGCTTTGCGTGTGATTGGCAAAGTAGCTGATGGTAAAGCGTAGCCGCTGGACCCGAGGTTGAGGTTGGTAGGCCAAAAATACAACCCATCGCGTACCAAAACACCGGAAGGCGCTATCGGTCTTGCAGGTGTCATCGGCGCGTACGTCTCGATGCCCCTTACCTCTTCTTGTCTCGAGGACGTTTCAGCTGACAATGGCGAAAACGACAGGATCTACCCGATAGCGTCTGCAGGCGGTTATCAGCTGCTCGGCCGTACGCTCACCCCCTGGAACGCCTGGGCCAAGGAAGATGAAGGCGAGTCAAAGACGCTTTTGAGCAACTTTGATCAGATCGAGTTTTACCCCGTCAATGAGGCCGAGTTTATCAAGGTCAATCCCCACTTCCCTCTCTCCCCTCTCTTTCTTTCTCTCTCGCCCAAGGTAAAGGTACAGACGATACTGACGTATATTTGAATGGGGGTAGATCGAACAAGCCTACAAAGCCGGTTCCTTCAAACCCACCTCCTCCCAGAAAGTATTCAAAGTCGCCGAATACCTCGCTTTTGTATCCTCCCACGCCAAGGAGGTTGAAGAGTTCAAGAAGGGACAGAAAGAAGCTAGTGAAGCTCTTGGGAAACAGTATGTCCCCTTTTCTTGTTCTCTGTTTTTTAGAGTGTGCCCGGGTGCAGGGGAAAGAGGCAGAGGCTGATAATGGGGTGTGTTTGGCAGAGAGGAAGAGATGTTCTCCGCATTCCAAGCCGACTCTGAGAAAACCTCTGCCTCCGCCAATTCCACTTCCACCTCTGATACCGGAGCCCCCGGCGCCGCCGGCGGAGGCCTGCCCATCGTCTCGCCCCTCGCAGCGACAGTCTGGAAGATCCTCCTCCACCCCGGCGACGTGATCCAAGATGAAGAGCAGAATGTCGTCGAGCTGGAAGCTATGAAGACGTCGGTGTTTGTACCTGCTGGGGAGGAGGTGGTGGGGAGGAAGGTGAAGAGTGTGGTGGTGAAGGAGGGGGAGGGGGTGAGTCCTGGGGATGTACTTGTGACAGTAGAGTGATGCCGCTCGTATTTGTCTGGAAAAAGAGAAAGAAAGAAAGAAGCTTGTAGCAATGTAGCAATATGAAATACACGATTGGACGCGAGAATGGCGATGGGACAAGATATAGCATTCCTTCTCTAGATTTGATACAAGACGAGACAGTATAAGTTTTGATAAGTCTCGAGATTAGAATATGGGAGATACCGGAAGACAATAGAAAGATGGCGTACCAAAGCCCGTGACAAGAGATACAACTAATCCACAACAACGACTCTCCCACAACTCCCCCAAAAGTAAGTCCAAAAGACAAGAACAAGACACGGCTCTAGACAGCCTCCCCAATAGTCATACCTCCCATCTCATCCTCCAACGCCACCTTCGGTACCGGCTTCCTCTTCCCCCTGGGCACTGCTGGCCCTTGCCCAACACCAACACCCGACGCCCTCCTGCCTCGCTCGCCGCCATATCCCGCGCCCGAGCCGTAACCAGAGCTATACCCCACATCCGACGCTGTGCTCCCCCTCCGCTCGGCAAAGTTGTAGAATGCAGGTTCGGGCGGGAAGAGTCCGAGTTCCTGCGGCTCGGCTGTATAGTACCCCGACCCAGACCCGGACCCTGGGCCAGAGAGGGTGGAGGGGTAGGCCGTGTAGTATGGGTGGGTGGCGGAGGTGGGGGTGTGGATCTCCCAGGATGGTTGGGACTGGTGTGACCCGGTGGATAAAGAGTTGAGCGAGGGCGTAGGCTTTGGGAAATACCCTTCCTGGCTGCTCTCTCCCCTGATCGAGCTCGACGTGCTTTCACTCCTCTTCGACGCTGACGCTGCTGACGACCCCGACCCCAGGCCCAAGCTCATCACAGACAGCCGCTTGGCGTTGCGCGAGAGCACCTTGCCGAATTTGGTCTTGGGTGTTTTGGGGGTGGACGGCGTGCGGGGGGCGGTGGAGTCTGATTGGGAAGAGTTGGAGGAGCGGATAGAGGAGGAGGGCGATTTGGGGGCGAGGTCGAGAGGACGGGGACGGGTGTAGGAGTTTCTGGGGGAGGGGGTGTATGTGGGTCCGCAAGGGCCTTGGAAGGAGGGCGCTGTGCTCCATCAGCTTTGTGCGACGAGACAGGGAGGCGGGACGTACGGGTGTAGACTCCACTGCTGGCAGGTTTTTTGGCTGCTCCATCTCGGACTTTCAGAGGGTCGGTCCCGCCAGAGATGACTCGCGACTGCCGCCTCTTGGAGTCGTATGGCGAGGGGTAGCTTGGAGAGTCGCCCAAGCGGGGGGACGAGTGGAGAGTGGGCGAGTTGAAATTCGGTGTCGACGGAGAACCCAGTCCTCGGGAACACATCCTCGGAGAAGAATACAGTGAGGGGGAGGGCAGAGAGTCGAAAGCCACAGACTGTCTCTGTGGGAGCTGGGGAGAAGCGGCTCCACGGTTGCTCGCGAGGGTGGGTGATGGCTGAAGGACAGGCGCCGGCCCTGGGGTGGGGGTAGTGTTGCTCGAAACGGTGGATTTGGGCGGGGCTGCTTCGCGCAAGCGGGAGCGGGCTGGGATGGGGGGTGGGATGGACATGATGGATTCGGTAGAGTACAGCTGAAATAGAGAGTCAGCGTAGGAAATGAGGGAAAGGGCCACAACACGCGCTCAGGCCACGAGATGGATTGATGCTCGCAACGGCCCATCCCTCCATCCCCCTGCGCCATCCTCCCCATATCCTCCTCACAAAGGATCCTCCACCGCGCCCACAGCAAAGGATGAAGCCACTCACATTAGGCTGGGACCAGATCTCCGAATTCACCTCGTCTGCTCGCTGTCGGCCCAACCGCAACTTGAACGAGAGCACACTCGAGCAGTTCAGCCTGGCCTTCCTGATGAACCCTGCGCGCGGAGGTGCGAGCTCTTCCTCGTCCTCAGAGTCTTCGTCCTCAATAACAGCCTCGTCCAAGTCTTCTACGAGGTCGAGGGAACTGCCTGCCCAGAGGCGGTCTACGAAAGAGGCGCTAGTGCTGGGCCGTCTGCGAAAGTCGTCGACGGATGCGAATGCGGGCTGGAGGGTGTATGGTGCGCGGGGGCGGGGGAGTGCGAGGGGGTAGGCGGAGGTGGAGAAGAAGTTGTCGATGAAGAGGGGAGATGATGTGGACAAGGTTTCTGAAGCCGCTTCGGGCGCACAGATCTCGTTCTCTGGTCCGCGCCGCGATTTTTTGGTTGAACGATCCAGAGCGCGGGCGAATACGTTCTTCTTCTCCTTGCGCACTTTGGGAGGAGTGTCGAGCTCGGCAGAGGACTGGCGCCGTTTCTTGGATAGGAAGGAGACGTTGCTGGGCATCTTGGGGGCACTTTTTTGGCGGGTGGAGGCAGGGGTCGGAAGGGCCTTACGTGCCGGCAAGAAGCTTCTCTCGCCGCTATACCAATTGCCTGGGTCGTATCGAACACTTGGAAAGAGTGGATGAGAAACAAGCTGTGGACGAGAGGGGGAAGTATTACATGGATCTGGGCCGATCGCCTATTATACAGTTGTTCACAGCATGCGAAAAAAAGTGCCCATCCATTTAAATCCATAAACCTTCCTCCCGCCATTCAAATCGGGCTTGCCCGTCAGAATCCCACTTATGTATACGATTCCAGGCCACAGGCCGCACAGTTCCTAATCATGTATGTAATAAGAAGCAGAGGTATACATAATCGCATAATCGCATAGATCGCAGCTCCACGGCCTGAAGAGAAGGCTTTGAAAAGAGGGCCCTCCGCCTCCGAAAGTGATCAGCGATCTCTGCTTCGCCCGGGGTTTTTACGGCTTGGTAACGTTTTCTGCATGCGGAGTGATCCTTTTTTCCTTCAATTGTCCCCAGCCGTGCAGAGGGGGTGAGGGGGGGAGGAAGATCTGGACCCTTGCTGTCTGGGGCAAGGCGGGGCAGCAGCTGCAGCTGCAGAGCAGAGGTGACTGTTGCCTGCGACTGTCTATTCACTTGAAACTGCTTGCTGCACATGCCGCAGAGCCGTAGTGCCCGGCATAGCCCACCGTGCCCAGAACCCCGACTTCCGACTTTGCCCCAAAGTCAAAAGTCTATAGAGAGCCGTAGCCATGGTACTCGACAGTATCAAACATACCCTGCACCGCCGAAGGCTCCATATATATCATAAGCTCCGGGCTGCGAGGAAAGAGATCTCTAATGCTATATGCAGGATATGCAGGAAGAGGTGCAGGAGTATCCACAAATCCAGATCCAGAACAGTCGAGAAGGTTGGAGAAATGAACGCTTCGTACTCCACTTTCAAGATGAGCCGCCGCAGCACCTCGCTTGCTAGTTCTCGACAGGTGGAGGGTGGCGGTGTTGAATGACGACGCTCCACGCACATTCAGTTCGCGTCTGCCACAAAGATCGAGTTCACCTTTTTCCCTCCTCCTCCTCCTTCTTCTTCTCCTTCATCTTTTCCTTCTTCTCGGTTTCACGCCTGGAGCTATTACACCACCCCAAGACCTGCCGTCTGTACGTGATGATCACTCATATACGTATATGACATATGGGAAGGGTGGGAAAAGTACAAGAATTGGCAGAAATGGCGAAATGGCAAGAAATGGCAGGCATGTTCTCGTTGGATTGGCAGCTTCCCGGGGGTTTAGCTTTCCCGCCCGCTGCCGGCTTCAATTCTTCAGCAGATGCTTCAGATACAGGGCTGGAAGGTGGATTTGTTTACGTTATGTATGAACATGCCCCTGCATGAAGGTGGATGCATGCATGAGTTGTGGACGGTATCTTCATTTTTAGAGCGCAGTAGCCCCAGCAGCAGAAGAGTACGAGAGTACTGCTGGTCAATCAACTTTTTGCGGAAAGGTACGCGATGGCGACAACCGGGATAACACCAACCCCCTCCCAACTCCAATAAAAGTTCGACCCGGCTGGTATGTCGATCACACCTTGCCTCCCCTATTCAGTCTATCTCAGCCTCCTGCTGTCTCCGCTTACCCGGGAACTGATGCTGATCATTATCGCAGACTAGGGAACGATTAAAGACTCTGATTGCCCGAGACCGGGCATGGAATGTCTTACGGTGATACCGGGTAGAGATGCTGCAATGGTTTGGTGAGGTAAGGAACACACTCAACTTTCATCTCGCCGCACTTGATGATGACCAAAAGTCAAGATACTGGAGAAAGCCCCCCGCGACGAAAAGCCCCAGGCGGCATCCCCCGCCCCCCCGCCCATCTGCAGCTGAGCTTGCGCGTCGTGACACTTCTGCATCATCATCTCCCCTCCTCAGCCTCTCTATCACCCACTCCCTCCCACAACATCCCCCCAATACACCGGAGAGATGGCCAACGAAACCCCCAAGACCACTGAAGCTCCTGTCAAGGACGGCGAGAAGAAGGAGGTGGAGGAGAAGAAGGAGGTCGCCCCTCCCCCTCCTCCTACTGTCAAGGAAGGTGTGTCTTTGTCCCCTTTTGGATTGGTGACTACGAGTGGTTAGAGTGCGGTGGGGTATGGTGCTGATGGGTATGGCGGGTAGAAATCCTCAACAATATCAGCTTGATCGGCCGGGCTGTGACGACCATCGAGCCCCGCTTCACCGTTCGTGTTCTTCGTACACTCACCAGTCTCAGGAAGAAGGCTGGTAAAGAAGATCTGAGGGAAGTGCTTAACCAGGCTTTCCCCAAGGGATGTAAGTGCTTTCCCGATCGATCTTGGGGGTTTTTGGGTGTGGGGATGAAGGCTGACAGGAGGTGGGTTTGTAGCCAAGACTGGACAGGCGTTGATAGCTTCTCCCATCTTCTCCGGATTGCCTGAAGACCCTGCGCCTGAGGCGTCTACTGAAGAAGAGTCTATGGACGTCGATGCTGCCCCTTCCGCCGAAGCCGCCACCGAGCCCGCTGCTCCCGGCACCCCCGCCCCCACCCCCGCGCCCGCTCCCAAGAAGAAGTTTTCCCCTCCCCTCGACTCTTCCTCCTCCGACCTAATCCCCGAAGGCGTCGTCTACCTCCGTCTTCTTTTGTTGCTCAAGAACCTTGATGCGGGCAATGTGAAGGAGGCTACCGAGTTTGCGGAAGAGACGGCGGAGCTTGTGTCGAGCTGGAATAGGAGGACGATGGATGCTATTGCGGCGAAGGTGTGGTTCTACCTTGCTAGGGCTTATGAGCTCCAGGGACGTCTTTCTGAACTTCAGCCGTGAGTCTTTTGCTGGAGGGGTGTGCGAGTATGGTTGTTGATGCTGTGTCTAGTCAATTGCTTGCCGTGCGCCAGACTGCTTCGTTGCGCAAGGACGAGACCCTCGAAGTCACAGTGCTCAACCTTCTCCTCCGCTCCTACCTCTCCGCCAAGCAATACGAGCAAGCCGAGAAGCTTGTCTCTAAAGCCTCCTTCGACGGTGCCGCCAACCAGGCCCAGACGGTCAGATGGTTGTTCTACAAAGGACGGCTGAGGGCGATCCAGTTGAACTATGCCGAGGCGAGAAACTATTTGCAGACTGCTATCAGGAGAGCGCCCAAGGATGAGGTTGCGCCAGGGTTCGTTCAGCTCGTGCGTACCTCTCCATGACGAAATCCGAGATTGAGCTAAATGGGGAACAGATCCACAAGTACTTTATCATCGTCGTCCTCCTGACCGGTGTTATCCCCGACCGCGCCCTCTTCCGCAAACCAATCCTCAAAAACGCCCTCCAACCCTACTTTCAAATCGTCCAAGCCGTCCGAAGCGGTTCCGTCCCCGACTTCCAGGCCGCCTTCCAAGCGCACGAAGCCACCTTCCTGGCCGACCAAACCCATTTCCTCATCCTCCGTTTGAGGCACTTTGTCATCAAGACGGCGCTGCGAACCATCACTTTGGCGTACTCCAAGATCTCCTTGGCGGACGTTTGTATCAAGCTTGGGCTGGACTCGGAGGAGGATACCGAGTATATCGTTGCCAAGGCGATCAAGGATGGGGTTATTGAGGCGCTGATCAATCCGCAAGGCGGGTATATGGAGAGTAAGGTGGCGAAGGATGTTTATGAGACGGATGAGCCGCAGAAGCAGTTTACCAAGAGGGTGCAGTATTGTACGACGGTGTATAATGAGAGTGTAAGGGCTATGAGGTATCCTCCTAATGCGCACCGCAAGGGTGAGTCATCGTTTCTTTTGAGTTTTCGAGACGTAAAACTGATAAAGATGTAGAACTCGACTCTGCTGCCGAGTCTCGGGAGCGAGACCGAGAGATTGCTCAGCTCATTCAAGAGAGCGAAGAGCCTGACGACATGGACGACATGGGAGACCTCTAGATGATCTTGCTATCGGTGAAGAGAGTAGCGTGTTGTTGCGTAGAAGCGATGCGAAATTGAAGATTCATATGCAAGATATATGACTATAGAGTCTTGGCCCTGAGGCTGTATTGAAAAGTGAAATCTAGTAGCGGATACTAGATATATCTATAAGTGCACGTAATGTGGTTGCCGAAAGCACGAACGCCCATCTATCCAACCCAACCTCGTCCACCAGAAGGAGGCAGCCCAGGCTTACTCTCCAACACATTCAACTTGACATCCGAGCTCGCCGGGCTCGACTTGCTGCTCCCTCCCTCCCTCGCCGTACTTCGACCTCCGCCGTAAGGCTTGCTTTTTGAAGGCGTCATGCCGACCGGGGTCTCACCTGGGAGATAGTCGTGCGCCCGCTTGCCGGGGGCGAGCTTTGTGGGACCCGTACGCGGTTTGCGGGCAGCAATGTCTTTATAAGACTGCTTGGACACGGTGGGGATGCCGAATGGGATCCGTTCGTTACTTCCGGCGCTGAGGCTCTTCTTGCCCATACCCAACCTCTTCTTCCTCTGCGATCGCCTCCACCACAAGAATGCGAATACGATCAACGCCGCGCCCACGACAGAGCCGACGACTATACCGGCGATAGCACCGCTCGAGAGGGAGGAGGAGGAAGAGACGGATTTGCCGGAGGCGGTGTAGACGCGGAGAGAGTTGAGGGACCAGTAGGCTTCGGTGAAGGCGGAGGGGGTGTTGGTGACGAAAGTGGAGCAAGTACCGGGGCAGCCGGCGGAAGTGTAGGTTGCGCCGGCGCTATGAGGGCTGTTAGCTTTGTGATGCGCCAGAGGGGAGAGAGAGACCTACTAGTCGCCGCAGAAAGTCAGGTCAAAGACGATAACGTGCTTGCTAAAGTCGGAGGTACAGGTGGGGATGGAAAAGTTGGCGTTGGGAGTGCCCCAGCCGGCCAAGTTGGTGGTTGCGGTGTCGACGTTCTGCGATACTGTGAACTAGATCCTTGAAGAGGCATAGGAGATGGCATACCTTGACGTCGTCTGGGACGGTAGCAGATCCCCTGGGCCAGAACCAAACGTTGATGGATCCAGAGCTGCGTACAGATATCAGCATTATGCCAAAAGGTAAGTCTCGCGATGTAGCTCACTTTTCAAGATCTCTCCACATAGCATACCATCCTCCTCCTTCACTGTTGACCCCACTGCCATACGTCCCATTCGTCGCGCCCTCGCCGCCGTCCATCTCAACTCCACACCCCGTATTCCCATTGGCATATGCGCTGCAAGCCGTCTCGCTCACTTGCCCATTCATATACGACCCTCCTTCAATCGTACAAGTGTCGGAAGTATGCAAAGAGACGGTGTTGACAGTCTGGCCGGTGGCGTTGGCAGAGATACCGGTGGTGGCGTTCCAGGCGGAGGAGTATTGGACGGGGAGGCCGTTGGCCCCTTCTAGGATATCGATTTCACCTCCCACTGGCCAGCCGTTCTTGGTCACAGTCCAGAAGGCGGGCCAGGTGCCACAGCCGACGGGCATATGATTCAAATCGAGGATGTAAACACCCTAATCACACCATCAGCTTGGCGCTCGTCGGGGTGAAGAAGCCGACTTACATCAGCAAAGTAGTCTTTACTACTGATCCTCACACTGTCTCTTCCACGGCCAGAGGCTACCGAGTCGGAATCGGCGCGCATGATGAAGGTGCTATCGCTTTGAACGTCGATGAGGCCTGCTGATTGACCGCTCGATTTTGAGACATAGCTACGGTTCGCGTTAGGCCACACGCAGGGGGCACTGAAGAGAATACATACTTGACGGTACCAGCGGTGGGATCATCATCCGTAAAGTAGTCTAGCAAAGTCACCATTAGCTTTCACTTCCATCTCGTGTCGATATCGAACGTACCAAAGTCATTCAGAAAGTCATCCCCCACATACGACTTTGCGAGCTTCAACGCCGACTTGGCAGTATAGTGTGTAGTGCTTGATGTTGTGGTGGTAGTCTGAGCGGACACTAAGAGAGTGGAAGCGGAGAGGAGCAGAGGGAGGAAAGATCTGGGAGGAGCCATGATCGATAAGACGCTCAAGATGTGGCTGAGGATAGGCGGTGAATATGGGACTGATGGTGGGGGATGATCGTTGACCACACTTCCAACTCAATTCGAAGAGTGGTGGTCGGAGTAGGTCGATGACGAGTCTGGTGACTCCCTGGTACCAATAGAATGCAAGGCAGCAACTGTGAAAGAGTCTGTCCTCAGCAGTAAGGCGGCTCGCTTCTTAGCAATTGGGGCCGATCAGAAACTTGAAGCTGCTTTGTTGTGTTGCTCGCAAGCAGTCAATAGATGGGACAAGAAGATGTGGGAGGATCGACGACTGGCGCGATTGGAACCACCACTCGCCTGTTGACGATATTAGAGTTCGGCGCGAAAAGGGAGAGAGGTCGGCACTCCTCAAAGTCGATACGATGCTGTCGAAATGAGTCGTGAGAGCTGGTTTTCGGAGAGAAGAGAGGTAAAAAGCAAGATGGACGGTGTCTCAATCCACTGGTCTGACCGAGGAAGATGATCTGCATAAACAGGTTGGTTTCTCACCCAGGGCAAGAGACCAAACGGAGGAAATTTAAGCAACAAATCAGGAACTTCCTCGCCGAACCCTTCACCTCTTTTGGGCCAATATTATGTCACCCTTCGGCTGGCCTTTAATTATCGTGATCTTGTACCCGAAAGCGGCAGTTTTACGAAGGCACTTTTTGAGATGAGGCGACGGAAGAATATACCAAGCTTTTCAGCCCACAGAAGATTTCACCGAACAGACGTGTTTGTTTATTTTGGTCCGCAATTCATCTTCTGTTTGTTGTGATCGCGCAGCGTTCGATGAGTCAACAAGAGCGAGCAGGCAAAGCAGGGAAATGATCAGAGGGTTGAAAGTCTCATTTGAGGTTGAGCCGGTGGCATCCTGTGAAAAAGGACGACTGCTTAGAGACCTTTCAGTATGATGATGATCTAACGGCCACATTGCCCCGATAGCTCATTACTAGCAATGATGTGGCGGTACAAGCGCCGCCGCTGTTTACAACTATGCCTCAGCCACCACTAGCCGTCCTACAAGTCCACCCAATAGTCATTCTACTCTTCCTGTGTATGTGTCTCCCTACGGTACCAGCTCATCTGCTCTTACAAGCGGGAGTACGAGGACAAACAATCGAGTACAGAGAGCAGAAGGTGATGATCGAGCAGAAGAAGGAGACGAGGGCCGCTGACTCTCGATTGTATGATGCTATCATCAGAGAGACATTGTTACGGAAGTCATTCTGACTGAAAATCTATCCATGCATATCAGTCCAGGTGCTTATCATATACGCTGCATCAGGACCAATACGAGTGCTAGGCTGTTGGCGACGGCGCAGGCTGCATGTCATGTCTTCTCCTTTCGACACCTGAGCAGCAGAGATGTGCCTCTGATCTCGTCTGCAATGCATACTATTGTGATCTATACCACAAAGACGCAAAGACTCTCAGAATACATTATGCCCCTATCGTGATACGCCAGCCTACTTCCCACAGCAAGTGACATGAGTATGGTATCAGCCAGTATCAATCCGTTCCCATCGTTCAACATCAGGACAAAAGGTAGTTGCCGTTGCACCTTCCAAAGCCCTGCGGCAGTAATATCGCTTATCGAAGCGGAGCTAATGGTATCCTTTCAGTCGTATTCCTTTTCCGAGAAGAAGGAGATTGTTGCTAGCTTAAATCGTGATAGAATATGTATCTTATTTCCACTTCGAAAGTGGTATTATATCGAGCACCTCTCTCCATCGACTACGTTCAAGCCTTCAAGCGACAAATATGGGCTCACACAACGACGACCATTCTTGCGTGAACCCCAACGACGAAGACGACGACGTTGAAATGATTGACGTCCCATCGACATCTCGATCTGCCTCCTCCTCCCCCGAGCCAAATGACGAGAACCAACCTCCCTCTACTCAGAGCGAGAACTCTCCTTCCTCGATGTTCAACTGGCAATCATACGACGGCTCCCGACGAGCGCCTCTTTTGCACTTGAACTCTCTCCCCGGTAGTCTCGGGTCTTTGGTACCGCCCTTGCCTGATGATTTGGAGGATGAATTGGAAGAGTATTATCCAAATTTGGAGAGGATATCTGGGGCTCCCGTGGACCGTCCTGTCACTGTCAGCAGCCCACCAGCAGAAGAAGGGGAGACTGACAAGGATGTCATTATGACCTCTGATGAGGCGCTCAACTTTGTGGCTCATTACAGATATGATTGGGAGAACGTGAGACCTGCTTCTTCCCGCCGCGGAACTCCTTCGCCAAACAGCCAGGCTCGAGAGGCCGGAAGGCACACTCTGGGCAGTCATCGGCAATCCGGGATCTCAAAAGCTTCTAGTCCGGGAAGGAGGACGGTGTATAGGTCGCCTTATGTTGAAGATGCGGTTGACGAAGATATCTGATGGGCTCTTTAAATGACATGCATGATCATGAGTCCGGTGTGCAAGATGATTTCTGCTTGAAAGAACGTATACACACCGCCACCCAAGCCGCAAGACCTCTACAGCACCTCTGACAAGCCGGCCCCTCCCAAACCTCTCACTTCCACCCAGCCTGGTCTCACCAACGGTGCACGGAAACCCACCTTGACAAATCCGATGATCTACCCCCAGCAGACTGTAATCCAGTTTTTAACCCTGTCCGACGAGAAAGCATTAGCACAAATGGTGCAGGACGAACTTGAGACTCACGCATTACACTCTGCTAGGGATTGATCTTGGGGCTTGTCCGCCGCGTTGTGGACTGGGGCGTTGTCTTCCACAGCTAGCACATCCTCATCCTATGCATGAATCAGCTGTACCACCCTTCGGCTGATGAGATGAGAGGAGAGCTTACCCCGATTGCCTCCTTGAACTCCTGCACTGCTTCCACCATCGCTGTCTTCAAGAATTGCTCTCGGTTGACCGCCCCTGTGATCTTGGTTCCCGAAGGGCCCGAAGGGAAGAAGACCAGTTTGGACTTATAATCCCAGCCGACAGCTCCACAATCATCAATGACCTCCCAACACTCTTCACGGTTCCTCGGAGATGCTTGAGATCATACTCCTGCCCTGCCATTCGAATGGTATAGCGGACTGGGCCATGTGATTTGCCGATTGGTCAAAGATGAACAGGGCGGCCGCTCGTGGAGCCACGGAAGGATTTCGCATCATCTGAATTGGTGTAAGTTCTTTGTACCAGTCAAGCAAAGTGGATGGTTACCAATGCAACGCTCTCACAGGGATCAATGATACAGAAGTTGTCGTCGTTTGACGTCTTCTCATGGTACACTGGATGGACGGGCAGAAGAGGATGACTGGTCGAAATTGAAGAGTGCGGTGATTTCAGAAAAGAAAAGGGAAAAAGGGGGTGTAGGCGTGGAATCATGTCGAAGCTACATGCTTATCAGCCATATTCAGACGTTAACATAAAGAAAGAATAAGAGAGCCTGTGCTTTCGGAATTCGTTTCCCCACCGCCATGATCGATGTCTATGTCAGCCCACTTTCCGTCTTCTGATGACTACCTCTTTGGCTGCTCATTATCCGGATTGCTCACCCCTTCATCGCTGACAATATCAAAACACACTGCTTCCTGCTTTCCCCGCGCTGGCTGGCGTCCTGAAAGAAAAAAGATCGGAGCCTTCTCCTCGTCTATCACTCTATTTCGATCGTCTCATGTATCACTGGCCTTTGATATTTCTTCCCACAAAGTACAGCGACAGAGCTGATAATAGAAGCTCCTGGCTAGCTTCCTTAGAACCTCCTGACTACCTTCCTTATAACCTCCTGACTACCTTCCTTAAGACCTCCTGACCATGACATTATTCAACTTCTTTTGACCGATAAGCACGCGCAGTATATATTATAAAGCTCGCCCAACCATCCATTAGCACAACAAAACACATAACGCATCACAACACGTAAACAGATCTACGACAACCATGCCTCCAGTACCCAACGATACCCCACCTTCCAACGATGACACCCAACAACCCACCTCTGCACCAAATTCGACGGCTACCAGTACCAGGGCTAGTACGCCATCCAGGATAGATGGTGATGAGCAGGACGAAGACGACACTAGTCGAATGCCCTCCTCCTTCTCCCAGCCAGGGCCGAGCAACCCCGACAGCAGTGAAGAAGAAAAGAGGCCCGCCCACCACTCCGACCTGGCCCTCACGGCCCTTCTCTCCGCCAACTCTGGCCGATGCCACGCCGATACCGACTTCCTGGGGGCAAGGTCTGCATCTGGCGGACTAGGGCTTGGTGGTTCGTTCCCGCAGACTCGGGGGGGGTTTGAATCCTTTGATGGTAGTCGTAACACTGAAAGGAGGGACGATGGGACTTCTAGTGGTGGCGGAGGGGCAAGGGCAGAAGGTGAAGAGGCCACGGAGGAGGGCTCGGCCTCTGACGATCGAGCGCCGACTCCAGAGAACGAAGGCAACGAGGAAGACCGCGAGTAGTACTAGACTTGTAGATGCACATACGCTCCAGAATGATGCAGAGGGATGAGCAAACCAACATGCCGTGGATTTCTCATGTTTATACATGCCCAGAGTCCATGAACAGTATTATACTATAACCCATTGTAAATCGTAAATCGTAAATGAAGAAGAGCACCTCCTCAGCTCGATGTCGTAATGCTTCTGCTCCCACCCCGGCCCACCATCCGCCGCGCTATCAATGAATACCTAAATACCCGAATGTCTCTACTCTTCCTCCTCTTCCTCTTCCTCTTCGTCACCATCCTCCTCATCGTCGTCTGTGGGTGGAGAAGGAGAAGAAGGAGAGGAGGAAGCGTCGCCAGATACTTGATGCGGCTGTTGAGCCAAAAAGCCAGCTGGAAAGTGTTCGTCAAGTACCACTTGCGAATAGTTCCTACCACCCCCATCAGCTTCCCTCTCTCCTCCTCCCTCAGAACAGAAGGGAAGATAGATACTTACCTAGGAATACACATATCCCCCCCACTAGGCCCCACATGCTCACAATGCACCTGGGGCCTCAACGGCACCATCGGCACATGCAAATTCCTGCACACCAAATTATCATCACCCGCCCTAAACCACTCGCCCAGATCCTTCCCTCCCAGCTGTTCTTCGCAGTCTTCGAAAGAGGCGTATTGCTGGTTGGTGCCGTTGCAGTAGGAGAGGGCGGTGGAACAGATTTTTTGGGTAAAGTAGGAGCGGAGGATGGTGGGTTGGGAGGTGTTTTGGGGGAGGGAGAGGCGGGCGGCCATGAAGGGGGTTAGGTAGCTGGGGGGTGTTAGCGTGGGGAGTAAAGGGTGAGGAGGTGGGAGACGTACGGTGCGAGGTCTTCGAATGCCTACATCATTGTATTATCAGCGCTCGTCCAGCAGTAAATGTGGAGAGAATGAGCTAAGACGTACCCAAGCGGCTCGGCGGAGGACGAGGTCGTACTGCTGCACTTCCAAGTTGTCGTTGAACAAGAACCAGATGTCGATCTGCACTGGCACGGTAGTGTTGAGTACTGGGTAGTAGACTGTCATCACGTCAGTCTGAATTCGCGAGAGATGAAGAGGTACAGACGTACAGCCGAACTTGACGGAAGCTTGGACGTAGGGTTCTTGGATCATCAATGCCGAGTACTATCGTCGCACGTCAGCCACCCAATTCTTGAGATACGATGGAGGAGGAGAGACGTACCTTGTAAGAGACGGGGATACCGTACGGAGACGGGTCAGTGGCATCTTTTGCTTGGCCAACAAAGAAGCCGAAAAGCTAGCAGAGACGAGGTCGGGTAAGGACGACGTGGTGTGGATTTTAGGATCGGCTCACGTATTCCCTGAAGACATGGTCGGTACTCGGTCAAGATGAGAAAGAATGTGGCTTACGTTGCGAGTTCACGCCCGTCAAAGCTGAGAGCACGAGGCGAGGTGGTCAGCTCGAGGGAAGACGAGGTGCGCAGTACTTAGCATACTTGGTAGAGACTAGCCAGGGCATCGATCAGGGCTGTTCTTTCTCTGGAACAGGTGAGACTCACTATCCACGGTGCCAGTAACATTCTCAGCAAACAGTGTACTATCCACAGCATCAGCACCTCTCTCCCGGTGGTTGATGTCACCTTCACCTGTTGATACTGTTCGCGACCTTTTCGTTGTTGGGTGAGAGATACTGCTGGATGAAGTTCTCGGTAGCGTTGAGGTAGTCTTCCCTGGTGAGGGCGTGGATGGAGGTGGCGGCGGCGAGGACGGCGAAGGTGGTGAGGAAGGGCCGCATGGTGGAGAGGAGAGAGATGGAGGGAAGAGAAATGTCTCAGGCGGGGTGGGATACTATATGTAATTGCGTCAGCCGCGTGAAGGGTGCCTCGGGAGTGGTTTCCCTGTATTTGTTTGAGAGGGAGACTGAATGAGGGTGACAACCCATCACCCCGGGACGCCGAAGGGCAAAATCACACGCGTCGAGTCGCTCCTCTGACATCATGGCACCACGGCGCTGCCGTCTCTGGCGCGAATGCCATCTTGTCCTGTCATGTATACTCTACAAAGACCAAAATCTACAATGTCCTGTCAGCACTCTGCCGGCGACGGCCTCAACCCAGCCAAAGCAGCCTACGAAACAGCCACCACATCATCCATGTCGTCCGTTCCTTAATCCCGCCTCCCCCTTCCCATCTTCAATAGATCACAACACAAACGCTGACTCTACCCATAGATTCACCCCCATCAACCAGATCCATCAACATCTCTGCGGCCTCCACATCTACGCCGACGACCCCCTCCGGCCCGTGCGCGCCCATCACTACTGTACGCACTTGAGGAAAGACCTGCATCAGTGTGTTATTTATGATGGTGATGGGCCGGGGGCGAGGCTTATTGGTAAGTCCCTTTGCTTCCCCGGAGATAGTAGAACAGGGGTGTCAAGGGACGACAGCTGATAGGGTATACTTCAGGCGTGGAGTATCTGATCCCAGAAGAGGCTTTCCAAGCCCTACCCTCAGAAGAGAAAAAGGTACTCATCCCACAGTTTCCCTCTAAAGTCTCTTCCCATTGTGCTGCAGCTGATAAGATGTGACAGTATTGGCATTCCCATAAATACGAAGTCGACTCGGGCATGCTCGTCCTTGGTACAAAGTCGCTCGTCCCCGGTACGTCCCCTTACCGCCCTCCTTTTCTTGTTTTGTTGAGAAGGCCCCGGGAGGCTTGTAGAGGGATATAGCTGATGTAATGGTAATTAGATGCAGTCACCGATATAGCCGAACAGCCCGCTATGATGGAGTTACACACGACGTATGGTAAGACGACGCACACTTGGTACGACGCCCCTCCTCTTCCTCTCCCCTCTTCCTCTCTCCACCCTCCTCCCTGGCTCCTCGCCCATCTCCTGCAAGTCGATGGGTAAGCTGACGAAAAAATGATAAGGCAATACGATATCCACCCAGACCTCCCCCTCGGGCCCCCAGCGCTGATGATGGCGTATACTGACGACGCCCAGCTTGCTTTGGGAGGAGGGAAGGGGCAGGAGGCTTTGGATGCGAGGGATAGGTACGTCCCTTCTTCTCCTTCTTGTTCTTCATTTTGGTGGTGACTTTGAGTCTGATGATGTATCACAGGGATCTGGGAGTATCAACACTCGCGAAACGTCAAGTTCGACAGAACTACCTTGCAGAGGAGGATTTGGAGAGAGAGCCGGTCGAGGGGTGTGATGTGGTTTGGAAAGGCAAGTTGGGGAATTGGAAGTTTGTCGAGAAGGAATGAATGAAAGGAAAGGGTCCATTTTGTACTGGCTACATACTCAATGCATCAAAGATGTGCGCTAGACAAGGATAAGAGAGCAGATAGTTTGAATATCAAGCCTTCGTTTCTTTGGTCGAGTATGAGAGTGATGAAGGGGGCGGATATTCTCCCATCTGGTCTGAGTTTGTTGCTTATGGCAGGTCTGAAAGGTGTCATAGTGGGCGGAAGCTTGCCCATGTAGTACCCGACGAAATCTCAAAGGTCGGCCCTCCATCCGGGGATCATCTGGGAAAAAAAGAACAAAGTCCTTCATCATACGTACATACCCAATCACAAAATAGCCTGCGCATTAGGCGGACTCGCAATACCCCCCTCCACAAACAACGGCATACTCGTAAACATGAACGTCCACCGCCCCAACTCTCTACACTTTTGCGCCAACTCATCAAGCTTGAAGAGCTCGCCGATGGGGAGGCCCCAGCCGGCGAGGAAGATTTGGTGGGAGGTGAGTTGGGAGGGGGTGGGCCAGTTTTCGTATGAGGGGCTAGAGTAATTGTGAGTGTGGTGTTGGAAGGGGTGGGGAGAAACTTACCAGTCGGAAGCGACAGCAGCAATCCCGTTCTCCCAATGCCACCTCCAAACATCCTCCCCCTTCTCAACCCCACAACTCCCATTAACCTCCCTCCTCCTCAACCCCTCCCTCTCCTCCTCCCCCAACTTGCAAATCGCCTCCGCAAAACCCGTTCGGACGAGGAGAATGTCGCCCGGGAGGAGGTGGATGTTGGCTTCGGCGGCGCAGGCTTGGAGGAGGGGGAGGGGGATGGAGGAGGAGGAGGAGAACGGGGAGAGAGGGGGGAGGGAGTGGGTGGAGAGGTGGTGGGGGATGTCGAGGAGGTGGGCGCGGGATGTTATGGGGTGACTCACATAGTCTGAGGACAGTCAGCTCCTTTTCCTCATTGTGCATACAGGTGGCAGGGACTTACTCTGGGTACCCAGCTTTTTCACATTCACGTCACTCGCCTCCTCAAGCGTCATACCATTGTAAAACCTACCCCCCATATCAGCCTTTGCAAAACACATTCATGAAACATGAACGGCACGGACCTGTATTGTCCCTTCTCCGGCCAGTCTTGATATGGGTAATGTCGGAGACCGTCCCATTGAGTCGATGTCTGGGTATTGAGCGCGAGCTCGTCGTCGTTGGAATGTCCGCTACACTTTCTACCCCTCCTCCATCAGCTTCAAGCCCTTATCAGAGTCGAGGAGATAGTCATGACGCTTACATATTGTGTTCGAGCCTCTTGCGGGAAGCATGAGCCGGGAAAAACGAAAGCGGCAAACTATCCACCCTTTATCAGCACCCTCCCCCCTCTCTTAGAATAGGAGGTAGTATAAGAGACATACTTGAGATTGATAGCGATCCCCTCAGTGATGGTATTCTTCCCACGTTTAACAGACTCTGGGGTGATGAGGTTCAACCGGCCGAGCTCGTCGTCGGGACCGTAGAGACCCCAGGCATTGTAGGGCGGGCCTTGTTTGTCGATTGGGAGGGAGTCGAAGGGGGGGATTTGGGGGGTCATCTTTATGGAAGTATGGCTGGGTAGGTTGGAGAGTGGAAAAATGTTCAAAAGTGCAGCTGGAGTGGACTCGTGGAATGACGAGGAGGTGGAGGCGATGTCCGGATGCTTCGGGTAGCCGAACCCGGACATCGCGCGTCATTCGTCCCAACCTGCCATCGCCACCACCCCTTCCAATCGCATCGCATCCCCCTCTCTCCACACCCATCCCCTCCTGTGAATATGCCCCTCCCACCCCCCACCGTCGCCATAACAGGCCTCACAGGCTTCATCGCCACCCACACCGCCCTCGCCTTCCTCGCCCACAACTGGTCTGTCCGCGCTTCCGTCCGATCCCCCGCCAAAGCCGAACAGGTCAAGGACCTTAAAGTCTGGGAGAGGTATTTGGAAGAAGGGAGGTTGGAGGTTGTTGTGGTGGAAGATTTGGGGGGAGGGGAGTTGGCGGAGTTGTTGGAGGGGGTGGAGGGGGTGGCGCATTTGGCGGCGCCGCTTGGGATGTGGGTTCTTGTTTTTCTTGCGCTTGGGTGGTGCTTCTTGTTGGTGGGGGTTGGTGGCTGATGAGTTATAAAGGACTGAACTCGGCTGGGAAGGGTACAAGAAACCCACCATCGACGGTATGCTCAACATCCTCAAACAAGCTAAATCTGTACCCTGTAAATCCATGCTCCTCCATGCTCCACTTCTCCATCTCTACTCTGGCATAGCTGACGCAATCGACCAGCCATCAAGGGAATCTCCGTCATGTCTTCCATGTCCGCCCTATACGACGTCCAAACGCCCGAAGCCGAGCAAGACGGCAAGATCTATACCGAAGATGTATGGACGCCGCTCACTGAAGAGGTCGCGTTGGACTTTGATCCCGAAGAGTACGTCTTCCTTTACCCCATGAGGAGGAGCGGGAGAGAGAGAGAGAGAGAGAGAGAGAGAGAGAGAGAGAGAGAGAGAGAGAGAGAGAGAGAGAGAGAGAGAGCTGATTGGAAGATACTGTAGTCCGAAAGCGATGTGGATTTACTATGGTGCGGCGAAGCGGTTGGCGGAGGAGGCTGCTCTGGCGTTTGTGGAGGAGGAGAAACCTCAATTCAGCGTGGCTACTTTTTGTCCTCCCAGTACGTCCCTTTTCCCCACATCCCGACTTATCCCAGTCTAACACGTGACTGTAGTGGTCTACGCTCCTTTCCACCACATAATCTCCCTCTCCCAGATCGCAAACACCGAGGGTTCCCCACCCATCTTTGCTTCCCTCCTCTCCGGCCGTGACGAGCCTTTACCCTCGAAAGGCGGGTTTAGCTGGGTCGATGCGAGGGATGTGGGGGAGGCATTCTTTAGGGCGGTGGAGGGGAGGATCTCGGGGCGATTTCTTGTTAGCGCTGGGAGTAAGTTCCATCCTTCTTATCTCTCCCTCCATTCCTCCAAAAAAAAGAAAACCTACAAGAAAGGAACTGATGAAGGGGTCTAGAGGCGAACCAGCAGATATTCGTCAACAAGCTCCGAGAACTTCGGCCCGATCTTGATGAGTACATCATCAAGGGTGAGCATTCGGACGACAAACTTGGGCCGACGTCGTATATCGATGCTACAAAGTCCAAAAAGGTCCTCGGGTTGGAGTGTGAGTATCTATCTCTCTTTCAAACATTGCTTGGGGAAGCAGGTGGAAGGGAATAGTGCTGAATAGGAGGTATACAGATCGACCGATGGAAGAGACTTTGAAGGATACGGTAGACTATCTGGAAAAGATTGGGGCGTTTGAGGAAGCCCCGGGGGCGTGGAAGAAGGCTGGGAAAGAGTAAAAGACTGTGATTGCCAGCAGAGTGAGATTATGTAGTAAATCTTGATATAAATGATACGTTGCGATGCATGTAAAGTTTTTGTGGGACTGTTGCAGAGCGTTTTTAGCTTGGACAATGTAAGCTAGCTCGGGTCTTCGGTGGACTGGCCACGATAACTGGATGCACAGTGCCCACGCCATGCATCAGAACACAGAAGAGCAGCGATGCGGGACCAAACACACGCGCGACGAAGAAATCGGACTTAACATCGAAATGCTTCCGCCACAGCGTCCAAATTCCGCGGCGTTCCTGAATTCCTGCGCTCACTCTGTGGCGGGTGTTGGTGAGTTCGGGTGGGATAGAGACGTCCTCAACCATCAAAATCTAACCGTGAGCATCCCACACCATACATCCCACCAGCCCACTGACCCCCAGCCTCTCCTTGCCCCTTCCCCTCCCACCTCGCTCCATACCCATCCCCTCCACAACTCTTTCCGACTCGCACTGCAAAATTCGAACAACTTAGCTCAAAATGAAGGACCTCTCTTCCGTCGAGACTTTGAACGTCCCCGAGGGTGTTACCGTCGAGGTTAAGGCCCGTACCGTCACCGTTGAGGGTCCCAGGGGCAAGTTGACCAAGAACGTTGGTCACATCCAGATGGACATCCAGCTCGTGAGTTTTGTTGGAGGTTTTGGGTGAAATTTTGGAGTGGGCATGGGGTAGACGGGGCATCAGGAGGGGACAGAGAGAAGTAGCACATCGGGGGGATTTGGAGGAGGAAGAGCAGAGCAGACGTCGAGGAGGAGAGATGCTGGCCAAATTTGGCGAATGAGAGCCGATGCCCCATGCCCCACTCAAATTGCCCCACCATCGTCCACCCCGCTAACTCTCTTTCCCCCCAGGTCAAGACCCCCAAGGGTTCCAAGGTCGTCTTCACCGTGTGGCACGGTGCCCGAAAGCACGTTGCCTGCCTGCGAACCGTCAAGTCCCTCGTCGAGAACATGATCATCGGTACCACCAAGGGCTTCCTCTACAAGATGCGTCTCGTTTACGCGCATTTCCCCATCAACGCCATCCCCGCCGACGACGGTTCTTCCCTCCAGATCCGAAACTTCTGTACGCCTTTTTGATCCAGGGAAAGGGAGGAGAAGCTAATGGGGAGAATAGTGGGTGAGAAGATTGTCCGAGACTGCAAGATGCTCGAAGGCACCACCGTCGCCCTCTCTGAAGTCAAGGATGAGATCATCCTCCAGGGTAACGACATTGAGAAGGTCTCCCAGTCTGCTGCTTCCATCACCGACAAGTGCCGAGTCAAGAACAAGGATATCCGAAAGTTCTTGGATGGTACGCTTCTTTTTCTTCTTGTGTGAGGCCCAAAGCTGATTTGGAGGATAGGTGTCTACGTCTCTGAGCGAACAACCGTCGTCCAGGACGAGTAAGGAGTTTTTCTTCCTTGCTTGACTGGAAGGAGATAGAGAGGGAGGTGGTTGGGTCCGAGTCTACTGGTTTGGGGTAGATCAGGATGTAACATTCATGACGCATACACTATGGTTCCCGAAAGTTGAGAGAGGAGAGGAGTGTTTCATGGGGTTCTGAGATGATTGGGATAAGGAGTGGGCGGATCGAGGACTTGACAGATGGTGTGCAGAGCAAGACAAGGATCGATCGACATGGTGCTCCTTAGCTTGGGTTGATATCAAGTCTCTGGACCCATATCTTGTCTTGTTGCAAAAGTACCGTGAAATTTGGCTGCTTGTCGTACAACTTTACAACCCATTGCAACGAGCCAAAGACGATCGATCCCTCAAAGCAGCCAAGCAGCGCTTCTCCATTCTTCCTATTTGCACATGCGTACATCTGCACCGAGTCTTTCTTGGAACCTTACTTAGGGGCTCCCTAACGACGCATGGCACCCTAATAACGACCCACGGGACCCTAAAGTATATCCACAGGCAATGACCATGCGGCGGTGCACTGGCCAGGTATATAACACTGTGGATCGCTTCTTGGTTCTGCCCTCATTCATACAGCAAACGAATAACCCACAATGACGCCCAACTCTCCCCTTATCGCTATCACCGGTATCAATGGCTTCATCGCTGCCGAGGTCGTCCTCCTCTTCCTCGCTCGAGGCTGGCACGTCCGCGGTTCCGTCCGTACCTCCACCCAAGCCGAAAAGCTCAAGAACCTTCCCGCCTATGAAAAGTACTTTGCCAGCGGCCAGCTTGAGGTGGTGGTAGTGGCGGATCTGTCGAAGGCTGATTTCACCGAGCTGCTCGAGGGTGCGGATGCCGTGGCGAGCCTCGCGGCGCCTCTCCCCAAGTGAGTTACATCTTCATTCTTTGGGAGTCGTGCTGAAATACATGATAGGCCTGGTGATCCCACTATCACTTGGAGCGACTTCAAGCGTCCTACTATCGACCCTGTGCTGAGGATCCTTGACTATGCCAAAAAATCTACCAGTACGTTCCAATCTTTGCTCAGCAGACTTTACTCTTGAGACGGTCATACTGATAAGGTTGATAGCTATCAAGAGTGTCGCTATCATGTCATCTTCCGGCTCCTCCATCAGATTGGACCATCAACCCAACAAGGAGGACGACTGGACGCCTTACACTGAGGAGTATTGCGAGTCTCTTAGCGCTGCTACGTACGTGTTGTTGCGATCTCCTGTTTGACTCGTTCTGATCATGGGCGTCTTTAGCAACCCTCTGGCCACTGCCGTCTGGTATTTTGCCGCCCAGAAGTATGCCGAGGAGGCTGTTTTGAAGTGGCAGGAGACTGAGAAACCTTCCTTCGCTATCTCTACTTTCTGTCCTTTCAGTACGTCCCCTCTCTCCACATACTCCCTCAGATTACTGACTCCATCATACAGTGGTCTACGGCCCTGCACACTATATCCCCTCCCTCGCCAATCTCAAGGCTCTCACAGGCTCCACCGACGAATTCCTCAACCTTTTTATCGGTAAAGACCAGCCCTTTCCAGGACAGTTTTCGAAAAGCTTTGTGGATGTTAGGGACGTTGCGGAGGCGTCCTATCTTGGTATTACCAAGGAGGTTTCGGGCAAGTATCTGGTTTCGGGACATGGTACGTTCTTCCCCTCAGGGTCCATGAAGGATAGAACGCTGATGGATGAATAGAGTACAGCTGGCAAGAGCTTGCGGATAAGCTTAGGGAACTCCGACCCGACTTGGACGCTTACTTTCCGCTTGGAGAGCCTGGGACGCGGACTCCGGAAGACTGGTCTATGGATTCTAGCAAGTCCAAGAGAGAGCTCGGTATTGAATGTGCGTATCTTTATCATCTTTCCGTAAGGGCGGCGCTGATGGGCTGTAGACCGCTCGACTGAGGAGACTTTGAAAGGTGCTATCGACTTCTTTGAGGGCCTTGGGCTGTTCAAGGAGGCACCCCTTGGGGCGAAGGCGGCTTTGTCGAAGACTGGTATACAGTCTTTAGCGCTTCACACCTGCTAAGATGAATGCATTGCGTACCTAGTATACAGTCTTTAGCGCTTCACACCTGGTAAGATGAAGAAGCAGACATGTACACCAGCTATGGAAGATAGTCGCCAACCCAACGCCAACCAGTCGCCAACGAACAAACGATTTCCTCGAGAATAATTCCGTTACCTTACGTAACCTGGGGCGTCACTCTCTTGCATTCAACGAATTGCCCAGGAATTGCCCGCTTCCGTCAAAACGTCAAGCATTCCCTCATCAGACTTCTTTCCCTCCACCACATCGACACACCTTCCACCCAAGTCATTACACCCCCCCTCTTCACTCTCCTTCCCCCGAGCAAAAGCAAGAAAGCGAGAAAGACGTTAGGAAAAGGCAAACACAATGGCCGAAACGATCCTCCCCCTCGAACTGATCGATAAGTGTATCGGCTCCCCTATCTGGGTGCTCATGAAGAATGAACGAGAGTTCTCGGGGACGTTGATGGGGTTTGATGATTTTGTTAGTACGTTACCCAAGTCTTCCGCCTCTATCTTTCTCCGTCTGGCTTTCTCGAATTCGAAAGCAAGTTTGAAGGCTGGATGCTGATGGGGTTCATAGATATGGTGCTCAAAGATGTCAAGGAATAGCAAGTCTTCTTCTCAATCTCCATATGTATGGGAGTCATAATAGGGAGTGATGGGCTAATGTTGAGCATAGTGAGGTGACGAAAGAGGGCATCAAAGAGACGGATCTGGGAGATACGCTGTTGAATGGAAACAACATTGCTATGGTATGTCTTTCTTTCCTCTTCCTTCCCCTTCATCCCACTTCTTCCTCTCTCTCCTCTTGAGTAAGATACCTCTTACTTGGGCCGACGGCTGGGATTCTGGGAATGCGGGAATGATAAGACGCTGATGATGGGTCGTTGTAGCTCATACCAGGCGGGAAGGGGCCTCAATAAGACGCCTTTCGTTGTCGTTGGGGATTAGACACTGTGAAGAAGGTAGGGAGGATTCGGACGGAGCGGAGGGCATGGGCATGAGAGTGGGAGAGAGTGGGACAGATGGAGGAAGGGGTGCTGGAATGTATTAACTATCAATATGACAGGACAGATGGAGGAATGTTTGCAGGCCTGTGGTGTATACTGTCGAGAGGTGGTATACAGGATGGCTGGTGGTAGGACCGATACAGGTTCTGACAGGCATCATGACACTGTGCCTCAGCTTGACTCAAAGAAGTGGGATCGATACACTCAGAAACGCAACACGGCACGCTCACTCGCCAGAACGCAGAGGATGTAAAATGCTGAGATGAGATACATTAATGCTGCCGACTACCACAAGCCTTTTACTTCATATACACTTCTCTCTTCTCGTCATGATATCTCCTTATTGGCCTTGCATTTGCGCTAGAAAAGATGACGGTCAGCTTTCAATTATGACGCAGAGAATTAAGACAAGTGTCGAGATGGAGACATACCAGCATTGTGCTCGTTAAACCTTGCTCCAACCCTCTCAGAGTGCTTCAACCACTTGTCGGTACAGTTCTGGACACATGTAGTCTATTAACAAAAGTCAGCGACCGAACACAAAAGGATGAGGGGGCAGGCGTCATAGATCGCAAAAGCGCCAGGTGACCGATGGCGTAGGATCGCAGAACGCACTTCGTTGGAAGAAAGCGACTTGGTGGTAAAGTCCTGAGCACACGAGTTGAAGCACTTCTCGACGAGACCAGAGTAGAGCCTCATAAAGTCTTGCATCTGTCCATAAAAAAGTCAGCGCTCTCCTGTCTCCTGCTTGATTCGCCCACGGGGAGGGTATATGACTGACCTGCTTCTTCTCAATGAACTTGGTCATGTGAGCCTGCTCGGTACCGTTGAATTGTGAAAAGTCCATGGTGTTGTTGTGGGTTTTGGATAGGGGTGATGGTGATGGAAGGAATTGAAAAGTGCGAAAGAGCGAGGAGGATAGATGGCGGAGGTGGCCGCCTCCGAGCTGTGCTGGCGCTCAACTAGAGTGCCATGTCCTCTATCATCGCGTGTCCACAGCGTATACCACGCGTCGAGCATGTTCAAATCCTTCCCCAAGCTCCCCTCCCTCCCGCAGGCCATCGGTCTCCCCTTCCTCTCCACCCAGGAGGACGCACAGCTCAAGTTCAAGTCCAGCCCGAACGGTATCAAGCGTCTCTATGGCGAGATCCCTATCCCGCTTTCCGACGTGACGTATTGGTCACAGTACTATACGCTGTTCAATAGCTCGGCGGACGTGTACTCTTTGATATCTGTACAGGATGGTGAGTGGTGTTTGTCGTTGGTTATTGGCGCAGCGCGCTGACTGCGCTGCTAGTTCGCCAAGCCCTTACTGCCAACCCGCACAACCTCGCCAACCTGCTCCTCACCCTCTCTCATCACCTATTCACCCTCATCCCCGACCCTTCCTTCCCCCGTCCCACGCAAGGCTACCAAGCGACGCAACAAGATCTCGCCAAAGAAGCGCTGAACTGTCTGAGAGTGCTGGGCCGGATCTTGGTGGTGGTGTACGAGGCGGAGGCGGATGGGCGTGATATCAGAGGGAGAGGGGTGGACTTGGGAGAGACGTTTGCGGAGAAGTGGCTGTATAGCCGGCAGAAGATGGAAAAGACGCAGGAGGAGACGGGTGAGGAACAAGCAGAGCAGTTCAAGCTTGAAGACTCGGATGATGAGGGAGAGGACGAAGCGGACGTTGGGGATGTGGATGAAGGTGTACGGGCTTTCCAGGCCACTGTTGGGAACCCGCCCAAGGTTGAGGAAGAGCCGGGAGCGAAAGAGGAGGCGATTGACGATCCTTTGACCAAGGCTGCAGAGCAGGAAGAGGTTGAGGAAGATGTCGAGTACTTGCCTTCTCTTATAGACAGGCTGTTTAGCTGTGTTATCGACCTTCTCTTTTGTGCTGGGTTCACTCTGCCCCCCAGCGTTGTGGGAGACGACCACACTGACAAGATCAACGTAAGTGGATATATCTCGAGGCCAATGAGGCTGACCGGGCGCAGTATGTGATCTGGGAGAAGGGTGTAGGAAGCACAAGCGAGATTGGGAGTACCGCAGAGCTCGACAGAAACAAAACCGAAGTCCTTCGTACGTCCTCAATGTCACTCTCTTGGCTTGACTGACCCCCCGCAGACTTCCTCCTCGTCCTTCTCTCGACAACCATCTACACCTCACCCAACTCACTCTCCACCACCCCCAACATTCCCCTCCAAACCCTGACCCACTCTCTCGAACGCCGACTCGTCCTCTCCTTGCTCTGTTCATTCCTCAACACATCCCTCACACCGTCAAAATCAAATGCGTTGGGTCTTGGGGTGCCGAATTATCTGATGGGCAATGCGGCAGAGGAAAGGAGGACGTTGGTGAGGGCTAGTTTGTCGGTGTTGCTGGTAGCACTGGATTACAAGGTGGAAGGGGAGAGGAATGCGATGGGAGAGGCAAAGGAGGAAAATGCTTTCAAGTATTTTGTGTCCAAGCTCGTGAGTAGCCCCCAGCTTTGTAGGTGTCAAGCTGACGTCGAACAGCATCGCAAAGAAGACTTTGCATTCATCCTCGAAGGCATCCTCCGCACTCTTTCAGAACACAACGCCATCACCACCACCTACCTCCCTAACGCCAAGCAGCCCGTACCCTACATTCTCGAAACATACATGCTCCTCTGGCGCCTTATCGACCTCAACAAACGTTTCCGACAGCACCTGCTCGACTCTGGCAAATCTCTCCATATCGTGTGCTTTATCCTCCTCGCGTGTTTGGAACACAAAGACGACCCAGCACATCAAGGTCTGCTCAGACTATTGAGCTACCTCCTTCAAACGCTTTCGTCCGAACCGGCGTTTGCCAAATCCCTCAACCAGACTATCCCTCCCTCCATCCCCATCCCAAGTAAATGGTCCGTTCACGGCACCGCCGCAGACTTTCTCATCCTCTCCATATACTCTATCGCCACGACGCCGGGATTGAATCAGCTGTTCCCAGCGTTGACAATTAGCGTGGCGAATGTGGCGCCGTACGTAGCAGGGTTGGGGGTTCAAGCTGCAGGGAGGTTGATGGGGTTGTTCAAAGCGTTTTCGGCGCCGAATTTCTTGCTGGCTGATGAAGGGCATCCGAGGCTCGTCTACTATCTGTAAGCTTTCCACGAAAAGGAAAGGAAAGGTGAAAGAAAGCTGACAGGGGGTAGGCTGGAGACGTTCAATTCGGTGTTGTACCACAAGCTCACGGAGAATCCGAATTTGGTGTATGCTATTCTGAGGTCGCATCAGGAATTCCAGACGTTGGCGACATTTACGTTGATGTCGGGGTTGAGAGATATCCAAAGACGAAAAGCTTTGCGGGCTGCTGGTACGTCTTTCTCAACCCTCTTCTCCTTGATACCTCTGACGCGTGTCATAGCCGCTGAGAAAGCCGCCAAAAAAGCCCCAGCCAATACCACCCTCTTCTCAGCCGACGACGTTGACGCCCAAAACCAAGCTGAAAAGTCCGCCCTGCTCGGGGATCACGGGAACGGACAAGAACTCGACGAAGACGACGCGCAGGCTTCGTTGTCTGCTTTGAACCGCTCGTTGCCTGGGGTGGATGGTGATGGGCAGGAGGCAGGAGGGGGGGCTGTTTCGGATCCGCTCCAAGGACCCTTTGTCAACAACCCTCCTCCACCGACGAGTCGGGCCATGTCCGAAAAAGCCCGCGGCAAGATGCGTGCGACAGAGTCTACGAGCTCGTTGACGACTATCAACGGTACCGCCGCCGCCGGGGAAGGTAATGAGGGGGAGCGGGTGGTGGATGAGGCGGATGAAGAGTTGTTGAAGGTTGCTTTGGCGGGGGTAGGGCCGAATGGGTATGTGCCTACGCAAGAGTGGGTTACGAGCTGGCAGAAGGGGTACGTCTTCCATCCTCCCTCTTCCTTTCTTCCTTCTTTCCCTCCCAATCATTGTGAGAACCAAGCTGATGAGATGTGAACAGATTGCCTCTCGACCCCGTACTCGTCGCGATATCAGAACTGCTCCCCAAGATCCAAGAGACCCAGCAGCCGATGGTGGGATCACCGAGCGGAAAGGTGTTTGGGATTTTGAAAGGCGTGGAGCTTGGGGATGTGTTGCCGCCTGCCCCTCCTATCGTTCCTCGTCGATTCCAGGCAAGTCTCTCCCCTCCCTCCCCTCCTTACCTCTTTGCAAGCCATGTACTAACACAAAAGCAGTGGTCCCCCGCCTCAGCAATCTGGCTCACCTCCCTCCTCTGGGGCGACATCTACGTCGCAGGCTTGACGTCTTCCGGGATATGGCGGGATACGCAGGTGAGGCTGTTTGGGATCAAGCAGGCGCCTGTGGGGAAGGGAAGGGGGGCGCAGGTGGGGAGGGTTTTGAAGATGATTGGGGTTGTGTAGAAGAAAGAGATGGATGTGTCAGGAGAGCGTTGGAGGGTTTTGGCATTGTAAGGAGGTGTTGAAGAATGTGCATGCAGATTGATATATATGCCGCGTCTTCTGTCGCGTTTTATCTGAGGCTGTGTAACTGCCACTAGGGTACGCTACGCCTATCCGCCCTCTTACAGTTTATCGGTTGTTTGTCGATATGTTCTGTTCTTCTGTTCTGTTATGTTCTGAGTGGTGTTGGATGATCATTGTACGAACTCTATATCATATACGTATCAGTCGCAGGGGGTTGAACAACATCATGGTCATGGTCAGGGGTTTCTAAGGAAGGCCGGATATGTGAACAGAGCAGTAAAAGTGTGTGATGAGTGGTGATGGGTGTATTGGCTCTTTCATGGTACATTGTGGGGAAACACATCACATAACCAGCGACATAATGAGAGAAGACACCTCTGAAACACAGTACCCAATTACAGCATGGTACGTACTCTTGACTCTGCATATGATGTTCCAACACAAGGAAGCCATGATGGTCTGCTCGTTCCTCTGCATCATCCTGGAGCGTATGTGAATTTGCAAGTGCTACTCGCGGTCTTCCTCGTTGCCCTCCTCCTCTGGCGTGGGCGCTCTATCGTCAGAAGTTGAGCTTTCCCTCGTGACCTCCTTACGTTCTGCCCTTGACCCTGCCGCTCTTCTCCCTCCGCCACCACTAGAAGTCCCATCGTTCCTCCTTCCACTATTACGACTACCATCAAAAGACTCAAAGCCCCCACGAGTCCGCAGGAACGAACCACCAAGTCCAAGTCCGCCACCAGATGCAGACCTTGCCCCTCCGACGGCTTCTCGAGCCTGGCTGTTTGGCGAAGGAGTCCCGCGGCGGGAAGAAGCAGGTCTCACGTACTCTTCCAAGTCATCCTCCGAATCATCAGGCAAGGGCGGTGCCAAAGACCCGAGACTACCGGGGAGAGAGTTCAACTGCAGTAGAGGCGCCCGTCGGGAGCCGTTGTATGATTGCCAGTTGAACATCGAGGAAGGAGGGTTCTCGCCCTGGGTAGAGGGAGGTTGGTTCTCGTCATTTGGCTCGGGGGAGGAGGAAGCAGAACGAGATGCCGATGAAACGTCGATCATTTCGACGTCGTCGTCTTCGTCGTTGGGGTTCTTGCGAGAAGGGTTGTCGTTGTGTGAGCTCATTTGTCGCTAGAAGGCCGAGAGTAGTCGATGGAAAGAGGTTCTCGATACAATAACACGATACTATATATCACGATTATAGGTCAGAGGGTTTGGAAGGCCGTTACGTACTCGTACTTTCTTCTCCGAAAAGGAATACGACTGAAAGGATACCATTAGTTCCGCTTCCAGAAGCGTTATCACTGCCACAGGGTTTTGGAAGGCGCAACGGAAACTACCTTTTGTCCTGATGTTGAACGACGAAATCGGATTGATTCAGGCTGATACCATACTCATGTCACTTACTGTGGGAAGTAGGCTGGCGTGTCACGAAAGGAGCATTATGTATTTTGAGGGTCCTTGTGTTCTTGTGATATAGATCACAATAGTAAGTATTGCGGACGAGATCAGAGGCACATCTCTGCTGCTCAGTCGTCAAAAGGAGAAGACATGACATGCAGCCTGCGCCGTCGCCAACAGCCTAGCACTCGCAGTGGTCCTGGAACAGCGCATATGATCAGCACCTGAACTGATATGCATGGATGGATTATAGCCAGATTGACTTCTGTAGCAATGTCTCTCTGATACAAGTTGTTGCCGAGTCAACCTCAGTCATGTGGAGAAACAATGCCAAGCCAGGTGAGACCCAATCAGCTTTTCTTCTTTGTTATGGGGTTAGTCAAGATGCTAATACACGACACCATCTCATATGGTCATCAGGTCCCGAAGATTTACACTGTGGAAGATCATTTGGCGATCTACAGTCAACTCCACACTGCCCTTCAAGCTTCAGCATCAATTTGTTAACATCCTTTCTCTACACAACATCAGATAATCCGCTATGCTCTGTTCGCTGCGAGCTTTTCCCCTCCCCACTCTGATCACTCGTCTGCGTTTGGGCGGGGTCAGCTTGTCCGCTACAGTGCACACGCACCGCCATACGAGAACACCAAGCGAAGGGGAAGAAACCTCACCACTCGGAGGACAGGTGGTGAGAAGCGAGGGGAAGCGGCAAGGAAACAGATAAAAAAAGGCGCGTCGGCTGCATTCACATTCCGACTCTGATCACTTTACTTTGCTGTTGCCTGCTTCATATATTCCAGTTGCCAGCTTTCCATCCATAAAACCCAGTCCTCAGCCCTCAGAGATGTCCACGACCTTGATCACCCTCACCAAACAACTCTACAACTCACTCACAAACCTCGCCGCCACCGACGGCTCGCCAGCCTTCATCTCCCGCACCCCCAGCTCGTGGTACCAAGTTTATGACGATTCGAGTAATTGTTTCGACGTATTGTTGTCTGGGTCTGGGTCTGGGTCGGGGTATTGGATTGAGAGGATGGAAGGGCCGGAGGCAGAGAATGTGGTACGTCGGCTCCGTCCCTCTGCTAGGCTCCCTTCACTCCTTCGCCCCTTCGGGGCAGGTGGAAGTGGGAAGTGAACTTGTGAAGGGGAAGGACTGATAAGTAGTCATAGATATCAAGGAGATAATTCTGCAAAGCATGGGCGTGTGCCCGCCGAATGATAGCGTTTCTCAGCGATCTCGAATCGACGATACAAGAATGGCACCATTCAAGGCAAGGCAAGACTTTGAGGCCATCTCCAATCTCTTGCGCAAAGTAAGTAATCGTTGTGCTTTCGCCCGGTGGATGGGTAGCTGAACTATATGGGAATAGTATGAGGCCTAACACCTAAACGCCTGGGAAGCCACAGGCTACCTCCCCCGCAACTACGCCGCCCCCCCTCCCACTGCAATACCCCACCCTCATCCACAAACCCCACCATCCCCTCCCCCTCTTCCTCCTCCACCCGGAACTGGGGACCTCCAAGCGAACACATGCAAGCCCAAAACATATCGGTATATGGGCATAAGGCGCCTTTCAGCGCACTGTATGTGCTCATGTGATGTGAGGGAGGTGTTGGAGATGCATGAAGAGGGTTTTTGGAAGAAAGGTGGTGGCCGGATCCTGGGGGGTTTGGGGTAGAGTGAGGGTGTCGATTTGTGAGTAGGAAAAGTCTGAGCTACTGTACATAGATGTGAGTTTTGATGTATCGCTGATGATTACCGACAGAACACTCACTTTTGCTATACAAGGCTCTGCAGTGATCTGTCTCGACTCCTCTCTCTACTTGTAGATCCGGTTCTCGACACGACCACCTACATTACCATCTCAATCCTCTCTCTGATATCTGCATGCACATACCCTCTTTCATCCCCCATGTACATGAATGAAGGCATCAACGAACGAAGCGAAAGTGGCACGGGTTGACCGATTCTTCCGACGGGATACACCTCGGCTCCTGAAGTAGGGGAGGTGCCTTTAATGCCGACGCCGGATCGCCGAGGGGTGACTTGCCGCTTTCTTCCCTGGAGTTGACTGGAGTTGACTGGACCGCAGTTGACTGCACGGCCCCCCCGCAGACATATATATACCCCTCCCCCTCCATCCCCCCCTTCTCTCATCCCCACCATATCTTGCAATGCCCAACGTCGTCGCCATCACCGGTATCAACGGCTTCATCGCTACCGAGCTCGTCCGCCTCTTCCTCACCCGCAACTATCACGTCCGCGGCTCCGTCCGGACGCCCCTCCAGGCCCAGTCGATGAAAGAACACCCCGTCTATAAGGAGTGGGTGGAGGGGGGCAAGTTGGAGGTTGTTGTAGTGCCGGATATGGCGGGGAAGGGGGGAGGGGAGGTTGAGGGGTTGTTAGAGGGGGTCGGGGGGGTTGTTTGTTTGGCGGCGCCTCTTCCTGGGTGAGTCGTTGTGTCTTGGGGCTTGGGGCTTGGGGCTTGAGGGTTGAGGGAGGGGTGGGGGTGATGAAGCAGGAGCTGATGGGGGACAGGGCGGATACGACTTCGTGGTCAAGCTTTCGAGACCCGACCATCCAGGGTATCAAGCGAGTCCTCGAATACGCTCAAAAGTCATCCAGTCAGTCCATCCTCCTTCCTTCTCATGAAGTGGATGTGCAAAAGCTGATTGAGGGAGTGTAGCTATCAAAAGTGTCGTCATCATGTCATCTGTAGGCGGTACAGTCGACTGGTCCGCCCCGCCCGAGAAGGTCTTCACAGAGGACGATTGGATCCCTTTTACTGACGAAGATTGTCAGGCTGATGGCGCCGACATGTGAGTCCTGTCCTTACTTCGGCAATTTGTGAAGAGGAGAAGGAGGCTGATGGGGAGAGTAGTAACCCGGGGATACTTATGAAATGGTATGGGACTGCGAAAAAGATGGCAGAGCAGTATGCTTTGGAGTTTCAAGAGAAGGAGGAACCTGGATTTTCTATTGCTACTGTTGCGCCCCCTAGTACGTCTCCCCTCCCCTTCCCCTTCTACTTCTCCCTACAAAGCTAACCCCCCTCCCAGTGGTCTACGGTCCCCCCATCTACATCCCCACCCCGTCCGACCTCCCAAAGCTCCAGTACTACCAACAAGAGTTCTTCTCTCTCTTTGCCGGCGGTAAAGAAAGAAAGCTGCCGGGACAGATGGCGCAGAGTTGGGTGGATGTGAGGGATGTGGCGGAGGCGTTTTATGTTTTGGTGGAGAGGGAGGGGAGGGGGAGGTATTTGATTAGTGGGGGTGGTGAGTTTCTTTTCTTTTGGTTCTTTTGGGTTGGGTTGGATTGGGGACTTGAGGGAGGGACGAGTAGTAATGATGGCTGATGAATGGGGACAGAGTACAAATGGCAAGAATGGGCCGACAAACTGCACACTCTCCGACCGGACCTGGACGAACACTTGGCGCTGGGCGAACCGGGCAAGTATCCGGATTCGAGGTGGAAGGTGGATGCGAGCAAGTCTGTTAAGGAGCTCGGTATGACGTGTACGTCTTTCCTTTCTTCTTTTTCTTTTTTCTCCTTGCATCGCTTGGGAATTGGGGGGGGGATGGTGGTATGGATGAAGGGCTGATGGAACATAGATCGTACGGCCGAAGAGACGTTGAAGGATACGCTCGCGTACTTTGAGAAGATCGGTGTCTTCGAGGAAGGTGCGGGTGCATGGAGAATCTAGGTTATCTTGTGTTGTGCATACTGGCCTGGCAGATAGTTGATGATGCATGGAACGGTCGTTGCAATAGGAGACGGTGGCAGTCGGCGGTGACCGGGGATACGGCAAGCCGAAGCTCGGCACAGCGAGGAGCAGCACATGGGCTGCACGACTCGAAAACTTGGAAACTTGGCTTCTGGCCCAGCCGAAAAAAAAAACAGTCACATGCATACAAATACTAGACAGCCCTTCTTCCCGTTACTTCGACTGGAAAACACTTAAGATGTCAGTCTACACAAACAACTACACCCCTCCACCTCCGCCCCCCAAAATACCACAAGACATCCACCTCCACACCCCGCCGGAGGAATATGACTTTAATTATATCTTTCCTGTCCAGCTTCTCAAGTCGAATAGAGTGGAGCTGAGGCCTTTGGTCGTGAGTCCCACCCCCCCCCCTCTGCCCCTTCTCCTTTGTCTTTTGGTGAAGAGGGCTAGGCTGATGAGGTGCGGATGGGAAAAGCCGTCTCTGCATGCGAGGTTGTATTGTGATGGGATCGTCAAGTATCCACAGTTGTTTAGGTGGTTACCTATGTTTCCTGCGAAGAATTTTGAAGAGGTGCTTGTGTTTATCGAGAAATACTGGAGGCTTCCTCCTGTACGTCCTTCCTTCTCCTCCTCTCCTCTCCTCTCCTGTCCTCTCTCCTGTCCTCTCTCCTTTCCTCGCCCCCCTTCCCTTCTCTTCCCGTCCAAGCAGACTTCAAGCTGATGTATACGCAGGATGTACTCTCCTACGCCATCTTCACCGAGCCTCCCTGGTCCGCCACCAAGGTGGAAGCAGAGAATTATGTGTTTGCTGGGACTATTGCAATGATCAATTCGAGTGAGGAGATGATGATGGCCGAGTTGGGGTTTGTCGCTATCCTTCCGCCTTTTCAAGTGAGTCTTCTTCTTCTTCTTCTGGTTGGATACTTTGTTCGAACCGAAATTATGGCTGACCAAGCAAACAGCGAACCCACGTCCACACCCACGCCACAGCCCTCCTCATGCACCGCGTCCTCGACCTCCCCTCCGCCGGCGGCCTAGGCTTACGCAGATGCCAGTGGCAAGCCAACTCGCTCAACTTGCCGAGCCAGGCTGCCGCTCTCCTGATGGGCTTTCTTTTCGAGGGGGTGCAGAAGAGTAAGAGGGTTTTGGCGCCTGGGAAGGAAGGGGCGCGACGGGGAAGGCGGGTAGAGGGGGTGGAACGGGAAGGGACACGGGCAGAGGCAGGGAATAAAGGGGAGGAGATGGATGCGAGGGATGATTGGGTGGCGGACATTGACTGGGAGGGGTGGGAAGATGGGGGGAGGGAGGTTGTTGATGGGCTTATGGCGAGAAGGGGATGAGGTTACTCTATGAGGGGGAAAAGGAAAGTTGATCAAGAAATGTACATGATCTGAGGTGAATGTCGATAAGGATGAAGATCATGGCTATGAATGTTTATTGCCAAGAGTTAGCTTGTTGACTCCCTCTTGATTTGCTTCGAAACTCCATTTCGTGCATGTAGGAGACACTGAATGAATGTTTGATGGCAGGAGAGCCTCATTCGACCCTCCTGATCGCTTGGGGTCATCATAGTGAAGCCTTCTCGCCATCCTGCCGTTTCCCAGTTAGGTATAGTAGTCTTCTACTGTATCGTCAAGCGAGAGACGAGACCTCTCGAGAATGTAGGTGGAGTGGGAGCTGCAAAGCGCAGGCGACAGAGGAGATGAAAAAGAACAAAGGGTGTGAGATCGAGCGAAGCTAAGAAGGAGGTGTAGACCTTCTTCAAGCTTTGTGAACTGAGTGTGAACTCTGTATGTACGTAATGGAACGTAAAACTCTATATATATGTACAGTATGCAGAAGGAGAGTGTAGTACCATTGCATCGTTGCTAGCTATCACCATGGCTGTCTACACCAATACATACACCCCTACCCCGCCGCCTGCTGAATTGCCGACAGACATTCATCTCCACACCAAGCCGGAGGAGTATGATTTCAACTTTTGCTTTCCTGTTCAGCTCCTCAAGTCGGACAAGGTGGAGTTGAGACCTATGGTGGTACGTCCCAGTCTCGGTTTAGTGTCCTAAAGTAACAAGGATATGAAAGCTGATTACTGGGGAAACACAAAGCCTTTTTTACATGCCGAGTTGTATTTTGAAGGCGTAAGCAAGTATCCAGAGCTGTTCAAATGGATACCTGCCTTTCCTGCAAAGACCTTGCAAGAAGGGCTCGTCTTTATGGAGGAACACTGGAGACAACCCTCCGTAAGCCCACACCCCTTGTCCTGTTCCTGTTCGCTCAACTTCAACATTGACACATTCCGCGCAGGATACGCTCTCGTATGCTATATTCACCGAACCGCCCGGGTCCACAAACAAAGTCGAAGCGGAATACTATGTCTATGCTGGGAGTATCGCTGTGGCGGGGTGTAGTGAGGAACAGATGATGGCTGAGGTGGGGTATGTCACTGTTTTGCCGCCTTTCCATGTACGTCCCCTTCACCAGTCCCGAAATCCCCAACAACCAAAGACGTTAGCTGACGTTTCAAATTGATATACTCTGCTACGAATCCAGCGTACGCATGTCCACACGCACGCTACGGGCCTGCTTTTACACTACATCCTCGACCTTCCTTCCCAAGGCGGTCTCGGTCTGCGCAGATGCCAGTGGCTCTGCAACTCGTTGAACGAACCGAGCAAGTCGGGGGCTTTACGGATGGGCTTTGAGCATGAAGGGGTGCTGAAGGCCTAGAGGGTGGTGCCTGTGGGGAAGGAAGGGGCTCGTCGGGGGAGGAAGGGAGAGGGACTGAAGAGGGGAGAGTGTGATGCGAGGGATGATTGGGTGTTTGGGTTGGTTTGGTATGAGTGGGAGGAGGGTGGGGTGAAGGAGGATGTTGATGGGCTCATGGCCAGGCAAGGATGATACATAGCGTCATATTGGGGACCGGATGGAGAGATCAGTGTATCATGAATGTACATACTTTGCCATGGTCGCAGACATCAGAAGGCCTAAGTGAAACAAAAAGGCCCAAGAATACATTTTCACAGTCAAGTCCAACTAAGATATAGCTGTGAACATCCAAGATACAACCATCACTACTCAGTTTTACCCTCCCAAGAGACCCAAACAACGCCCACGTCGCGAACAAGAGATCTAGAGAATAGTATCACTCAGCGTTCCGAAACCACCACCTTTGCCTTTTGCAAAGCCTCCTTCGGGGGCCACTTTGCTTCAAAGACCGTATTGAGCTCTTCCAGCGTCCGCCCTCTTGTCTCGACGCCCAAAAAGTACCAGATAACGGCGTAGACGAGGTTGAGCCCGACAAAGACCAGATAGTATTTCCAGCCGATGGCTTCGAGGGCGACGGCGGTGACGTAGGTGTTGTAGAGGTTGGCGCAGTTGGACATGATTACATGCTGCAGGTATTGTCAGTTGGTATGCGTCGGGGATAGGGATGGGATGCGAGACGTACGATGCCCATGCCTTTGGCTCTGGTGTGGTTGGCGAGGACTTCAGCGCAGTATGTTGCCGTTAATGGTGTATACACAAAGCTGCACACCCATCAGCACGCACTCCCACCACAAATGATCCACCTTTACCTATAGACACAACCAAACAAGAAGATGAACGTAACACCCCCATTACTCAACGCATGCGAGACCTCTTTTCCACCATCAAACTGACTCGAAAAGCCCGTTACACCAGCAAACATGGCTGCCAAAGCGATAGACCCAACCCACAGCTTGGTACGTCGGCCAATCATGTCGTTGGTGGCAGATCCAGCAACAGCGCCCGCGCAGGAGACGATAGAGTTTGCAAAGGTGAGGAGGAGACGGCGGTCGACGGAAGTGATACCGAGTTTGGTGTACATGGAGGGCAGGTAGTAGGTCAAGACGGAATTCTGCAGGGATGTTAGCTAAAGTACAAGGAATAGGAGAAGAGCGACTAACGCCGGACAGTTGGGCAAAGAAGGACATGCAAGCCATCATGAAGAATCTCCATCGCTGATTGTGGCTATCCACGCTGTTCATCTTGTCAGTACGATCTAGCACATAGCCGCCTCGGGTACTCACAGATCGTAGTAGTTCCACCAGCTCTGCGCCTTCCTGACTTCAATCCCTTCTTCAAACTCTCTCAACTCCATCTGTACCACTGGGTGGCTGACGTCCCCTCCTCCGTGGTATTTCGCGAGGATCTCTTCGGCTTTCTCTTTCTTGCCACGGGCGGTGAGCCAGCGGGGTGACTCGGGAATGAAGGGGAGGCCGATGAGAATGAAGAAGGGTGGGAGGAGCTGGAGTCCGAGTGGGAGGCGGAAGGCAAGCTGGCCCGAGGCTTTGTTGGACGCGTAGGCGACACCGGTAGATAGGATGGAGCCGGTATAGAAGACTACATTCTCATCAGCTTCTAGCCTCAACTAGGTGTCAAGAGAACCTACAAGTGTTGTAGAATCCAACGATCCTCGCTCGCCACTGCGGTGGTGCCAGCTCGAGGGCATAGGTTGGTGCCGAACTTGTACCGATCGAGATTCCAAAGCCGAGTAAGAATCGACCACCGAGAAGGTAAGAGTCGTTTTTAGCAGCGGTGAGGATGGCTGCAGCGGCCATGATGATGACAGCACCGGTGGCCATACCAGCGCGACGACCGAGATGGTCACAGATGGGTCCAGTAAAGAGGGAGCCGACCATGTTGCCTATGGTGTAAATCATAAAGATGCTGCTCGAGGTGTCAGCTCGGTTTGCGAAGAGTGTAGATAGGACTTCCATGCCTGTCGAACTGCCGAGCTCGGTATGGTGAAAGTACTCGCTGTATTGCGTCATGGCATTGATAGAACTGAAGATGGACTATTGTGATTGTCAGCACGAGTCGAGGGACGAGCGTCAGACTCACCCCATCGAATCCAGAAGAGGTAGCATTCAGAGCCGCCACAAGCAAGATCCCGTACAACTTGAAGCTCGTCTTGGACCAGGGGTCAAGAGGAGCTGCGCTGACGTTCTCGTAGAATGTTGCATTCTCGGTCTCGACAACGAGAGAAGTTGCTTTGTCCTTGTGAGTGGAAGAGGAGGAGGATGTAATGGGGAGGATAGCGGAGGTGATGTCGGCTTTGGAGTCTACGTCTGTAAAAGCAATGGACATGTTGAATCCTAGAGTGTGTGACAAACACTGGTTACTGAGGAGAAGTGGGTAGGATCGAATGACCCATACCAGATATACGATTCGCTACGAAGCGTCTCGATGAGCTGCCATCCACTTGAGCGGCAAAGACTCCCCACCCTCCCCCACTCTATCCCTCGTCCCGTGATAAGCAGATAGCGCGGTTTCCAAAGTGATATCGCGGGCTGACCAACGGCATCGGAGAATACGAAGACAAGACAAGGTGTCCAGCGCCAGAGGAGAGCGGGATAAGCTCTTCGGGCAAATCCGATCGATCAGGAACTGGGCCACATGTTGATGTCCGCTCAAGATGTCGGCATTCGGCATAAAGAGGGTTTCTGGGTCACTTGCTTATCGCCCCCCACCCAGTATTTCCCTCCGATTTCGCCCCCCACTCTTGGCTCAATGAGTCCTTGCTGAGCAGATGCGCTCCTCGTCAAGGAGTCATTACGGATGCTGAGGTATCTTGTGGTGGGTTGCCGCCAACAGCCGTCTTTACCAGCTGCGGGGATGCGATCCGGCATCAGCTGTTCTGAGATCAATACATTAAATTGTCACCCGCTCACAGCCTGACCCACCGGCCAGCAGATCGACAACACGCCTCACCACTTATATCGTATGTTACCCCTCTCCCTATTCCTCATAATGTGTAGCTGAGCTATACCTCGTTTCAAAGCCATCACATTGATCGCAATGACACGCTCAACCTGGCTCCAGTCCCTCGAGACGGACGGATTCTTCGTCCTCCCCTCCGTCATTCCCTCCGAGCTCTGCGACGAGTTTCAGCAAGAAGCCTGGGAGTGGCTCGAGAGTTTCCCTTACGGCTTCAAGCGCGACGACAAGAATACTTGGAACGCTGAGTGTCTGCCGTACAGCACTACGTGAGTCATTGTCTGTTATGTGTTGCTGTCGCTGACATCCATCGGAGCGGCGGGCTGTACAACAGGTATTCTGTCAACCACGAGGCTTTCGTTTGGAAGGTCCGCACGTTCGTCATCCTTCGTTCCATCATCTGCCGCCTGTGACTGACATTCCAATATCACTTTCTACAGGCTACCCGCCATTCATCAGATCTTTGCCGACATCTGGGGTACCGACGACCTCATCGCCTCTTTTGACGGTATGAACGCTTCTTTGCCTATCAACGCTAGCACCGGTCGAACGGATATCAGCCCCACAAAGCCTTGGCCTCGTATGTCGTTCCTGTCCCCTTGATGGCGCTGCCACAGGTGATGATAGTAGGATTAAAGCTGACACTTGGGCAACAGATATCGACCAGAACCCCCGCCAGGTAGCCAACTTTGAGCTGTACCAATCCATCGCCTGTCTCTCCCCTTCAGGTCCTTCCGACGGCGGGCTCTGCGTCCTCTCAAAATCGCATCTTTTGCATCAAAACTACTTCAAATCCATCGGAGGGTTCAAGCCTGATCAAGACGTTGGCGTAGCCGAGAATGGGTACAACTATAAGGATGGGGATTTGGATTGGTACAAGGCGAGAGGGTGTGAGGAGGTCAAGATCTGCGCGAATGAGGGTGACTTGATTCGTAAGCTCCAACTCTTCTCGGTGGCGAGACAGGTTGGCTGATTGAGCATAGTTTGGGACTCGAGGACGATCCACTGGAATGCTTCTCCCACTGGCACCCAAACCCGATTCGCGACGTACATCTGTTACTCTCCCCGGACCCACATGTCGCCGACAGAGCTGGAGAGCAAGATTGAGATATTCAAAGCGCGTAAAGGGACGACTCACTTCCCTGTACGTTTCCCCTCTCCCTTCCACATCCTTCGATCGACATCAGAGTGCAGTGCCGACGATGTATCTTAGTATCTCAACCGAGTCCCAGCAGAACGACCTGGGTACTATAATGCCCTCCCTCGCCGACCTGATGGATCGCTTGATCCTGCGAATCGTACGAAGCCTAGGAAAGAGCCAGTGGAGACTGCAGAAGTTCTGAAAGCGGCCGGGGTGAGAGCTTGATTAGCTCTTTGTTCTTTGGGGTGTGCGTTGTTGTTTCTGTCTCGTTTCTGCCTGTATGGATGTGGTTTCCTCTTCTGTTATGGTTTGTAACCTTTAAAACACCCACAACCCATATACGTTGCTTATGATGTGAGTTATGTACACCATCTCCCAGACACAGGACTACCGCTACTACTCCTCGTTATCGTCCGGATTCCACTCTCGTGACCTATGACTATGCGTCGTACCTCCCGTCCCTTTCCTCTTCGGCTTCTTCTTCACACCACTCCCCGTATGATCTCTCCCCACCTCGTCACTTCCTCTCCTACTCCTCGATTGTCAGGGGGCTACCTTCCTTAGGCTATGCCTTCAGAGGTCGCTGAGGGGTAGAGACGAAATGGTCTGAGAACTCGAAGTGAGTGGCCAGACCAATGCCGAAGGAAGATAGCGGTTGTACGAGTGTGTTGAGCGAGAGAGAGAAAGTGTGTACTAGAGAAGACAACATTAGTGGATCGACGAAGTATCTACAGCTATGGAGACACGTCCTTATATACCCTGGCACCTCAAGTCTGCTTACTCATCGTATCCTCCGTCGAAACCTCTAGAATCAACTACATCGGCCAACCTGGTGGCGAAAGAATGTTCTCGAAAGTGGTGGAATGGGTTTGCTCTCTCTATCTCCGCGTATTTCCATTCTTGCCCGTGAAGGTTTGATCTCGAAGGCGGTGCTGGTATAGCTCGGCCGCGGAGGTAGATGGATGGATGTTATAGTCAGATGGTGGCAAGATGTGGGCTCGACGCGGACGTGGGAGGTGGAGGTTCGGGTGTTTGGCTCGGATGTTTGGTCAAGTGGCGACAGCCACGTGACATCAATCCACCTACCGATGATGTATAACTGTTCTTGTGAGACGTTGCCTGCATGTTATTGCGAGCGATGTACTCTTCCGGCGTCAGGCCAAAGTCCTCAGCACGAGCAGTTACCGAAATACCGTGAGAATTAGACATGTCCGTCAAGGGAGAAGACCAGCAATTATCACAGACGATAAACACCGCTCAGTACCTTTCTTGGGGCTGATTCTAACGTGAAAGGACGGTCGTGGAATGAAATCACGGGGCGTGCTAGACTGCATCGAAGAGCATACATCCTTCCATGGGCTGCGGTGGGCGGCGGCGAAGATATGATCGTCTCTCGAGTTGAACTTCCCTATGCCATCGGCAGATCAGCCTCCTGCAACTCTAAGCTCAGTAGTTCACGAGCAGTATCACAAGTTCGCTGCATTGGTCATGACTACCGAAAACGCCGCCATATCACTGCTGGTACTCTTCCTGCTCCTCGTCGTCATCCGGTCTCCACTCCTGCAACCTAGTACTAGCACTCGTAGTACTCGTATACGATTCCCCAGTTCCTCTCCTCTCCGTCCTAATCTTCCTCACGCCTCGCCCACGATGGCGATGTCGTTCCCTTCCGTCATCACCCTCTCTCCCAGCACCTGACTCACTACCTCTCCTGGTACTGGCTTCACTGCCTTTCCTCCTTTCGCTCACACGACTGGAAGCAGCACTGTCTCTTCGCAACGATGTTCCACTGCGAGCAATGTAATCTTGGGCGCTATAGATGAGCATCTCGTAGTCTGTCTCTTGATCGTCAGCTGAAGGGGCAGGAGGGGCAGGAGGGGCAGAAGGCGCCCCTTGGTCATCGTATCCTTCATAATAATCGGTGGGTTGGATGGTATCATCGTACACCCTGTTGGCATATGCGCTCCAATTTTGTTCTTCTGGAACTTCGGGTACTCTGTACTTGTCATACCCTCCGTATTGGAGGTTCTCAGGCTCTTCGGTCATCTGGCCGGATCCCACGGAGAAGTTGGCCATGCCGTCCGCGAGGTCGTCATTTGCGGCAAAATCGTTGTAACGGGGTGGGGAAGACATGATGCGTTTTGTTATCTGTTCAGGCGTATGGTTGGGGTGGGATATCGTGACCGTGGTTGCATGCTTATATCTTACCCAGGGGAGACGAATGTGGCCCGGTCGGCACATGAATAATCTTACAAAGCATTGTATCTGGAAAAGGACGAGTAGAAAGATCATTTGCAGCACATGACTCCGCTCGTCACCTTGTTCAGCGCTGGTTTAGGCGTGAAAGGAATCCAGCACGCCGCCGGGGTGTGTATCTTGCCCTATCGAAATGCTTATCTACAGCCTATTTTGAGATGCAGAATGATCGTCTTTAGAAACCGCTGATGCTACGCAAAGACAATCCAAGAGCGGGCGAGATAGATTTCAGTTTCCGACTGGTCTCCGAAGGCGGTTTGATGAATGGACGGCCAAGATCGCAAAAAACATATCAACGCGTGGCTCAGAATACTGTGATTAGGGTATACAGCAGCCATTCTATACCCAATCAAGTAAAGCCTTCGCTCGCTTTACAGCCGCATCAGAAAAAAAAAAGCAAAAAGAAATGATCGATGACAGGATCGAACTGCCGACCTTGGACTAATGACTCGTTTGAATTATTAGGTCCACAATCTAAACCAACTGATATAATCGACCAGTTATTGCAAGCGTTGACAGCAGTTGAATCCCATGCTGCATGGGAATTACCTCCACAGCGAACCTCGGTAGAGGCACCGAAGACATTTGAATGGTTGGCCATGATTTGCCAGAGAGAAATCCATCTGCACCGCTGCGTAACGATTTCGAGCTAAGGCTGCTTAGGGCGACGCATAGTTTCAACAGCGATCGATCGTTCGGTCGATGGACTAGCCCACCAACATCGTCGGTCCTCATAATCCGACCACCGACGACGTTCCACCGAGCATCGCACATAATCTGTTTGCTTGCTACCATCGCGCGCATCTATGCATCTCTCGGAAGTTCTAGGAGCCCTCATGAGCTGTCAAACTCGAGAACGACTCGGTAGGCTTCGGATTTGCAGCCACACAGACGAGCGGTGCCGACCGCCGCCGCCGGATAGCCGGGTCAAGTAACCGGTAATGGTCCACCGAGTCACTCTTTTAAATCTATCCTTTTACAAAAACGTCTTTTCATCCCTCAAACACCATCTCGCCCACGAATATCTATATCTACCCCCAGGACATTAAGTGTCGACGCAAAGCTCGGGATGTCGAAGTACAATATCACAAATGCGCTCATGGAGCGTATCCATCACTTTGCCTCGTTTCCTCAAACTGGAGGTGAGTTTCTTCTTTTCCCGATCTTATACGAATTGACTGACATTGTCGCAGTATCACTCCAACAGATGATTCACTTTGGCCAACACCCAACGCCCGGTACGATCCTCAAAGCCTCCCAGTTCTTGGCGGAAGAACTGCCGATAAGATTATCGCATCGCGTCGTGGAGCTCGATGGGCTGCCGGATGGGCTCAACAAGATGCACAGTATACAGAAGGTGAAGGAGTGGTATGCTCAGAGTTTTGAAGTGAGTCTTGTCTTGAAGAGAGGTTGGGGAGGCTTGGTGAAGGTCGGAAGGAGGCAGGGGCCGGGGATTATTGCCGATCAATGCCGCTGTTCGTGAGCGATGGGAGATTGAGAAGGGCCGAGGAGTGTGATTGTAAGCAGGCAGTGTACTGACAATAGATCTACAGGAATTAGTATCATTCCCAAAACCGCGTTTCCGGGACCTTGCCCTCATCTCAGAGTACGCACCCCTTCATCTCCTTCCAACACTTCCCCTAACCAAGCCTTAGATCCCGCAAACCCTTCCCCAGCGCCACCCCCAACCCCTCCCTCGACCCCCTCATGCAAGAAGGTCCCTCCGGCGGCACCCCCCTCCCCTCTTCCCGCCCCCAAGGCCAAATCATCCGCACCCTCAATGGCACCTCCCTAACAACGCACAAAACCCCGCCTTCCTCCCAAGGGCACCACAACCTCGCCAAAGGTCATCCCAACCGCTACCGTCCCCCTATAGAAAGACGGCATTATTCCCCGCCTTCTGCGGCGGTGGAGTACCCGCCGGAGGTGTTGGAGTATAACGAAAAGTTTACGAAAATGTTGGAGAATATTAAGAGGAGGCATGATCCGACTGTGACGGCGGTGGCGCAGGGGGTGTTGGAGTGGAAGAAGAAGCAGAAGGGAGGGAGGATTGGGGCGCCGATACAAGAGTTTTTGGACCGTTTCTACATGAGTAGGATTGGGATCAGGTTCTTGATCGGGCAGCGTAAGTCTCCTTCTTATGCTGCTTTTGAAGACGAGCTAATGAAAGACAAAAGATGTGGCGCTGAATACGCTCCAACCCCACCCGGACTACGTCGGCATCATCTGCACCAAAGCCAACGTCCACGACATCTGCCACGAAGCCATCGAAAACGCGCGCTACGTCTGCGAAGAGCATTTCGGCCTCTTCTCCGGCCCGCCCATCCAGCTCCTCTGCCCGCAAGACCTCCATTTCCCCTACGTCCCCGGCCACCTCTCGCACATCTGTTTCGAGCTGCTCAAGAATTCCCTGAGAGCTGTGGTGGAGAGGTATGGGGTGGATAATGAAGACAAGTTTCCGCCGATCAAGGTGGTGGTGGTAGAAGGGAGTGAGGATATTACGATCAAGATTAGTGATGAGGGGGGCGGTATTGCCAGGAGTGCTATCCCTATGATCTGGACGTGAGTGCCCTTCCCCCTTCCCCTTTTCCTTTCTGACAACACCTCTAGCTACCTCTACACAACGATGTCAGACGAAGGCCTCGAAACCAACATCGAACAATCCGACTTTAACGCCCCCATGGCCGGATTTGGGTACGGCCTTCCCCTCTCTAGGCTGTATGCGCGGTTCTTTGGTGGGGATTTGAGGTTGATCTCGATGGATGGGTATGGGACGGATGTTTATATCAGTTTGAATAAACTGAGTTCTTCGTGAGTCTACTCCTTTTATGTTTTGCGGTTGGGGGTGGAGCTGATGGTGGGGTGTAGGATGGAGCCTCTCCAGTGAAGTGTGTCTGGCGCATGCTTGTACAATTGCCAAATCTACTAAAAAATATCAACACTGCTTGTCTTCCCCAACCCTGTTACTCATATATACCATCTTTGTTTGCAGCATCTATCATAAGCTCGTGTGTTTCTGTATCTTCTGTACCACTAGGGAGTTTGTTAGGAGAGAAGTTGTCGGAGCGAATGAGAAAGAAGCCGAATTGTCATTACTATATGCAAAACTATGCCTTGCCATTTTTCGCCTTGTGCTACAAATGCATCCAGTCATTTCATAATACTCCATCAACCCTCCCCTCCCTCGCCTGTCATGATACAGCCACACGCTCTACTTTTTCCCATCCTTCTCCTTCTCCTTCTTCTCCTCCTCCTCCTTTTCCTTCTTTGCCCGGGCAACGTCTTCAGCCTTGATACCGGCTGCTTCGGCGCGCGCTTGGTCGGCTTTTTCGGAGGGAGATTTGGAGTCTTGGAGGTCTTGGTGGGCGTTTTGGATTCGGTTTTCAACTAACACCAGTTCATCAGTACTGCTTCAAGAAACATGAAAGAAAGACACGGAGATGGCGACAAAGAGAAAGGAGAAGAAGAAGGAGAAGAGGAAGAAAGACTCACTCAAATCATGTAGCGCCAAAACCGTCCTAATCAAACTACTCAAGAACACCACCAACCCCGAATCATTCACCCCCTGCCTGAACGCCTTGCCCAGCTCCACATCCCCGCCCAGCTGGGGCAAAAGCCCGACAATCTCCTGGAGGTGGTAGATGACCTGATGGTTGATTGGCAGTTTGCCGGCGCGCACGGCGGAGAGGTATTCGCCGATTTCGAGGAGGCGGGCGTGCAGCCCGCGGAGGGCTTGGAGTTGGGAGGATACGCGGGTGGAGAGGGATTGTGTCGTCAGCAAACTCGAGCTGGGGGCACCAGCAGAAGCAGAGATATCCCTCAACAGATGCTCGACCCCAATCTCCTCCGCCTCCTCCGCCTCGATCGTCGTGCCCACATGCGTAAACGTGCGCTGCGTGCTCGAGCCGTCGTCTTTGATCTCTTCGACGGCGAAGTAGGCGTCGGTGGGGATGCCGGTCTCGCCCCGGCCGCCAGAGGTGCGGGTGTCGACGATGAGCATGAGGGGGCGGGGGCAGAAGCGTTTGAAGAGGGAGGTGATTTCGAGGTCGGAGGAGCGAAGGCGGGGGCCGGTGTGGTAGAAGCCGATGGGACGTTCTTTGGCTTCGGGGAATGTTAGTAGATTAGGGGAAAGGGGAAGGGGGGCGTACCGTTTACTTTACGAAACATTCTCCACATCTCCTCGACATAGTCCAAATCCAAGAAGAACGTCTTGGGATCACGCTCATCTTCCTCAAAAGGGATCGCAAACCTGCTCTTCATCAGCATCGTCCCTGCGTTTGACCGAATCGAGAGTGTGGGGGAGGGGGGACTAACGAGTTGGCGACGTTGACGGTATCACCTTCATCCTGGCCTAACAGCACGCCGAGGACACGCTTGTTCTTTGATAACGGCACACGCGCGGCATGGTCGACTACAGACAAAAGGACGAGGGGGTGGATCACGCTACATGAAGATCAGTAACGGGGTGGGGAGGTGAGGGGAGAGGACAAACACGTTGGTCGCGCTGAGTTCTGTCACCTGAACATTGGTCAGCAAGGCGTATCTGGGAGCAGGATGAGGGGGACTGACTTGGGCAGTTGTGAGTCCCGGCATGGTATGGAAAATGGGGGAGATGGATGGATGTATGGGAGATTGTCGCGATGAAAGAGCAAGTGGGACGCTGACGCGTGCGGGATCAAATCAGCGGGGAGTGCCGCCTCCACTTTCCGCTCCCACCTCGGTCTATAACTCTATCATTTATCTTCTCTTACAATTCAATCACAATTCAGTTACGATGGCCAGCCCCCTAGACCCCAACTCCCTGCTCAATACGCTCCAAGGACTGCTGCCAAGGGGCACAACCTCCCCCCTTCCACACCCCACAGACGCTCCCGCCGCACTCGTACACGCCATACACACGGCTCTCGGGTTCCGCCTCGTCCCCTCTCAAACATTCCATGAGCACCCAATACCCGGGCCGAATGACCAACAACAAGAAGAACAAGATGTTGACGATAACCAATCTGAAATCACCGCCGTCGACCCCGACCCCACCGAGGATGCACCCACGCCGAACGCTCTCGGCCAAGACTGGAACACCCGTGGCGAAGATTCATACACCTTTGAATACAGGCATGCACAAAGCGCCATGGTCTTTAGAGTCAGGGTGGGAAGGATGGGCGGGAGAGTGCAGGTTGATGCTATGGCGGAAGTAAGTGACAAGAAGTGGCGACGTCAAAGGATTGATGCTGAGTTTGGATGTAGGATGGCGAACCGCACAACCTTTCTATCGTCCTCGCCGACCTGGTCCAGCCGACGTCTTTCCCCATCCCGAGTCCAGCTACGGCTTCCTCGGCGGAATCTAGCGATGGTAGTGATGCGGCTAAGAAGCTGGGGTTCAAGTCTCTTACCGAGTACGTCCTTCCCCAGGCCAAGCGGGATTCGAATCTGACAAAGGTATTTTGATAGTGTGAATACCTTTGTGGAAAAGTATGATCGCGAAATCGTCTCAAAGCTGCTTCCAGGACTTGACATTCCAGGATACACCCAACCGTACGTCCCCATCCCTCGTCCCTTCCCTTCTTGCCTTCTTACCCGTTGCTGACGTTTTGGATGCAGAAGTTCATCAAACTCGCGTCAACCACCCAACCCACCCAGCTCTTCCAACCCCACAGCAACCCGCCCCACCTACCCCTCCCTTCTCGACGACCCTCCCCTCCGCTCGGGCTCGGGCGGTATGAACCCCGCCTCCATCGGCCACCGCGACCTCGACCCTTTCGCCGGTCTCCGCTCTGGTGCGGGGGGCTTCAACCCCGGGTCGGATGGAGGTGGCATGCTGGTCGATTTTAACCATCCGCTCTTTGCTGGCCGACGCCAAGGCGGAGGAGGAGGGTTGGGAGGGGATGATATCACAGGCCCTGGAGGGAGTGTACAGCCGCCTGGGGCGAGGTGGGATCCTGTTGGGCCGGCTTCTGGGGGGATTGGGCCGAGACCCACCCCGGGTGCGGGTGGGTTTGGCGGTGGCGTGGGAGGGGGAGGGGGAGGGGGAGGGGGAAGGAGTGATAGGTGGGGCGACGAGCTGGCACCTCCGGGAGAGTTTGGGCCTGATCTAGGCCAGGGACAACTCGGTGGACGTGGGTCGAGCGGTGGAGGATTTGGTGGTCTTGGAGGTGGACTTGGAGGCGGGCTTGGCGGGCTTGGTGGAAGAGGCGGTCGAGGTGGGGGAGGAGGAGGGTTTGGTGGGTTTGGTGGCGGGATGTATATGTAAGAAGCAGATGGGGTGGAAGTCGTTGTATTTAGGTTTCATGAAGCAAAGTGTTATGTATGTACCATACTCGTCTGTACATGGTCTTGCAAAGATGCAACACATATGTGCATACCACACCCTCTCTCCCCTCTTCCCTTTTACACCACAGCACAGCCCAATCTACCGCTTCAGCGTCCTCTGCTTCTCCGCACTCTCCACAATCTTCCTCTCCACCCACATCCCCTTCCTCTCCCTCACCGCATCCACATACCCTTTCGCAACGTTCGCCCGGTCCGCCTTCTCCCCGAGGTCCTCGAGTTCTTCAAGCGTGGTGGGTACCCAGAAGGGGTCGAGGGGGAGGAGGGTGTAGCCGGAGAAGATTAGTTGGGGGGAGGCTGCGCCGGAGGTTCTTTTGCGGATTTCTATGGGACGAATGGTCAGTGTTTGGTGGAGGAAGGATGAGGAGGGGCGAGGACGGAAGGGACGGGAAAGGGAAAGGGGTGGAGGAGAGAGGGAAAGAGGAAGAGGGGGACGTACCATCAGCGAAACCGAAAGACTCCACAACAGGCAAGATCGACCGGATCGTGAAAAAGCTTGTACCCTCCTTCATCTCTTCCGAGACGATCCTTCCCCTGCGTCTTGCTACGACTCCGTATACTTTGCCCAATACATCCGCTGCGGCCAAAAATCAGTATCAAAAGCCAAGAAAAGTAGAGGGGAAGAGGAGAGGGGACGTACTAGAAGCTTGGATGTCGCAGGTGTACATTGCAAGTTTGATCCTCGGGCTCCAGTCGAGCATACCTTGCCTGCACGCATCTCGTACAGCCGAGATCAATGCACCCCCCACAACCTGCCCCCCGGCACCTCCTGCTCCTGTTCCTCCGCCTGCGCCAGCGGCGTTACCGCCAGCGAGCTCAGCGTCGACCTCGACATACTCTACAACCCACGCCATCCCCACCACCGGTTCAGCACATAACGGTCCCTGAAAGGTGGCGAGTTGGAACCCGGCGAGGAGGGAGGATTCGTAGTCTCGGATCAGCCTCAGCTTGTCTCGTGCAGACTCTGATTGGGCTGGGTCTTCGGTGGAAGAGGAGGGAGAGGAGGGAGAAGCGTCAGAGTGGGCGAGTTGGTCGAGGGTGATGGCGTTGTCGGCTGTTTGGAGGGCGTCGTCCGCAGATTGACCTTGGGCGCGGGCTTTGGCGAAGAGCTGCTCTTTCCCTCTCAACCTATTCCTCCATCAGCTCCTTGTCCTTTACTCTTCCCTTAGAACGTGGAATGGAAATGGCAAGGACGTACCTCAAAACACCCTTCCCAACAGGGTCCAAAAGCACATTCCCCCCAACCCTCTTCGGCCCAAAACTCCAGACCCTATCCGCAGCGCCCACCCATTCCCCGCCGGCGGTGTTGAACAACCTTTCGAGCTCTTGCCAGAATTCCTCTGGGGACGACACTTTTCTGGATTGTTCGGTTTCGTCTTCGGCGAGGATGGGGTCGGATTCTGTTTCGGCGAGATCGGTTTCGTCGGTGTTGGGGTCGTCTTCGGCAGGTTCGGGGGTAGAGGAAGAGCGTTTACCGACCAACATCCTTCTAATCAATCCCCTGTTCTTGCCCAAGAAGCTTTCCACCCCTTCCGGCAAGGGAACCGCCCTCACACCAAACTTGACAGCCCCACCCCCAATCTGCCCCTCCACAGTCCCCCTCCCCTTCCCCGACGGCGCCTTGGAAGGGTTCATATCCGCCACCTTCACCGCCGTCTCCCTGAACGGCACGATCGGCGCCGAAGGCTGTATAGCGCACCTTGCAAAGCGCTCCCGGAGATCTTTGAGGCATCGTTCGAGGTGCAGTTCGCCAGCGGTGAGGATGACGTGTTCGCCGGTTTCTTGGATGAGGTATTCGGCGCAGGGGTCGGATTGGTGTAGGATTTGGAGGCCGCGGATGAGTTTTGGCATGTCGCCTTTTTTTTGGTTTTCGTCAGCATGCTTGGAAGAAGAGAAGAAGAGGAAGAGGGGAGGGAAGGGGGGACGTACTTGGGTTCTCAGGTTCCAGCGCAACTCGGACAATGGGCGCCGCCGCATTACCCACCCCCGCCAGATTAACAACCTCCCCTCCCCCTTCCCCTCCACCCACAAACTCGTCATACCCCTTCGCATCCCCCGCCCACAAAGTCCCACTCCTCGCCACCCCGCCTTCCAGTCCCCTAATCGCACACACATGCCCCGCCGGCACGCTCTCCACCGAGACGAGCTCCCGGCCCATCATCATGTAGAGGTCGGTCGCTATGAGGGGGACTATGTGTTTTGCATTCGAGGGGTGGAGGAGCGGGGAGGGGAGGAGGGGGTTGAATTTGGGGAGAAGGCAGAGGAGGGGGGTGTGGCGGTGGAGGGTACCGGAGAAGATCCGGGAGAAACCGAGGATGATTTCAGAGTCTTCTTTTTCTTCTGTCTCTTCTTTGCCTTCTTTGCCTTGTTCAGCGTTCTCCAAAATCAAGTCTTCGAGCGGTTTCACAACACTCTCCACCCCTCCCTCCACCCCATCGGCTCCCTCACCCCCAGCTTTCCGAGCCTCCAACAGCCGGGCGCGACGCTCACGTTCTTCTTTACCGCGAGCGCGCATCTCTTCAGCGGAGATTTCTTTCGGCTTGAACTCTGGTAGTTCAGAGTGGCGGACCGCAAACATTTTCGAGACGTACGCCGTCACCGGTGCGGTTTCGCTTTGGTCGCACGTGTAGAGGGCGTTTTCGAGGGCGTTCCGCGGTTTCAGAACCGGCCCTCCTCCTGATCCTGACCCTTTCCCTCCAGCACCCTTCGCCTCTTCCGGATGTAACATATGCGGCAATCTGATACCCTGCGCACTCAGGGGCGACGGGATGATTTCGATGATAGCTTGGAAGGTGGCAGTGGAGAGGGGCAGCCATTGTTGCATGATGAGGTTTAAGAGGTTGCGGGTGTCTTTGGAGCGGAGGTCGCGCGGGGGGATGCGGAGGGAGAGGGAGGAGACGATTTTTTGGACGGCGTCGGGGTTGCTAAACAAACGTGTTAGTATGACGATGAGATAACGGGGAAGGGGGAGGGGGGACGTACTGCTCTTCGAGGACGGTTTCGTACACTTTCCAAATATTGTCGAGGACAAACTGGACAAACATCGGCTTCAAGTTTCTCCCCGCGAGCTTTTTGCGCCCGACGACGCGCTTGGTCTTTGGGTCGAGGTACCAGTCGCCCCAGAGGACTCTGCGGAGGCTGCTTTCTTTGACTTTGAGTTTGTCGGCGTAGAGGCGTGCAAACTTGCCGAGGCGGAATGCCCAGCCGTCGATGGCGGAGGCGAAAAGGACGTTACCCTTGTCTGGTGCGAAATAGATATCCTCGTCTTCCTTCTCTTCATACTCTTCGTCATCATCCAGATCAGCCCCTTGCTCTTCCATCTTTCTCGCCATCCTCTTCTCCCTCTCCTCCCTCCACCTCAAATCATCTTCCATCCTCTCCGAGGCGTACAAAGAACCCATGACGGCGTTGACTTGCTCGATGAGCTGGGCGATGTGGTGGTATGCCTCGGTGGGTGTGAGTTTGAGTTCGGTGATGAGGCGGTCCATCTTGTTGATGACGAGGAGGGGTTTGAGCTTGTCCATCCATGCTTGGCGGAGGACTGCGATCGTCTGCGTACACACGCCTTCCCACACATCCACCAGCACCAGCGCTCCATCACAGAGCCGGCTCGCAGTCGACACTTCACTAGCGAAATCCACATGCCCCGGCGTATCAATCACATTACAAACGCACTTCTCCGTCCGCACTTCCCCAGAGGAAGGGTGGAGGCGGGCCATGTCGAAGCGGAGGGATACGGCAGAGGATTCCATGGTGATACCGCGGGCTTGCTCGTCTTCGCGGGAATCGAGGAAACGGAGTTTGCCGGCGAGACGGGTGGAGATGATGTTGTTGGAGGAGAGGAGGGAGTCGGCGAAGGAGGTTTTGCCGTGGTCGACATGGGCGACGATTGTCACGTTCTGGGAGTGTCAGCTTTGAGGAAGGAAGGGAAGGGGAGGCTTACTCTGGTGTTTTCGAGGGGGACTGCGAATGATTCTGCCATCGTGGTATAGAGAGAAAGTAGAAAGAGGAGAAAGAACTAATGACGATTGAAATATCATGTCCGGATCCGGCCGCCCATGTCTGCGTCCGGATCCGCGGCATGTCCGGGCGGGCGACCAATGGCCGACTCTGCAATTATTTCCATCTCACTCATCGCATACAAACCATGTGGCCCTTCGCCTCCACTACCCCTGCCCCCGCTCAGCATCCCTCGGCAGAAGCATCAGCAGACAAATGTCCCGTCGACCATACTACACGCCAGACGTGGCTCGCCAACAATCCTTCCACGCCGCATCCCTTCTCTGCCCCCGTTGCTGGGCCGAGTTCAGCACCTGAACAGGTTTCGAAGCCTGCGCAACAGAGACAGCCGAGACTATCCCAGCAACGAGTCATCTCTTCCATCCCGAGAGGTTCGACCGAATCGCCGAATGCCGATTCCCCAGGCATGTCCCTCCGCGAAGACGCCCCCTCCTACCCCCCTTCCCCCTCCTCCCCCTCCCCCTCCTCCATGACCCATGCCCAACCAGAAAAAGACGCCTCAGGCAACTGGATCTACCCCTCCGAACAACAATTCTTCAATGCCATGCTCCGCAAGAAACACAATCCCAACCCCTCTGACATGCGCACGATCGTGCCGATACATAATGCGGTGAATGAAAAGGCGTGGGAGGAGATTCTGAAGTGGGAGCATGGGGTGGATGATGGGGGGAGGGGGTGTGGGGGGCCGAAGCTTGTTAGTTTTGTGGGGAGACCGCAGGAGAGGACGCCGAAGGCTTTGATCAAGGGTCTACTTGGGTATGTCCCCTTTGTTTCTCTCTCCCATTATGTATCACTAACCTCTTTTGCAAAAGCTACACAGCCCCCTTCGACAGACACGACTGGGTCATCGACAGGTGCGGCACCCACATCCGCTACGTTATCGACTTTTACACCGGCCGCGCGGGGGTGGATCAGAGAATCGCGTTTCATTTGGATGTCAGGCCGGCGGTGGATGATTGGGTGGGGGTGAAGACAAGGGTTGTGGGGTGGTGGAATGGGGTTTAGCTGGATAATTGAGGGAATGTTCCTTTTGTAGATGTTGACGGCGCAGTGTTTGGATCTGATTATGGATAGAGAGTGATGCCACTGCTTTACGCCAGAGGAGAGGGATAATGAGGGGCTTGTGTACGCGGAGAGCGGTATATGAGTACAGCAGATAGCTGCTTGGCTTTGGGGCATTTGATCGCATATTGCATACATCTCAGATTGGACTTTCGATTGAAGAGAAGAGCTGAGAAACGACTGTTGGATGATATAATCCAAGCTCGAGGCAAACACTACACTGAAGAACCGATTACTCAGCCGTGCTTTCGATGAGGTCGTCGCCACCACCACAGCTTCAATCTCCCAGGACTAAATGCGCAATGTGGCACGGGAAGGTTCAGGGACTCGCAGCGGGGTATGCAGCGGGGTATATTTGTACTTGTACAGCCTGTTGTGCTTTCTCATGCTTCTTCATGTTATCAGGTGATAGGAGCTGAATATTGTACAACAGTATTGAATAGACTGGCACATTCACGATATCATACTTGAGCAACAGGAACGAACCTTTGAGTTCTTTTCGGAGCTGGGGGTAATTCCTTTCAGTCGTATTTACGTACATGTATAGTGCGGAGATGTATTCCAAGTTTGGCGTTAGGGTGGGGTGAATATGTCCAGCTCTTTTCCAAGTATAGATCACATCCCTTTTGTAGCGGATGTCTGCTACATTCTCCGAAAGAACACAGGGCTGAGCGCCGCGATGAGAAGTATAAATCTGACGTGATGACTCCCCAACTTTTCTCACGAATCTACCCCCGCCCCAAATGAGCGATCCCGGCGACACACCAACAAACGCTCCTGAGCCAACAGCACCCTCGCTCCAAGAAGAGGATGAACAATTCTTCGGCATCGACGGGACAGCAAGCACGTCGGACTCTGTCTTCTGGGACGCATTGACCCTTGCAGAGCTTGAAACAATGTCAGAGGTTCGTGACCTCTGTTACCCTTTGGAGATCTATCTCTGATTGTTAACAGGCCGATCTCGAAAGGACAAGGAGGGCTTGGCTGAAGTACATTGACCAATTTGGTGGTGTGGAAGACAGCAGCGGTCCACCGGAGGAGGACAATGGTGAGTCACTCGACGGGCAGGATGAGGCCTCCGCTGGCCCTGATTCGATTGAGCACCCTGATTCGATTGGACATAAGATCATCAGGTGAGTTCAGGTTCTCGCGACCCCCAGATCATTAACTTGATCTTAATAACAAAAAACCAGCGCACTAGCCCCTCGCAGCGGAGCTGAAGGGGGTAGTGAGGCATCAGCAGCTGGGCGGAGATCATGTGCGTCAATTTTCAAGCAATGCGGTGTTGTATTATCCGCTATACGACTTCACAGTGGACTGATGTACTGACCAATGACAACCTGGATAACAGATCGTGCCAGAGCTTTTGCCGCTTATGCGCAAAGGAAGAGGGAAGAAGATCCAGACTATGACGAAAAACGTGCGTATCTCGTGCTCCATGGTAGTGCTACCACATAGTACTGCTTCGAGTGCAACCAAACTAATAGCCCTACGGCAGGTAGGGAACGTCAACGCACATCTAGGAGAAAAAAGAGGCAACTTGCAAAACTAGAGGCTGGGGCCCCTGGGGGGAGTGAATTGGCTGCAAGCATTGCAAGCCAAAAAGAGGCTGTGCAGAGGTGGTCGCAGCTCAACCCAACAGAGAGTTGAAAGTGCCATGCGAATAGCCTGAGCCACGGTAGTCGTCTTGGTTCAGTCCGTTGTCCGTAGGGTCGTCTTTGAAATATTGGATGCAATGGGAAAAAGAGGTGATGATGAATGACATAGAAAACTATCTTTACCTATCGCGTGGTCAGTTGAAGAAGCATGATAAAGTACAAAGGCTCCACAGACAGCGTTCTCCGATCTCCGGCGCTTTCACTCTTTACCACGAAGGCAACTCTAGGGACGACAGAGAGGACCAAAAAAAAAAAACACGACTACAGTGACTCGAGCTATATATCCCCGCTTGCAACTCTCGTAGTTCGAGCCGATATCTTCCCACATCTGAATCATTTATGTCGTGTCATCCTAGAGACTAAAGGCCATTTCCTCAAAGACAGAGACTAGAGACTACAACACTCGAAGACTGCCACCTAAAGCTTCCCCTGCCCGGGTCCTTTTGTCCAAGCACCATCATACCCCAACTGACTCCGATCCCACCTAGCTTCCTCTTCCCCTTCTGGGATGGTACGCATGATGACGCCGGCGGCTCTTTGGAAGAGCGTCCCGTCCACCTTTTCTAGCCCTTGCAGCTCGGTGCGGTTTTTGGAGGATGATGGAGGGGCGAAGGAGCCCGCAGGCAGAGAACCAAACAACTGGGAGTAGAAGACGAGGGAACGGATTGATTTGACAATGTGAGAATCTATAACCCCTGATCAGCACCGCGACAAAAAGACAAGAGACGGGAGAAGAGCGGACGAGTGGACGAACCTGGGTAGGATAGGGATCTGTCGATGATGTCCAGCCATACATTCTTGCCTTTCCCTTCTCCTGCGGGGGAGGGGTCGAGTAAGGATTTTATCTTCTTCCCTTCCTTCCCCTCGTCCTGCTTCGACCCCACATCAGAATCAGAGGAGGTATAAAGATCGTAAGACATGATCAAATCGGGGTTCAACGCCGGTCTTCCCCTCGAAATAGCGATCTGGAAAAGCACCAACAAGTACGTCTTAAGGAATGCGCGGATTTGGGGTGGGGTGAGGAGGGGGAGGTAGGCGGGGATGAAGATGGAGGATGTGAGGGCGTGCATCTGCCTGGCTGTCAGTCGCGTTCCGGGGATGAGGGGGAGAAGAAGAAAGGAGTAACGTACAAGGAAGAAATCCACCCTCGGCTCATATCCTTTTCGCCCAGTCCCACAAGCCAACAGAGTCGTAAACACACCCACGTCTCTCATGAGACCCTCCCATCTGAATTTGCCTCCTTCCCCTTCATAGTCTTCCTTGAGAGGAACCTCCCAACCTTCGACAAGCCCGACCAAAGCTTCCCCACGGCCGTCAGAGACAGCAGAGAGTAGTTGATCGTTGATCATAGAGTCGGGGTTGTAGGGTACTGGTTTCAGGGTAGGATTGTTGACCAAGGCTGTATACAGTTCGGCGAGAGAGGGGGCTGGTGAAGAGGGAGAAGGAGAGGGGACGGGAGAGGTGAGCCATGATTGGGTTAGGGATGGGGAGATGAAGGGGGTGATGAGTGAGTCGGGGTGGATGGCTGCTTCTGCTAATCTGCATCTCATCTGTTAGCTAAGCTTCAGCATCCGAGAGGGAATCGTCCCAAAAGAGAACGGAAGTAAAGAAGAGAAGGACAGAAAAAGAACTCACCCTTCAGCGAGAACGATCGGATCCACAAATTCGAGGCCAAATCCTACATGGATCATGGGATGTAGGGCACCAGCCATGAGACGGTTGAGCATGTTGGGTGTTTTTGGTTTACTTTGCTTTCCCGTGGACGAGTAGGCAGACGGGGTGAAGGGTTCCCAGTTGGCTTGCGGGGAGAAGACGTATTCGATCAGAGCGCCTTGGGATCCGAGGCGTGCGATTTCGGAGTGGAAGAATGGGAGGTAGAGAGAATAGTACCTTTTCAACATCAGCGCATGCTTCTTCTCCACCAGCATAGATGGGACACGTACTCCTTGTTACCCAGAAACGTTCCCCAATTCCCACGATCAATCTTGTCCGGCAACTTGTCCGCATTGACGTCTTTCCGGTCTGGTGCCCGGGGGTCGAGGGAGACGAGATGAGACTTATCGTGCTCCCACGTTTTGCGTAAGAGGTGCGGGGGAGCGCCGAGGGCATAGCGGGTGAGGAGGGAGTGGGGGAAGTGGTTATGCGCGACTGTTCATACGTTATGATGAGTATGGTGCTGTTAGAGATGTCTCCTATTCCAGCTTGCGCGGGAGAGAAGAAGTGGACACACATCGCCTCGATTCGTATATATCATATCCCCTGTTGTTCTCCTCCAGCACCTCTCTAGCGACTTTCGTACTCTCGGAAGAAAGACCGGGGAAATGAAAGTAGCCGGAGGGTTTTGTGGTTGATGGAGAAAAAGCGGAGGGAGCAAGGGTGGACATTGTTGCTCTGAGGGAGGCAGGAGATGGCCGGGGGGGCATTGCTGGTGGGGAAGAAGAAGAAGAAGAAACGGGGATTATATGGACGGAAGAGAGATGAAGTGGAGGACAACTGACCAATGATATCATCGGCAACTTACACCCGGCGATGACCGTCGGCCATCTCGACGCACCTTCCCGCTTCGTACGTACTCCAAACGTACTCTCTTCTGGCATTGTAACCCAAGAAAAGCAAAATTCAGCTCTTCACCAGTTCACGTGCATAAGGTGGTCTAAAACATCACTCGCTTTCTCCCTCCGCGTCCTCGTCCTGACTCTCAGTCTGCTCAGTCGCATCGGCCTCTTTCGTCAAATTCTGTTGTTCTTTCTTTTTTAGATGCGCTTTGCGTCTGCGTTCGTTATCTGTCACCAGGAGATTATCTTGACAGCACGCCCTGCATAACCCATAGTAGTGACAGGTGAGGAGACGCACCTTTCTTGACCCATTCAGGATCTTCCGCTATCTTCTTCTGCCGGTGCTCAGCCGACCTTTGTGCGCCCGATTTGGTACAAGGTTCCTCTCCCTCCACGATACGCCTTTGCAAGTCCGCATAGGCTTCGCGTCGGCGCGTTCTCTCTGTCATGAGTGGATTCAGCTCGATCAATTATGAAGAGCCGGCGGCGTAAGAAGAGAGGAAGTGAAAGATGCACCTTTGTCAGCAAAGTTAGGATCCTTCTCCTTTCTCCTCCTCCGCCAGGCAGCGGCCTTGATAGCAGCAGCTGTTACTGGAGGAAACATGTACGTTAGTGGTAGCTCGGACGGATATTTTGCGCCACAATTGACGTACATGGTTTCTTTCCCTTCGAACTGGTGGTTTCCGGGGCGCTTTTCGTAGTTATCAGCGCTAGAGTTCTAGCTTTGCAGAAGGACTAGGATTGAAGAAGGATTGTACCTACCTGGTGACGGGGACACTAGGCTCGAGCGGTACAGAGGCAGATGCGCCCGGAGCCTCAGTCAACTCCCCGAACTCGAGTGAGTTATCGAGAAGCGCGCGACAATCACTGTCGATGTCAATGCTGGTGATATCCAGATTGCTTGCTTGGGTAATCCTTTGCCATTCCATCACTGTCCGTGAGAACTTTTCCTGACAACCATCATCGTCAGCGAGAAGGAGTCAAGAACGAGGGGCAATGTACATCAGACATGTTTAGGAGCTGGTCGATGGTGACCCGGTCCCAATAATCGGAGAGCGTGGGGTCTACATGCCAATCCAGGGCGGCGAACATTTCATCGTCGTCCTCGAACGAGGTCATATAGGGACCAGTGGCTCCTGTTGGTGCTCCGTCAAAGTCGCTCATCTGGGGTGAAGTTGTGAAAACACCAGTTGGAACGGCCATCGTGTCATCAGATATATATCTCCTATTCCACTACTCAGACAGCCTTCTTGCGCGGCAACGGATGCAGTAGATACCAGCTAGACAAGTAATACAGTCTATACTTGGCAACAAGCAACACCGCAGCACCCGATACGCCCAATGAAGAATGTCCGCATCATCAACGGAATCGTCCTGCCTTACACTTCGTCAACGAAACCCATCACATATCTATCAGAGGCAGCCATGTCCTGTTTATACAAAGCATCTTACCTGTACATGGAGATTGTATATGTACAGATGCAAGGGTATTCACCTGAAGTCTTGTTACATCTGCATGTACGGGTGCGTCAGACATTCTTTCAAGCTCTTCGTAAATATCAGTACAGAAAGTAATGTGTCTGCCGTCCTGTGGATGAAAAAGAATCATCTTCTCCTTGGATCGAAGGCGGAAACATTTTGGTAGGGATCACTCATTTGTGATAATTTCGTGGTAGGCACAGACTCTCATGTTCTTTTTATATACACTGAATCACTCCGACCGGAAACGGCAGGCATTTCCGAACAAGGGACTTGAATTATGTCTTCGCTCGGCAACCGGAGTATGTTATGCTCGATAAGATATTCATGAACCATCTATTCCTATTTACACGTGCTCATCACCTCCGCGGAAGGCGGTAAATCAGACCGCGAGCCTTCTTCGACCTGTCCTCGCGCCTCCTATTCACGATGACACTTCTGCCCCAGTAACGATCTCCTACCACCTCCAAGTATACATAGGCGTACGAGTGCAAGCGATACCATGGTTTGCTACTGCTCTACTGTACCTCCTTTAGGCGCCACCTCCTCACCTGATACCATGAGCATACAACCCCGCATCACTCAAAATCCTGCGTCGCGTTATCCTCTCCCTCTTGATCCCCGCTTTCAGTCTCTTCAGTGGTATTGTTACTGTTTCGAGCAGTTTCGTCGGCTAGACGCTGTTTCTTCCTCCAGCGGGAGAGACGGTTCTCAATAATTTTACGGGCATTTTCTATCTCAAGGGAATCAGTTTTATCACGCGCTACACGCGCTTTGTTCAAGAAGGAGTCATCACAGGACAAGAAATACGTATCTGTACGTACCTTTTTCTCGCCAACTTGAATCGTTCTTCATTTTCTCCCGCCAAGAAGCGGATTGTATGGCGGAATCTGTGATACACGAAGACGTTTGTCAGTACATTTTGGGCGCTATAGTCCGAAGAGTAATACGCCAAAGATTCCCATGAACGATCTGACGTACAAGTACCTGATTTCTCCACTGATGTTGCTGCTTCACTACTTTTTGTTCTCACAGCTGTCTGATGGGGCGGCCGGTCCAGGGCGCTGAACATCATATCATTATCAGAGGTTAAAGGTAGCTGGTGGTTTGGTAATCAGGTCAGCTTTCACCCACCTAATGAACTTTGGCTCAATTGCCTTGGAGCCAGACGAGGCCTCAGTCAGCTCGTCGAGTGGCTTTTCGAGAAAAGCACGAGAGCCACTGTCCATTGCGATACTACCGTCACCTAGACCACCGGCCTCGGTGAGCTCTTGCCGCCCTCTCAATCTCCTTCCGAATTCATCCTGAGATCATGAGCAAGCGAGCTCCGTTCAAATGCTCCGAGTCACGTACATCAGACATATTTTGAAGCTCGTCGATGGTCAATCCGTCCCAAAAAGCACGAGAGCCACTGTCCATTGCGATACTACCGTCATCTAGACCACTCGCCTCGGTGAGCTCTTGCCACTCTCTCAATCTCCTTCCGAATTCATCCTGAGATCATGAGCAAGCGAGCTACGTCCAAATGCTCCGAGTCACGTACATCTGGCATATCTCGAATCTGTTCGATAGTCATTCGATCCCAGTAGCCGGAAAAGGTAGGATCTACTGCTTCGAAGACGATATCGAACAGCGCTTCATCGTCTGCCGAAAACTGGTCAGGAGTGTCTGTTAGCGTCTCGTCGGGATAGCTCATGATTCGGGTGAGGCTTGGGGGTGCGATGGTGGAAGGGTCCCCGCATCAAATATGTACCATATCGGTGCTTGTTCCTTTACTCCTTTACCGAAGTCAACATACACCCGCGGAACAAGGGATATGTTATCTATGCATGGCGTGGAAAGTTGAAAGAGGACGGATATTCTCACCCCTTGAGCGACAACAATCTAATTTCCTCCTCCGAGCCCTACCAGATGCCGGATCTATAATTGGTCCATGCATCACTGCTTCGGGAACTGAAGTTGGTCCCATTATACGAGGGCTCACTCTCTCTGCTCGTCATGACGGATGCATGCCGAGAACAGTTGCACAGGGCGACCGATCCGACGGATGTCTGCCAGAACAAACACACTTCACACTGCCGCACCTTGGTAGTGAGCCCCTCGTGGGCGAGCAACAAGCCTCTGTCTACCTCGAGTATCGCAATAGTATTATAAATACATATTTCAGAAGATATTGTCCAGCGAGCCTCGCGCAGAGTCAGCTGCTCCAGAAATCTGACTTCACACTCCACGTCGACCCTCAACAAGCACCTTACCAATCCCCCGCATCTCCTCTCTCCCATTCCCCCGCTTTCCAGAACGTCCCCAGCTCAATATTTTGGAGCAACTGCACAGCTATCCTAGCAAACGGCAACCACGACCCCTGCGCCTCCAAAATCTTCTTGATAGCGTCCGCCTTGGAGCGAAGAGAAGAGATACTGGTTTCGAACGTGGGATGCGAGGAGGAGAATGTGATGATGTGTTGGGAGGTTGTGATCAGGACACGACCGATGATGAGAAAAATGACAGCAAGACAGACTGTGTATGATTCTGTTTATCGCGTCAGCTCTGATCATAAAGGTCTATAAAAAACGAACGAACGGAGTGTAGGATCGCCAGACGATTGAACCACATGGGTGTGTTCTAGCATCTGTTGCGCGGCATCGAGGAGTCGGTCAAGGTGACCATGTTTGTGAGTATAGCCAGAGTCAACGTCCTCTTTGGCGTGGAGAATACACATCGTGCTATCGTGACTTTAACTCTGAGCCATGTGAAACCTCTCAAAACTCACGCGTAGAGCAACACCCATGCCTCCGTGGACTCCGTCGTCTCGGGTCCCCACTCTCCCTTGACTTGTCGCAGGTATTGCATATACCCGCTCGTCAACTCTGAGAGCTTTTCCCTCTCTTTCCGCACATCCGCCTCCGACCCTGACGCGTCGAAGAGGTGGAACGCCCGATGGAACAGAGTGATGGCTTTGATCTGGGCACAGAAATCAGAGTCAAGTATCGGCGTAGAAGGGAAGGCATGTTTGGAGGAAAGGAAAGTGCGGACGGTGGAGTTGTCGAGGAGGGCTGATGGGGTCGTAGTGTCCTTGGGAAACGGGGTGGTGATGTCCGTCATCGAGTAGGCTACATATGCGTCAGTCCGTAGCCCATGGCATATGACTGTCATACTTACACGCAGGCCAGCCCCACCCTGAGGAGGATCCAAGGTCAAGCATATAGGAAAACCAGCTGAGTATAGTCAGCGACCGCTGGTGGATCCAAGAGCAACTTACAAGAGATTGATCCTCTCGTCCAAATCTTGAGGACTTGTACACGGCGGAACGATCGCCCCTTTGTGCATGACAACCCTTAACGACCTTTCCTTCTCCAAGCGCTTCATACTGTTTTCCAACTCATTGTCGTAATTTCCGAGATTCGGCACAAATCTCTCGCCCACATGGCCAAGCTTTGCAAATCCTCCCGCCCTCAGCAGCCCCGTCGATGCTGCACACTCCACCCAGCCTTCGATATGCTTTGCATCATTAAAAAATGCAAAAGACCGAAGGGCGCTGGCGATGACCAAATCGTGCATGCGGTGATCGCCTTGGGCGATGGCATCGACGGCGTGTTGCCTTGATTGTGTGAGCAAGAGGGAAGGGAGGGAGGGGTCGTGGAAGCAAGGGTATGGAGAGAGGACAAATATTGAGGGAAAGAGAGCGAGGAGAAGGGAGGGGTGGATCGGGGCTGTGGATGATGGAGATAGGCGGCGATCAAGAGTATCGGGGGGCATGGCGTATCGTATCAGGGGCATAGGAGAAGCGTTGATGTACAGCCGAACCCTGTTCGAGATCAGTATATCATGCAGTCCAGAAAAGGGAAGCTTACAGATGAGTCACCATACTCTCGCCAACACCCTGTTGACCATCTGCAGCCTTGACGAGCTCTGCGGCGACTTGCTTCACGTCCATCGTCTGCCAAGTCGCATCTCCAGCACCGACTCGAGTATTGCTCGCTGCCGCATCGGCGAGTGTCATGAGATCCGGTTCGGGAACGACTCTCTTGTCGGAGGCAAACCTGCTCAACTCCAACCCGGCCAGTGTGCTGTGGTCTTCGTAGACCGGCTCCATGGCGCCTGATCCCGAGCCTGGTCCCGAGCTTTCTCCATTCACTATCTTCTTCTCCAGCTCCTGCAGCCTATCTTCCAGCATCTTGACTCGACTCCGCTGCTTCTTCTGCGCATATACGCACTCCCGCCCGGTCTTGGTACAGTTGGCGCATGCCGGCTGCTCCGCTGAACACTTGAGTTTACGCCGTTTGCAAAATTCGCAAGCGCCCCCACGTGCGAGCATGTTGGCGCGAGATGTGGCTTTGCGCTTATTGGATGTGGGCTGAGATGGGGAGTCCGAGGTGTCGGCAGAGGCCGAGGCCATATTTGACAAGGCCGGGTCGATGTTTGGAATTTCGTCCCTCTGCTGGCCGCCCACAGTACCGAGTCCGACTAAATCCTCGTCATCTTGCCCTATCGACACGCCTCCATTCTCGCCGAACAGCGTCCTAAGCGCTGAAGCCGTCTCGGTCTCTCCTTGGTGCGTGCCGGGGTTTGGTTCGGCGATTTTGGACGGGAAGACATCGGCTTGGGCTGATGCAGCGTCGGAGGAAGAGGTAGAGGGCGGTGGGCGGTCGGGTTGAGTCCCGCGAGAGGGGGTGTTCGATGTGGGGGTCGAAGAGGACATGGCAAAAGTCGGGCGCGGCGGAGATTTGGAACCAAATTGTCAACAACACGGAGCAGACAGGCGAACTCCATGTCGGCGGATCGCGGCGGGTTTGGGTGATTATGTAAGCAGAATGGCCGTCGTTATTTGTTGGATGATGATGATGATGATGGGGCGATCGCTTGATGAGTACACTGTCAGGCCACAATGCCAGCTCTATGGATCCCTGCAGATCCAAATCGCTCTTCACTGTCGAAGATTCTATATAGTATACATGTATTGCTGGAAAAATATCTTGACAATGTTCGAATAGAGTCGCGCCGTTGGAATCCCAGATACTTGTTCAAACCTGCTTTGTCCCCGGTGCCGACTTGAACAGCCCAAGCTTCTCATAGAACTCGACAGCGGCCAGCAGTGTCTCCTCGGTGCTTCGCCCTGGTGTATCGTCCATGAGCTTAGAAACATTCAACATTGAAGGAAGATATCAATACATACACTGAATACCGAGCTGCTTCTCGGACTTGCTCGAGTCAATAGACCATCCATGAGCGGGGTATCTCTTAGGCTCGCCGAGGGGGAAATAAGCGTCCAAATCGGGCCGAAGCTTACGAAGCTTGTCGGCGAATTCTTGCCAGTTGTAACCTGTTGCCCATCAGTTTGTTTCTCGCTGTATCATCCCTTCCTTCGCGGTGCTCTGATGTCGGGCACGACTGACGCACCATGAGCAGAAACCAGAAATTTTCCAGAGATCCCCTTCGTTATGGCAAGATAGAAGGCCTCAGAAACATCACGGATATCGACAAAGCTCCAAAAGTACTGATGCGGGAGGGGGCGCGTTTTGCCGGCGAAGAGGTTGAGGAATTCTTGTTGAGAGCCGCCGGCGAGGTTTTCGATCTGTTCTACAGATGTAATGTATTGCGCGGGTCCGTATATCACTGTAGAGAGAGAGTTAGAATGCTAAAATGGCCCCATGGTGAGGAGCCGTACTGGGAGGACAAATCGTGGTAATGGAGAATGAAGGTCTCTCGGTTTCTTGAAACCGTAGGACGGCTTGCTCGGCGAGTTTCTTGGCGGCAAAATACCAGGTGACAGAGGCCATCCCATCCCTACTCTTCTCGTTAGACCGATGTTGCCAGATCAAAATGGAAACGAACTCGCTTTTTGGCGTCAAGAGTTTTGCAAAGTTCTTCGGTATAGGGATTCCAATCGTTCTCAGTGTACACTTTGCCAGAGGTAAGAGTGAGATCGACGGTAGAGGCGGCAGACGACAAGAAGGTCACGCTCTTGATCGCTACATTCAGTTTTTCAGTGATGACGGAGTGGACAGATCACAATCGACGCACTGCTAGACTTCTGAGCATAGCCCAAGATTCTCAAGATGGGTTCGATTGTGGGCTCTTTGTAGTCATCCCATGTAAGGGTAGTGTTGTCAAGTCTATCACTCGTGTCAGATCCAGATGTCTTGCATCTGTTTTGATACCCGAAGAGAAACTTACTGAGGCAAAGGCGCCGCTATACCTGCAATAGCATCGACTCCCTCCAGCAACCCGCTCAAGTCACTCTTGGCCAGATCCTCCACGACTATCACCTTAAGCGTTCCACTGGTCAAGTGTTGCTCATACAGGGGGTGGGACTTGAGTTTGTCGGCTTGGGATGGGGTGCGTACGGAGCCGCGGACGTGCCAGTTGCGAGAGAGGAAGTGCAGGACGAGATCGGTAGCGATGAAGCCGTTGATACCTGTTATGGCGATGGTGGGGATGGAGGGCGACATGATAAGACGGCTAGCGTTTCCGGTAATGGAGGGCGAAATGACAAGACGGCTAGCGTTTCCGGTGATGGAGGATTGGTTGGAGGATGGGATGACCGTAAGGTAAATAGATTCGGAAGCTTTGATATATGTATGTCGCCAAAGCTAAGGTTGTGGTCTCCTTGACGATGCCCATGTATTCCCACCGTGTTGTGCCCAAGCGTTCAAGCTTACTAATGAGTAATCGGCCCAACATCACAAGGGACGGGGGGTTGACGAGTGGTGGAGGCTTTGTAAGGCCGGCGGGCTGACGTCAGCCGCGCGAAGTGGAGGCCATGAATCAGATGTTTGGTCCGACGGAAGAGCGTCGTAGAAGACGAGTACTGCGAACTTTTTCTCTGGTAGAGTGTATTCTGGATGTGCCCATCAGTGTTCAACGGACGGTGATAGACTTCTGTACATCTGCACAAATGTCACTTTGCTTGTCGGCGAGATGACAACCATTTTGTATACATCTCAGTTCACAAACAGCTCAAGCCATCGTCCGCATAGGTCATAGCACAGTGTTGCACTAAATTCACAGCGGGACCAATTGCCCAACATGACACGGAAATGTTCTTGGTGACTAGCAGGCTGGATGTCTTTGGAGCATGTTGTACTTTATCATGTTTCTTCATCTAACCAAGCGATAGGTAAAGACAGTTTCTTATGACATTCATCATCAACTCTTTTTACTGTTGCTACCAGTACTTCGAATGCAATTCTAAGGACAACGGCTGAACCGAGACTACTACCGTGGCTGAGGCTATTCGCATGGCACTTTCAACTCTCTGGTGGGTTGAGCTGCGACCACCTCTGCATAGCCTCTTTTTGGCTCGCAATGCTTGCAGCCATTGCACTTCTCTCAGCCTCTGATTTTGAAGATTCCTTCTTTTTAATCCTCCATTGGCGTTTATATTCCGTTTCTGCCGTAGGGCTATTAGCTTGGTCGCACTCGAGCAGTACTATGTAATAGCACTATCATGGAGCACGAGATACGCACGTTTCTTTTCATAGTCTGGATCTGCATTTCTTTTCCTTTGCCTATAAGCGGCAGTGGCTTTGGCACCATCTATAATCCAGGTTGACATTGGTCAGCACATCAGTCCACTGTAAAGTCGTACAGCGGATGATACAACACCGCATTGCTCGACAAATGACGCACACGATCTCTTCTCAGCTGCTGATGCCTCACTGCTCGCTTCAGCTCCGCTGCGGGGGGCTAGTGCACTGTATTTTTGTGATCAATCAAGTTAATGATCTGGGGGTCGAGAAAACCTAAACTCACCTGATGAACTCATGCTCAATCGGATCAGGGCCAGCGGAGGCCTCATCCTGCCCGTCGAGTGACCCACCATTGTCCTCCTCCGGTGGACCGCTGCTGTCTTCCACACCACCAAATTGGTCAATGTACTTTAGCCATGCCGTCCTTGTCCTTTCGAGATCGCCCTGTTAACAATCAGAGAGCGATCTGCAAAGGGAAATAGAGGTCACGAACCTCTGACATTGTTTCAAGCTCTGCAAGAGTCACTGCGTCCCAGAAGACAGAGAGCGACGTGTCTTCTGACCTGTCGATGATGAAGAATTCTTCATCCTCTTTTTGGAGCGAGGGTGCAGTCAGCTCAGTAGCGTTTGTTGGTGTGTCGCCGGGATCGCTCATTTGGGGCGGATAGATTCGTAAGAAGAGTTGGGGAGTCATCACGTCAGATATATACTTATCGTCACGGTGCTCAGCCCTTTGTTCTTTCAGAGAATGTAGCAGACATCCGCTACAGAATGGATGTGGCCTATACTTGGAAGAGAGCTGGACGCCTTCACCCGACCCTAACGCCAAATTTAGAATACATGTCCGCACTATACATGTACGTAGATTCGATTGAAATCAGTTGCCCCCAGCTCCGGAAAGGACTCAAATGTTCCTGTTGCTCAAGTGTGACGTTATGAATGTGCCGCTCGTTCAATGGGAAGTGATCACCGTCTGCTGAGCCGGTGAGATTGGGAGTAGGCCTTTCGGCGAGAAGGCAACTGTTGCTGTGTGGATGAGGCCTGCTCTGGCTGCTCTGGGGTGACCGCTCAGGCCGTCACCAAGTGAGATCGAAGGCTGAGTCCAAGTACATCAATCGAGTACACAACACTGGGCTGAACGAGCATAAAAGGGGGATGTCAGAAAAACAAAAAAAGAAAGCCTCCGGCGGGGCTCGAACCCGCAACCGCACGATTAACTGATGGCCCGTAACCGGTTCAAGCAGACTCGTAAGAGTCGTGCGCGCTACCGATTGCGCCACGGGGGCTTCATGTTTTGTAATGTGTAATAGCCTATGATCAACGTATAGGCCAAAGTGTACTAACCGCTGAATGGCGTTCTCCAAAACGGGGAGCATTGTAGAAGGGCCATAAGCATAGACTGTGGATCAAGAAGGGACATTGCCTTGAGTGAAAAGAACAGCAACCTCGACCACTCTTGCAGGCTTCATTTATAGACGATGCGGTAAGCGGGATCAGATTAGCCGCCTGCATTAACGCCCGTCACCATTTGTGTCTCTCTGGTGTCTCTGGCATCTACAACGTTGCTTCATACACATCCGACAGCTTGGTCCCACCAGCTCATCTCCATACACTTGGTACCCCTCGCTCAATCTCTCTTACCCCTCCAAGCACCCTCAAACACCTCAAAAAGCCCAGATCAGAAGCCCATCTGAAGTCCGCCATCCGCCGTAATCTTCCATCAAAACAGATGTCTCCCTCTGCCCCCACTCCAACTACTCCATCTAGCTACGCACTATCAGCCTACGGAAACCACCCTTCCACCTCCGCGTCCGCATCAGCGCCCACGCCATCGGGAAGCCACAGCGGGAGCACCAGCACTCCCGATGATGGCCGCGTCGGCCACGGCCAAGGGGATGGACAAGACGATATGGAACCGGGGAGGAAGAGGAGGAAAGTGACGAGGAGTAGGCTTGGATGCTTTACGTGTAGGAAACGGAGAAAGCTTTGTGATATGGGCAAACCGGTCTGTCAGGCGTGTACGAGATTGAAGATGGTGAGTCTCCGTTGATAGTCGCGTTGGTGCAAGCTAATCGTGTGTAGGAATGCGTTTACCCCCCAGACGGAGGAGCAAGGCCGCCAGAAGAACTGCGGCGTAGATCGGATCCCGCCAATCCGACAAAGGCCAAGGGGCATACACCTTACTCTCAAAGCGCCAACGTATACCATCCGCATTTATCTCCCAAACAACTATACGATCCTGGGCGCCATGTCGCCGAAAGTATGGCAAGGTCCACTCCTGCGTCGAATACGATGGACGATTTCGTCACTATATTCGGAGAGATTGGAGATACGCGAGGGGGTATGACTATGGGCGGACCGACTGGGGGTATAGGGTACAGCGGGCAGATGTTGCCGCCTCCTGATCCTGGATTGGCAGATTGGTTCGGTGGCGGATCGAGTCTTGACGAGGTGAGCATGTTTTTCATATTGCTGGGACGAAAGCATCTGACGTTCTATAAGGCAACTCTGCAACTCTGGGCCGCCGACTGTCTCGCAGTTCCCACTACCCAGACATTCAACGCCTTTGAATCCCTCAACAGCCTACTTCAACCCACCCCTCCGTCCCATAACCCGCAGGACCCTACCGCTTCATCCTCCGTCAACGCAGCTGAGGGAGCTGAAACAGGCTCCGGCGGCGCCTTGCACTCTCATCCAGGATCTCGCCGGCCCTCGCCTTCCCGTAGCAGCGACCGCGACACCCCTACTACGACCTCCCAGACCGCCCTCCTCAACTATTTCCATGAATCCCTCGCCCGGCTGGTGTCATGTACTGGCGATACCGCCCCCAGCGCATTCGAAGCCTTCACAAAACTCGCCAACATGACTGCCGGCGTCGGCCCTGCCAGCCAGGGCCTTCATCTCAGCATCCTAGCCTGGGCGGCGAGGCATATGGTCAATAGGGGCTTGGCCAAGTATGAGGCTGTGAGCGAAAAGTTCAGTGGGCAGGCGACGAGGTTGGTGGATAGGCGTATGGCGGAGTTGTTTGATAGTAAGGGGGTGGAAATTAGTGGGAGTGTGGAGGAGGAGGATAGGGATAGAGAGTATATGACATTGTTGGCTGCTGCTGTTATGCTGATGCAGTTCAAGGTGAGTTTGGCTGTCCTGTTGGTGATCTGCGCTGATGGGTTTGACAGATCTGCCGGGGCGACGTGTGGGCATTCAGTACGGTTGTGAAGCATCTGACGCGACTTGTGCCGTACGTCTTTCGTACGGAAGTGGACATTGCTCCAGACTCAATGTACTTGCAATTGTAAGCTTCTCCCTCATCATTGGCCGCGCTCCCGCTAACCGATATCTCAGTTTCGAAAACGTCCTATACCACGACGTCCTCTCCTCCTTCATCCTCAACCAAGCCCCCATGGTCCCCGAGGCCCTCATCAAACACTACCACCCTTCTTCCCTCGAAACGCTGCACACCCTCACCGGCGCATCATTACCGCTCTTTTCAACGATGCACAAGATCGCGTCGTTGGTAAGGCAGCGGCGGGCAAAGCGTGGGAAGAGGGCGGGGTGGAGCGATGAAGAGTTGATGGATGTTGTGACGCCGGCGAGGGAGTTGGAGAGGGTTCTGGAGGATGAGAAGAAGAGGTTGGATGCGCTTGTTCTTGGTATGTCTTTTTCATAGTGGCCTTACTACTCAAGCTGACGGGTATCACAGCCAAGCCCCACGTGAAACCCCATCGATATCTCCACGAAGCTTTCCGCACCGCGTGTCTTCTCCAACTGCACTACCACGTCCTCAACGAAGCCCCCGCTTCTCTCCCTATTCGTTTACTCGTACGACAGAGTTTGTCTCTGCTTGAAGCCATGTCGGATCAGAATCTGCCCGGGTTATGTTCGGCGCATTGGGTCATTTTTACGACTGCTTTGTGCTGCGTACCGGGTGGGCAGGAGGCTGGGGTGATGGACGATAGAGAGAGGGTGGATCGGATCTATGATGATATACTGTAAGTCCCTTTTGTTCAATGTCACGCTGTGGGGCTGATGAGTGTGTAGACAAGATTTCGGGTTCTTGAATGTTGAAAGGTCGCGGAAGATTGTGCATGAGGTGTGGTCGCGTAATGTTGGTGGAGCAGCTCATTTCGACTGGTTGGACCTGCTTGAAGAGTATGATTGGGAGATTTTCGTGGTTTGAGCAACACATAAGGGTTATGCACCTATATTTTCCCAACTTCGCGCACTATCCATCCACTTTCACCTAGCGTAACTGGTACGCCTTTCTTCCAAGACTCTGGAATTTCAATAGGAAGAGCAGGAAGGAGGTGTTGAAGCTTGTCGGAAGGACCAAACGTGTAAAGCCGGGTCCAGGCACCGTCCTTCAACTCATCTCTCCAGCCCCAGAACTCGTCTCCGACTTTCCCAAGACCCAGTGCCCTATCTCCTGTCCTCCCTAGAAACCATACCCCCTCTTCTCCGTCCGCTTCCCTTTCAAGCACAAAGTACCCGGCGGCAGCCGGCTGGGCAAACCGCCGCCAAGTCTCAATATAGTCTTCGTTGAGTCCCGTTTTGGGGTTGAACATGATCCCTCTTTCTTCTACATCCCCCGAGGGGAGGGTTTGGAACGTTCCTTGGTCGGGGAGGGAGGAAGGGGGACGAGAGTCGATGATGTGGTCCCATCTCAATTGCGGATTCTCTACCCCTCATCAGCTGCATTCCCATCGTCATAGCGAGCCCGACACATACCTGCCGTCGACTCGGGAAGCTCGGCGACTTTCGCGACTGTCGCCCAGTCTATGTTATCCTTGTCTGGGCCAGAGATGAACACGCGCAAGTCGAGCGAGTAGCCGCCGATAGTGAGGACGAGGGTATCGGTATCCTCGACAGGGGCGGCGCCGGACCAGGCGATGGAGATGCGGGTGGATGCTCGAGCTGCCATGTTGGTTCTGTTCTTTGAGCTTTACAGTTTGGTAGGAAAGGAATATGGGAGGCTTTGCATTGATCGTATTACATTTGGCGTTATGAATGCACCGAGCATTTGCCATCGGATGAACCCGATACGGGCGCTTAGCCAAGCGCTGATTTAGCGCCATCTCATGCTCGCGTAATCTCGACCAAATCACTGGAAACCCATATAATTACTGTCCCCTTTGCTTGCCACTTGCCACGTCCGCTCATTACTTGTTGACTTGACAATACACGCGAGAAAAAAAACATGGTTTCAACTGCGGAGGCAACAATGACATTGGCGAGGGAGGAAGAGAATCTTAGCTTTGACTTTGGTCCGCCCCCGCCGACATTCACAGACAAACTTGAGGAGCGGGCGTATATCAAGGAGCGGTTGGCTTTGGCTTACAGGGTCATTGCGAGGGAACACTTGTGTACGTGGCGAGTTGGATCAGACATTGCGGAAAGAGCTGATGGTTGTTGTTTGATCTAGGCGAAGGCGCGTCGGGGCATCTGACTTCAAGAGATTCGGTGGATCCTTCTTCCTTCTGGGTGCGCATTCCCTCTCGCAACTAGTCGTATCGACACGAAGCTGATAACGGTGAAACAGGTTGTTCCCTACGGCCTTCACTTCTCTCGCGTCAAAGCATCCGACCTCCTCCTCGTCTCCCACTCCGGCGCCGTCATCGCCGGCGGCCATCCCTCCCGCCAGAGCTACAACTCCGCAGCATACATCATCCACTCCGCCATCCACGCTGCCCGGCCCGACATTAAATCTATCGTTCACTGCCACTCTCCCTCTGGCAAAGCTTTTTCGACTCTGGGACGTCCGTTGCCGTATTACACTCAGGACAGCGCGGTGTTTTACAATGATGTGGGGCTTTATGGACAACATGGGGGTGTGGTGCTTAATAGTAAAGAGAGTAGAGAGATAGTGAAAGCTATGGGGGAGAAGAAGGCGGTGATACTGCAGAACCACGGGCTGCTTGCGGCTGGTGGGTGTATTGAGAGCGCAGTGGCGTGGTTTATGCTGTACGTCCATCTCTCTAGTCGACTATGGGCAATCTGATGAATGTCAGGTTGGAAAATGAATGCCGATGCGTGCTAGCGGCGGAGGCGGCGGCTGCGATGACTGGTCAGAAACCGATTAGTCTTTCGCCGGAAGTAGCAGAGTTCACGTGAGTCCCGGCACAATGATATCGGTCTCTTGTGGCCCTCGTATGAGTACCAAGCTGATGGGGAGATAGGTGGAGAGAAACTGGCACCGAAGCTGGTGGCAGGTTTGAAGGAATGCCCTTTGTACGTTGCTCCTCTCGAAGGAGATGGCCGTGAAGCTGATAAAGATCTGTGCAGTTTGATCTCGTTGAAGAAGAATGTGCGGGTGCTCATCGGGGGTAATCTTCTTGTGCGATGAAGGGTGCTTATCGGAGGTGATCTTGCTTTGCGGTGAGGAGGATACAGATGTGTACATGTATATAAACATGCTTTTTTGGGTATATACCACCTGTAGTCAGGTCGCAAACAGCGTCATCTACAATCTACTCTCCTCTATCCACACATCTCTCCTGCGTTATATCTCTCCCTCCGCAGGTTTCTCCGTCACCATCTTCGGCTCCACCCACCCCTTCTTCTCAAAACAAGCAAACACCAAATCATAACCATCAAACTCATATCCAATCCTATCCTTCCTCACAAACTCCTTGCCCAGCAAACTCGGGCCGAACGAGTTCCACGCCTTCTTCTCAGCTTCTTCTTCTTCTGCCGTCGGGGATGGGGAGGGGGTGGATACGAAGAGGGTGATGGAGAGACGGGAGGGTTGGAAGATGTTGACAACCTTCTTGATGAGGGTCTGCAAGTCTGGCCTGTTTTGCAGACCTTCGGTGGGGGAGGAAGAAGTGGGAAGGGGGACGTTGCACTCGAAAGACGCATAAGACCATCCCTCCTCCGGCGTGACGTGGATCGTAAAGTATCCTCCCCCCGGCTTGCCGGAAGAAGATTCCGGTAAGCCAGAGCCGATGACGGCGTTGGCAGAATAACCGCAAGGGTCAAAGCCAAATGAATCGAGGTTGGTCTCCTCCTTGGAGAAGAGCTGGTCGATACCGAGAGTAGAGGAGATGGCTTGGCCGAGGACATGCCCTGGGGTGGTGGAAGCCTGGTCGGCGAAGGATTCGTGGAAGAAGGGAGCGCGGGCTTGGGGGGAGAGGTGAGTCATGAGGATTTCGAGGGTGGTGTCTTGGTAATGGGGTGTCGGTTGTGGCAGCGCAGCGGGGGTGGGGATGGGGGGAAGGGAAGGAGGGAGGGATGAGGGTGATGGGTCGGAAGGGAGGAGGGGTTGAGAGTTGGGGGTGGTGAGGTACAGGAGCCAGTGGTCGCGGTTCATGGGGCCGACAGTGTACGCTGCTCCGGCCGTACCTACAAGCTGTTAGCAGAGTTTCCTACAGAAAATAGAAGACTTACCGAATACGCTGTCGAGGAACTGCACCTCATCTCGCCAGTCTCTATGCGGCCCTTGCTGACGTTCGGGGAAGAAGAACGACTTTCGCGAGTAGAAACATCGGTATACGGTGTTGAAACCGCAGTATTGTCGGGCAATTTCGATGATGCGGTAAAGACCGAGGAGGTTGAGGGTGGTACCGCAAGTTTTAAGGATGAGGAGATGAGGGGCGACAAAGAGTGATGATTCGCTGCAACTATGTCAGTAAAGTTACTACATTGTAGAGCACACTGACCTCAAAAGATAGGCGTCCAAATCATCTCCCTCGACGGTGCTCAGCACCTTGCACTTGACGATATCCAGCATCTCCTCCCAGACCTCCTTGGGCACTTTCCTGAGCCCCTTCCACTGTTCTCCATCTTTGACAGGTCGAGATTTGAGGCCACCGGCGAGACTAGATTCCGGCGCGTCGGGGAGCTCTGCGAGCGAAGGAGCGAACCAAAGCTCGAGCAATTTTTCGGGGCCCTCGAACGGACCAGGGGAGGTGAGGGCGGCTTCTTCCACAGACATCGCAGACGAAAAGGGGGTACCGAAGACCAGGGGCGGGTTGCTAGTCTTGTGCTGAAAAAAACAAGGCAGTTCGTTGATGAAAAACGAGGAAACTTGTTCAAGACAATCAAGTCACGTGATGTGGAACTGATTGCCGAGTGACATCGCGCGCTATGCATCTCTGACATTTCGAGCGCATTCCACCACACCATGTCCGGACGGCCAGTATTCGGAGGAATGTTCGACATGATGCGCAAGGGCGCCGCACCGAGCAACGAGCCAGCAGCCGAGGGGGAGAGCGGACAGGGCGGACAGGCGCAGGGGCAGCAACAGCCCAACCCACCGACCACCGGTTTCAGGATGGGTATGCCGCTGCAGGGATTTACCAACAGACCGAGGGCACCGGCGATGATCATGAAGAGAGAGGGGGAAGATGGTCTCAGTATTGGGCTCGATCAGAGACCGTTTGGCCAGCAGGAGAAGAAGGCAAAGGTGTGTCACTGGGGTCATATGGACAAGCGCTGATTTTGATCAGCTACCTCAATTCGACTTTCGGTACGATGATACGGATACTCTGATGAATGAGCTTGAAGAGTTCTATCCGTACGTCGAAATGTCAGACATTGGCACCAACGCGCAGACATTCAAAGAGTCTTTCGACGGCGGTACGTCTCTCCTTTTTCCCTTCTATGGGTACTGATGGTATCTCAGACTGGACAGAGGCAAAACTCTCCGTACGCAAGTCTTATATCGAACTCCAGCTCGAACATTTTGAGTCGCCCAACCAACAAATCCGCCGTCTCGCCCAGGGTCGCCTACTCTACCTCCTCCAGGGCTGTTTCGAAGAGACAACATCGCCCGAGATGCAGTTGCACTGGGTCATTGAGAATGCCAAGGCGGTGAGAGCGGTGGACGGCGTTTCGACCATTGTGTATGGGCTGAGGGATGCCTCGAGAAGGTACAACTCGTCGTCGTGGGTACATTTCTTGCTTCGCGGATGACTCTGACTGGTATTTTAGCGAGGAGAAGGACAAGCCTTCTTCGGGAGCTCTACCATCTGGGACTGTGCCAGCTCAGGTTGATCCTTATGATGACCACAGTGCTGAGCTCATGGACCTGCTCGCCATGCTCTATTTTGTCGTCGAAGTGCTGCGTACGGACGACACCTTCGGAGACGAGCTGAGTGCGTACTTTCCCCATCCCCTTGGTATCACTACTGATCCAGCGCAGTGGCGATCACTCCCTCTCTCCCCCTCATCCTCTTTCAAATGATCTCCACTCTGCGCGACAAGATCCCGCGAGGATACCCGGTCAAGAAGGTGCTGCTGCTTCTATGGAAGACGTTGTTGGCGTGTTTGGGTGGTATGCGAGAGGTGCAGCAGGCTATGGCTCTATCTCGAGAATCCGCAGGATTGGACCCAAACACCAAATGTGCGTACTCGCACCTCCCATTCTTCGCCGTTCTGACCCTGGTGTAGATTTCACGAAAGCCTCTCCTATCGACATCGCCAACTGGCGCCGCGACACCTCCACCAAATACCCCACCTTCGCCCCTCCCACCACCTCCTCCTCCTCCTTCCCCTCCGATTACTCCGTCCCCCACGAGAAACTCGCCGAAGGAATCCGCCCCATCCCGCCCAGGCCAAACTACCACTCCACCGAACTCCCACCCACCCTCCCTCGCGCCTATCCGCCAGCTAGTCAGGGGCAAGGCGAAGCAGGCTACGCAGGGAATATGATGCCTGGAACCCCTGCGCCGTCTCCCCCGCCGTCGCCTGCGCCGATGGTGCAAGGCCCGGGGCCGCAGCAGAAGAAGAAACAGCAGTATCAGACGGACCCCAGTCGTCCTTTTGTTTTTCCGTACTCGCATACTTCTGGGGCGACGCCGCTGGGGTTGGTACCGTTTGCGATATCAGAAGCGGACCGGTTGTATCATCGACACGAGTACATCTCTCTCGGTTTACTCCAGATGTGGGAGACGCGCGAAGAATATATTCGTGAAGAACGCGGGCTGGGGCGGAAGGGTTTGATCGGGTTTACGAATGGATACGACGGGGATGAAGAAGAGGATGAGGAAGAGGTGGAAGCGATGGTGAGGGAGTGGAAGTATGAGCAGGAAGAGATGGAGTGTGAGAGTGCGGGGGATCGGGAGGGGGCGAGGAAGGCTAGGGAGAGGAGGATGGCGTCGAAGCGGTTGAGGAGGGTTGATGAGATTCACGTATGTCCCTCTTTCTTTTCTTTCTTGGTTGCATGGCTGATAAGCTTTGGGGACAAAAGAAAAAGACGTTGCCGATAATGCATTCGTGCATGATTGCGCTCCTCAAGCTGCTTCTCGCGACCGTGACCTCCCCCGGCGCGGGTGGTGTCAATCTTCAGAATTCCAATCTTCCTCCAGGATTACATTCGCCTACTCAAGAGATGCCTCGTTCGTTTCCGCTTTCTTTATGAGGAGGGGTGCTGATATATGTGCAGCTACCGATAAGGGAACAGCGCCAGCTACACAAGAGGAGATTGACATTTCGAGGCACCGAGAGATCACGTCGAAAGCTGTTTCTGCTATCATTATCCTTCTTTTGAAATGGTTCAAGGCGTCCCGTATGTTTCGTTCCTCTGCTGGCTGTTCTCAAAGGCTGACAGCTCCTACGCAGATATACTCAAGTTCCACCTCTTGACGCAGATGCTCTTCGACTCGAATTGCGTCTTGCTGCTGCTGAAGATGTTTGGCTTGACCGAGATTACGCCGGTGATCACTGCTCGTAATGAGATTGAGGAGCTCAAGTACGTCCTCCTCCACCATCTCGCTCCCTCACTAACGCAAGCGGCACAGCTTTTTCAACTACTGTTACCTGAACCACAGCCGCAACCCTCCCACCAACCACGACCCCGCCGAGCTCCGCCACGATCGCCGTCCTTCTCCGAACGATCCTACCCCGGAAGGCGCAGAGTTTTCGAGCGATTATTCGTGGAGGAATTTCTTCTCGACGATCAACTTCTTAAAGGTGATGCAGAAGGTTACGAAACATAGGAGTCATCGGACTTTTGTTATGAGTTCTTATAAGAGCTGGGTGAGCATCTTGTCGAGGATTGGGGAAATGATGAGGGTGAGAGCTGATGGGGAAATTTAGCAAATTTTGAAGAGGATGTTGAAGGTCAACCATCCGATGATGCAGCTTCAGATCTTGAAGCTTATCAAGAGTCAAATGCCTTGGTGTGGACGAAAGTGGCGTCAAGGTGAGTCTTTGATTAATGTTATTGGCGGATCTTTAATGCGTTTGCAGCTGCGGGTAACATGAAGGTCATCACTTCGATATATCTCAACTGCCGACCTGAGCTGAGGGACGATTGGTTGGCGGGGACGGACCAGGACACGGAGCTAGAGGATTCTATGGTGTGTCGTATTGACCGATGTGTCGCAGAACTAAACTGACGTTCATCGTAGCCACAAGACAACGCTCTTCGCACCCTCGTAAGCTTTTACAACATGCGCCTCTACACTCCACCCACTCCCCTCTCTCCCGACGCCTCCTCCCACGCCCGCCGCCAATCTACCTCGCACAACCCCATATTCGAAGACCCCGTTCTCAACACTTCCCAAACGCACTTTGGCCCCGGCCAACCCCAACACCGCCGGTCAGACTCCACCTCGGGCCAGTCAACGGGCAGCGAGCACGATGTTTTCCCGCCGAGGAAGAGCGACTCGCCCGCAGGCGCTGGGGCTGGGGGCAGTTATAACCCGGATGAGATGATTGAATTTTGGCTGCACGAGTATGAGGACGTGCTTGGGGAGGTGTTTGGGGTGGAGGGTGAGAATGAGGTGTTGCATGAGTTTGGGCTGGCGAGTGGGATGGCGAGTCTGGGGATCGGGAAGGGCGATGATGATGATGATGCGCAGACGCCTGGTGTGGAGGATAGGGCGTGGAGCCGGCTGAATGAGATTATGCGAGGGGGGAATGAGGAGGATATTAGTGATTCTGAGAGTGTAGTGTCTGTTGGGGAGCTTGGGGATGAGGCGAGGATGGGTGGAACTGGGTTTGGCGGGAATAGAGAAGGGGAAGAGGAAGGAGAGGAAGTGGCTGATGATGGAAAGAGTCGAGTGGGGATGGGTCAGGGACGGAGGAGGAGTGGAGCTGGAGAAAACACTTGGGAGGTGAGTTGCGTGATCACTGCATATACTTATCTGCTGACTATCTTTTCAGCATATGTCCCCTACTCTTGCACTCCTTCCTCGCTCTCCCATCGAACGCCGCCGCTCTTCCTCCGGCGGCTCACCCCTCCGCCCCATCGTCCCCACTTCCCCGCTCAACCTCGACCCCTTCGGACACAACGACGTCTTTGATGAAGAAGAAGAGTTTGAAGTTGACCCGAGAGGACCGATGCCGATCAAGATGGATACGAGGGATCATGAAGAGAGGGAAGGAGGGGCGGTGGATGAAGTGGAGTATACGTATGGAGAGTAGGTAGGCCGTGGGGGTGTAGCATATATATTTTACGAATGAACGAGCGTATGTTGGGGTGGGCAACTCGGCCTGCTGTCACGTCTTCTGTATTGCACGTCTGTATAGCGAGTAGAAGGAAGAGCAACAGGCGGGACGCCATCAGCACGAGAGCGCGGCCGCCGCTGTTGACACTTTTCAAAGCATGATAAAATCCGGCACGAAAGATAACCTTCGACCTGTCATCGCCCGATCATCGCATACCACCTCCACCTCTCCCGTCTCTTTGTTCGGCTCAGCCCTGAGGCCATAACGGCGCCCGCACCAATCGTCTGTCTTGGATTGTCAAGCATCTCTCGACCCTCCACCCCTGCTGACCCATCCATACAGTCTGCAGTGGTCCTAGTTCCCGGGTTCGTTACAGTGTACTTATATTCATACACAGATGACCAGAATGGTGGGGAACTAGGGAGCTAAGCTATGAGAGTATATATGGGAGACAGCGGAAAAGAAAAGATATAATCAGAGAGAGTGTAGTGAAGGCACCGGGCGGGACACGACTCCACGAGGCAATGCCCATCAGGTATCTACGCAACACTGTGGATCGCTTCTTGGTTCTGCCCTCACTCATACAGCCAACGAATAGCCCACAATGACGCCCAACTCTCCCCTTATCGCTATCACCGGTATCGAAGGCTTCATCGCTACCGAGCTCGTCCTCTTGTTCCTCGCTCGAGGCTGGCACGTCCGCGGCTCTGCCCGTACCTTCACCCAAGCCGAAAAGCTCAAGAGCCTTCCCGCCTATGAAAAGTACTTTGCCAGTGGCCAGCTTGAGGTGGTGGTAGTGGCGGATGTGGCGAAGGCTGATTTCACCGAGCTGCTCGAGGGTGCGGATGCCGTGGCGAGCCTCGCGGCGCCTATCCCCAAGTGAGTTACATCTTCATTCTTTGGGATTCGTGCTGATAGACATGATAGGCTTGGTGATCCCACTATCACTTGGAGCGACTTCAAGCGTCCTACTATCGACCCTGTGCTGAGGATCCTTGACTATGCCAAAAAATCTACCAGTACGTTCCAATCTTTGCTCAGCAGACTTTACTCTTGAGACGGTCATACTGATAAGGTTGATAGCTATCAAGAGTGTCGCTATCATGTCATCTTCCGGCTCCTCCATCAGATTGGACCATCAACCCAACAAGGTCTACACCGAGGACGACGGGACGCCTTACACTGAGGAGTATTGCGAGTCTCCTAGCGCTGCTACGTACGTGTTGTTGCGATCTCCTGTTTGACTCGTACTGACCATGGGCGTCTTTAGCCACCGTCTTGCCACTGTCATCTGGTACTATGCCGCCAAGAAGTATGCCGAGGAGGCTGTTTTGAAGTGGCAGGAGACTGAGAAACCTTCCTTTGCTATCTCTACTTTCTGTCCTTCCAGTACGTCCCCTCTCTCCACATACTCCCTCAGATTACTGACTCCATCATACAGTGGTCTACGGCCCTGCACACTATATCCCCTCCCTCGCCAATCTCAAGGCTCTCACAGGCTCCACCGACGAATTCCTCAACCTCTTTATCGGTAAAGACCAGCCCTTCCCAAGACAGTTTTCGAGAAGCTTTGTGGATGTTAGGGACGTTGCGGAGGCATTTTATCTTGGTATTACCAAGGAGGCCTCGGGCAAGTATTTGGTTTCGGGACACGGTACGTTCTTCCCCTCAAAGTCTATGAAGGACTGAAAGCTGATGGACGGATAGAGTACAGCTGGCAAGAGTTTGCGGACAAGCTTAGGGGACTCCGACCCGACTTGGACGCTTACTTCCCGCTTGGAGAGCCTGGGACGCGGATTCCGGAAGACTGGTCTATGGATTCTAGCAAGTCCAAGAGAGCTCTCGGTATTGAATGTGCGTATCTTTATCATCTTTTCATGAGGGCGGCGCTGATGGGGGCTGTAGACCGCTCGACTGAGGAGACTTTGAAAGGTGCTATCGACTTCTTTGAGGGCCTTGGGCTGTTCAAGCAGGCACCCCTTTGGGCGAAGGCGGCCTAGGATCATGGTCGAAAAGATACGGCTGCTCTCGATGGGGTATTCTTGCTAGATGCGTACATAGGTGTACATGTAAGCTGTTGGCGATATCGGAGGATGATGAGGCTTAGGAGTGTTTCTCCATGATCGTCGTACAAGACAGCTTGTAGTGACGAATGGTGTTGAAAGGCCTTTGTATTTCGTAAGTTGACTGTCGAGTAGCTTCGCTGTAGTAGAATAATATAGGACTCGATTCACTTTACATGCCATCTGGCTCTCATCCTGATATGCATACTTGACGGCTATGTGTCCAACTATCGCGCAACCTATTGCCACTCTAAAGTACTTCTTCTTTCTCTATCTCTCCAGCGCATCTCTGATCAGTGTATCTAATGCGGCTCCATCCCGTCGCACTTGTCAAGCGTTCTCGGCACGATATCAGCGTCTTGGCGAGGAAGAGGAGGACGGCATCGGTAGCGATGAAGCCATTGATCCCGGTGATAGCGATAAGGAGTGAGCTGGGCGTCATTGTCGCTGTATGAGTGTGGGCAGAACCAGGAAGCGGTCCACAGCGTTATATACCTGGCCAGTCCATTGCCCTCCGTTGGATCTCTTCCCAGATGACTGTATGGATGGGTCAGCAGAGGTGGAAGGTCGAGAGACGCTTGAAATCCAAGACGGACGAAATGGTGCGGGCTCCGTTATGGCCGTAGGGCTGAGCGGAACAAAGAGACGGGAGAGGTGGAGGTGGCAACAGCGGCGGCCGCGCATGGCGGGGCCGTCTTCGGTAGCGGATCTAGTTGGTTAGATAATCATTCCCATCGATAACCTTAACCAGGCTTCATTTCAGTGTGTTAGTGCTTTGTCACGAGCAGCCCCTTATATAAAAGATGGATCCACGTTCCCCCGACAGCTCATCGACCCCGCCCCGCAACCTCCAGCTAATCCAAGCTCAGACACCATGTCGCCCACAAAGCCCCTCATCGCCATCACCGGCATCAACGGCTTCATCGCTACCGCTGCCGTCCTCCATTTCCTGGCCAATGGCTGGCACGTTCGCGGTTCCGTTCGTACTGCCGCTCAAGCCGAAAAGCTCAAAACTCTTCCGGCTTATGCAAAGTACATCGCGAGCGGCGAGCTGGATATTATTGTGCTGGGCGATTTGGTCAAGGATGACTTCAAGGAGCTCGTTGAGGGGGCCGATGCTGTTGCGAGTATGGCGGCTCCTGGGTTCATGTGAGTGCTTCTTCGTCGGATGCGTCGAGGCTGGTGCTGACAGAAGGCGTAGGACTGACGACCCGGCGAGCTTCAAGTGGGAGCACATCAAGGGTCCTACTATCGACCCTATCCTCAAAATCTTGAAGTACGCCGAGGAATCCTCCAGTTCGTTCCACTTTTGCGCGGCTTGGAATGTCAGTACTGATAGACTGTAACTGTATAGCCATCAAGAGCGTCATCATCTTGTCATCCGGCGTGACCTCCGTCGTCGGCAGACAGGACTCTCCCGGTAAAGTCTATACCGAAGACGACTGGGCGCCTTTCACTGAGGAGTTTTGCCAGACTCTTAATCCCGTTACGTATGTCCTCTCCTACCTCTCATATGTCTAGCAGGTGTATTGATCATTCATGTGCAGCAACCCCATGGCCACTTTCATTTGGTACACGACCGCGAAGAAACTGGCCGAGGAAGCTGTTTTGGATTATATCGAGAACAAGAAGCCTTCTTTCTCTGTTACCATCTTTTGCCCTTCCAGTGCGTCCTCTCCCACTCTCTCCCCCTCTTTATTCGACTTTTTAACATGCTGACGAACGCATATAGTGGTCACTGGCCCGGCACACTTTATCCCCTCCATTGACGCTATCAAAGACCTCCCCGGCGGTTCTTCCAAAGACTTTGTCAGCCTTTTGTCGGGTAAAGACCAGCCCTTGCCCGCCCAGATCTCGTGGAGCTTTGTAGACGTGCGCGACGTGGCAGAATCGTTCTACGCTGCTGTTACGAAGCATGTTTCGGGCAAGTTTTTTATCTCTGGCCGCGGTATGTCTTGACTTCTCCTTCTCCTTCTCCTTCTTCTACATCGTCTTGGTGTGGAGCTGATGGGTATCGTGTAATAGAATTTACCTGGCAAGAATTCGTTGACAAGCTTAGGGCCTTCCGTCCCGACCTTGACGCTTACATTGCGGCGGGAGAGCCTGGTAAAGAGGTCATTGGCGAATGGTCCGTGGATGGCGGCAAATCTCAGAAAGAACTTGGCCTCAAGTGTACGTATCGCTCATGATTTTTGAGACTGGCAAGATGCTGACAAAACTTGTAGATCGCACTACTGAGGAGACTTTGAAGGATACGCTCGAGTTCTATGAAGGGCTTGGGTTGTTCAAGGAGGCGCCGATTGGAGCGAAGAAGGCTTGATGAATTGGGCGCATGGTGATCGCGGTTGAAGACGGCTCTGGTTGGCTTTACAGTGGGTGTACATAGGTCCTTAGATGGTCATGCAAATGTTCCATAATGACAGAGTCGCCCTAGATACATCGTATGACGTCGCGCTGGACTCTCAACTGACTCCGGATCCGACACGGTACTTATGACCCCAAAAGCAACATACAACACCCTACATGCCGGCAACGCCGGGCTCAAGCTGCCAAGGACATTTCAGCTTCGTGTCCAAGCTGCCGGATTTCCAGGGATGACGCCCAGCCGGGTCAGGGCTGACACTTTACTTCGGATCAATGTTTCGTTTGACTTATCTAATCCAATCGACTCGGATTGTTCAGCATCTACCGTCGGCCGTCGGCCAGTCGTCACAGCTATGCTGGTACCCTGTTCATCCTCGCCGCTTGGCGGGGTGCTGATGATGAGTATAGACCGCCCGACCGAGGATACTTTAAAGGCTACGATCGAGTTCTTCGAGAGTTTGGGATTGTTCAAGGCGGAGCAACTGGGATTGAAGAACGCTCGAATCTATACGTCACAGCGGTGAATGATTGATATTAAAGCCTCTCTATTCTACTGAAATGTAAACATCAAAGTGCACGATTAATGCCATGGATTGCAAGGAAAGTCTTGGATGGCAAAACGGGCAGTCGTGTCGTATCATCATCTTCTTAGATCTCGACTTGCGACGCGACTGCTTTTTTCGTTCTGTATCGCTCGCCGCTGCTCACAACGCGTCTTCTGTTCAGCCTGCTCGACCATACACCATGTAAACTTCCTATGAATGTATTGGATAAGCCGGATGCAAAGGTATTGCGTGATACCTGACAAAGAAAGTGGCCACTGCCCGATTGCATGCTGTTAGACGGGAGGCCGACGGTCACTGATTATCAACCTCCGTCGGAAGCTATGTGGCAGCCACAGTATTTAAACATGCATATCAGCGAGTGCTGATGTCGTACAACGCCCACTATCCACCCCTACCAAGTCCTGCTCAGCGTACACAATGTCCCCCAGCTCTCCTCTCATCGCTATCACCGGCATCAACGGCTTCATTGCTACCGAGGTCGTCCTCCTTTTCCTTTCCCATGAATGGCACGTCCGAGGCTCCGTCCGTACCTCCACCCAAGCCGAAAAGCTCAAGAGCCTTCCCGCCTATGAAAAGTACTTTGCTAGCGGCAAGCTCGAGGTGGTGGTAGTTGAGGATTTGGCGAAGGCTGATTTCAGCGAGCTGCTTGAGGGAGCTGATGCTGTCGCGAGTGTAGCTGCGCCTCTTCCCAAGTGAGTGTTCCTTGCGCTGTCTTGGGCTTGAAAGTAGCGGTCAGTACTGACAGATGTCACAGGATGGACAACCCGAGCCTTGAATGGGACAAGGACTTCAAAGGCCCGACTATCGACCCTGTACTGAGGATTCTCGAGTACGCTAAAAAATCTACCAGTACGTCCAGCTCCAATCTGAATGGTGCCAGCCATGCTGATGGCTTTGATAGCCATCAAGAGTGTCGCCGTCATGTCATCGTCCGGCTCTTGCTTCACTCTTACGCCTCCTCCCGGCAAAGTCTACACCGAAGCCGACTGGACGCCTTACACCGAAGAGCTCTGCCAGTCGATCACCCCTGCTACGTACGTTCTCTTCTGATCTCTCTCGTCTGTGATGAATCCATGAACTGATGGAGGCGTGTCGCTAGCAATCCCGCGACTCCTATCATTTGGTACTTTACTGCCAAGAAACTGGCCGAGCAGGCGGTCTTGAAATTCCAAGAGACCGAGAAGCCTGCCTTCTCGATCGCCACTTTCGCTCCTTCCAGTACGTCACGTTTCTTTCAGTCTTCTTCCATGCGAACCGATAACTTATCAGCCTTATCATATAGTGGTATATGGCCCTCCGCGATTCATCTCCTCCATCGACGACGCTCGCAAGGGGGTACAAGGCAGCTCGGACGAAGTCCTCAGCCTCTTCGTTGGTAAAGACCAGCCCTTGCCGCATCAGTTTGCGAGGGCGTACGCGGATGTACGAGATGTCGCCGATGCGTTCTACGCGGCTATCACGAAGAATGTTTCGGGCAAGTTCTTGCTTTCAGGTCATGGTAGGTCGTCTTCTGTCGTTTTGGGGCGAGTATGGGCCTGATCAGGTGGAATAGAATACAAGTGGCAAGCGTTCGCCGACAAGCTTCGGGAGATCCGCCCCGACCTCGACGCATACATTCCCCTCGGAACTCCTGGTCAATACATCCCAGACGAGTACTTTGCGGACGCTAGCAAGTCTCAGAGAGAGCTCGGTATCAAGTGTACGTATTTTTCACTACTTTGGGTTGTCTTGATACTGACAAGAGGCCGTAGACCGTACGACCGAAGAGACGTTGAAGGACACTATTGATTTCTATGAGAACCTTGGGCTGTTCAAGGAGGCGCCTCTCGGGCCGAAGAAGAAGGCTTTTATCTGAGGAGTGATTTTGATGGGTTGTATATAGATCATACAGTAAAGTGTTGAATGAATGTGAATGCCAACAAGCGATGGTGTTAGACGGCCACAATGTGACAGTTTCCCACGTCAAGACAGAGCAACCATAATAAGCGGATGTGCTTCGAGGACGAGATTTTGGTTACAGTTGCCTCAAATAAAATCAAGAGGTGCGGGCCGCGATTAGGCTTTCGGGCGCTCTTTCATTAGGACGTTGGCCACCGTCCGAACCGAGGAGTGTACCGAGATCGGTCCAGACACTCTGCTCTGTTTTGATTCGGACACTCTGATCTGTAAGTTGGCCATCGCCCGATTTCCTACAGCCCAGAAGTAGTGCGGGCCGCGCGGCGAGTGGCCAACTCTCTGCTGTTCAGTGATTCAACATCGTCTGTTGTCGCCTTTAGAAAGGGCGGCTGAAACCGCAGGCCAATCTCCGGAGACACACATGCAAGATGCCTGGGTAAGCAGGGCGAGAGAGCGGACGCCGCTGCTCTTTTTTGATCAGCTATGTCGAGAGACCATACCGCCTATAAATACCACCCTCCTTGGGGCCAATTCCCCTCACTCAACAACCGAACGACACGTATCGCCCACCATGTCTTCTTCCAACGCTCCTATCATCGCCATCACTGGCATCAACGGCTTTATCGCTACCGAAGTCGCCCTCCTCTTCATCTCTCGCGGCTGGCACGTCCGCGGTTCCGTCCGTACCCCTGCCCAAGTCGAGAAACTCAAGACCCATCCCGCCTACGCAAAGTACTTGACCACTGGCGAGCTTCGAGCGGTGGTGGTCGAAGACTTGACTAAGAGTGATTTGAGCGAGCTGTTCGACGGTGTTCAGGCCGTAGCTAGTTTGGCCGCACCTCTTCCTAGGTGAGTATTTCATATGCAAGCACCTTCAAAGGTGTTTTAGTACTCACGAGATATAGCCGTGACCCAACTGTCACCTGGGACGACTTCAAGGTTCAGTCTATCGAGCCTGCTTTGAGGATTCTGAAGCAGGCTCAGAAGTCGGACAGTGAGTACCTCTCTCTGACGTTTGACTATCACGCTGACTAGGTCTATAGCCATCAAGAGTGTCATTATCACCTCATCGAGCGCATCTGCCCTCGACCTTGTCGGTATCCCGGGCAAAGTCTACAACGAAGATGTCTGGAACCCTCTCACCGAAGAGTATTGCCAGACTCTCAGCCTGGCTACGTATGTTTTGCCTTTGGCTGCTTGATATCTATACTAATGATGGTCTGAAGCAACCCTATGACACCTGCTATCTGGTACTTTGCCGCCAAGAAGCTCACCGAGCAGGCCGTTTTGGAGTTCCAAGAGACCGAGAAACCTTCCTTCTCGATCGCGATCTTTTGCCCTTCCAGTACGTCCTCCCCTCGTTCTTCATCATCCTCTTCCAACCTTCCTTTCTCTCTCCCAAGGCAGCCAGAATACTAACACTATGGTAGTGGTCACCGGCCCGGCAAACTACATCGACTCTACCCAAGTCTTCAAGGACCTCCGAGGCGTCCCTTCAAACCAAATCCTCAACCTCTTTGTGGGGAAAGACCAGCCTTTGCCGATGAGGTTTGCCTTTGCCTTTGTCGATGTGAGGGATGTAGCTGCGGCGTTCTATGCTGCTGCTACCAAGAAGGTTTCCGGGAGGTTTATGCTTTCTGCGGATGGTACGTCTTCTTTCTCGCTTCCCAATTTCCGGGTTGGATAGCGAGGCTGATGGGTTGGATAGAATTCAACTGGCAAGAGTTTGTCGACAAGCTTCGTGCCCTCCGCCCCGACCTTGACGCGTACTTTCCGCTTGGTGAGCCTGGAAAGGAGGTGGAAGACGATTGGTCTATGGATGCTAGCAAGTCTAAGAAAGAGCTCGGTCTTGAATGTGCGTATCTTCACCTCACTCGTCGGCGAGTAGTAGGGTAATTTGCTGATGAGGGGTGTAGACCGCTCGACCGAGGATACTTTGAAAGATACCGTCAAACACCTCGAGAGTATTGGGCTGTTCAAGGAGGCGCCGACTGGTGCGAAGCAGATTTGAGTACGGTTGCGACTGTTGATACCTCTCCTCGAGCGCGTAGACGAGAAGACTGCCAAAGAAAGACTGTCGTATATAGCAAGACTGATAAGTGTGATGAAATTATTGTGCCATATCGAGTGTCATGGTCTCCGTCTCATATTTAAAGGGCTAGCGGGAAGGTACGGTATACGTTGACCAGGTATTGCACTCGTGTATGCTACAGTCTTTGACTCCTCGCAACCTAGAAATCTAAAGAGCCACCAATGCGCTATGTACATCTTGGGAAGCTGCCGGCTCTTCTCTCGCGTGACACTACGAGTACTGTACTCGTACTCCATGACCAGTAGCAAAGAGCAAGACGTCGGCAGCTTGACAGAGACGACAGGCGACCTATCAAAGCCCTGCTTGCTCGAGCTTGAACATCTCATCAAACGCATCTCTCACAACCAACCCCTGCTTGCTCGAGCTTGAACATCTCATCAAACGCATCTCTCACAACCTCTTCCGACTGTCGATCTACCGTCCAGTCAGCGCATTATCCGTAGCTTCTGAAAGTTGCCGCCTTCGACACAGCACGAGAAGGAAGGCGTGCTCACACTTTTTACCAAAAGCTTCACTAGCGCCGTCTTATTGAATTCTGGAGTTCAGTACGCAGGACGCTGCGAGTATAGACGTATACGAGTAGGCATCCGGAGCTCTTCCGGCAGTTACTATCGTTTTAGTGATCTATTGGAGGCGGTGCGGGGTGCTGGTGTCGGATTCGCTGTGGTCGAGTGTCGGCATGTGGCTCTTTTCCAAATATAGGCCAGCTCCTTTGTCCAGCGTGTGTCTTCTACGTCCATTGCGGCAAGAGAAAATTCTTCGAGCACTGGAAAAGTACATATATATATCTGATACGAGTACCGTTCCAACTCTCTTTATCAACCTTACCTCCAATGAGCTATCCCGAAGAAGCACCAACAGCAGCGACATATCCACAACCATCTTGGTACGACCAAGATGATGAAGCTTTACTCACTCATCTGGACCTGCAAGTGGACCCAAAGCTCACCACTTACTGGGACGAGTTGACTACCGAAGAGCTCCGAAAAATGCCTGATGTGCGTCGAGTCGCGTTAGGCTTGAGTGTTTTTGAAAATCACTTTCGCTAATGGTTGTCAGGATGAGCTCGAATGGACAAGGGGACAGTGGCAAATTTTTACACGCGCTGATGGGCTGAACAATACCACTCTTGAAATTGACAGTGGCCTTCGCGCGTTTCTCGAAAATTCAAACGGGGAGTTGATAGAAGCTTCGGCCGCGTCTGCAACTGGATCGCTCGAGCAAAGCGTCAGCAGGTAGGCACAAATCTTCACCACGCCTCTTTCTCCCACAGCCTATGAGTTCTAACGGTGATTGATAAACAACAGCGCGCCAGGGCCTAGCGTTTCGGAAGGAAAGAAGAAAACCTGTACGTCAAGTCTCCGATGATGACAGCCAATGGCGCTACATCCAACTGCACTACGGAGAACTAACATACATACCAAATATGCTCTTCCTTCTAGTAAAACCTTCTTCCATAAGACACGCTAAGTGGAGGCAGAACAAGATGGAGACCGATCCCGAGTTCGCCTCAAAGGGTGCGTCTTTCTGCACGCTTATTGCGCGCGCTGCCTCTCCATCGACTTCGCTGAATCCATTCGATACAGAGAGGTCGCGCAAACGACAAGCCTATGAAAATCGGAAAAGACGTATCGAGCAGGGAGAGGAACCTCCTACCATATCGCCCGCACAAAGGTCCGCTGAATGGCGGAGGAAGAAAAAAGCGGAAGATCCCGATTGGGCCAACAAAGGTGCGTCTCCTCACCTGTCACTACTATGGGTTATGCAGGGCGAGCTGTCAAGCTAATCTCTCTATGACAGATAAAGAACGCAGAAGCAACGCCCATCTGGAAAAGATAAAACAACTGAGTGAGGCCTATGCGACTGAGCAGACTGAGAGTCAGGACGAGGACGCGGAGGGAGAAAGCTAGTGATATTATAGCCCATCTCATGTATTGGGGATAGTGAATGAGGTGATACTTTGATATTTTCCAAACCTAATGGTTGCAATGGTAGGCAACAAAAGCACATGCGCAGGAGAACAGACGGAACAAGCCGATCGTTTAACAGAGCAAAGGGACTTGTTACATTATGTCTTTGCCCCACAATCGGAGTATGTGTTGCTCAAGAAGATAATTTGAGACCATCCATTCAAATTCATACATACTCATCGCTCCCGTAAGTAGAAGGCGGTCGATCCGATAGCGAAAATTCTCCTGTCCTCGCACCTCCTACCGTAATATGTTGCATCTTATCGCCTTTATTTTGACAGTCCATGATATTGTGGCGATTGCGCCACACCGCTTGGCTTTACCCAAGGATCCCTTCTTCCACTGTTCGAGCTGGATATGATGAGCTGGGCTACAGATTAAATCCGTATTTTCGTCCGCGTTTTCCTCGGCAGCACCACCCTCTTCCTCGTCAGCATCCTCTGTGATACTGCCAGTATGTTGTTAAGTAGCATTTCCACTCTTTTGGGCCTCAGCCTCTTTGTCTAAGCCCTGCATCAACTTCCGCAGCAGTCAATTCGTCTGCGTGGAAGGCTGGGATCTTGGAGGGGTCGCGGAATGTGCCGCGGAAGGTGTAGCCGTTTCGGAGGAAAGTTTGAGTGGTGTGCGTGCCGAGCTAGAGATAAATGTGGGCTTGGGACCGATGTGGATGGGGAGGGACGTACGAAGCCGGCGATACGAGAGGCAAGACAATACTTACAATTTACTGCAATAGAAAGCAGCGTTGACCCCACTTTGATGATGGAGCATGAGGCATATGGACATACTCACGCATGGTCAAAACCTATACAAGCTTTGCAACGACACCTTCTGGGGGCTGGCTGATGGAGGCTTGGGATGGGAATGGAGGGGGGCGTTGGCGAGGAGAGCGTTATAGCTGTATGTTCTGTTACATTTTTGCTGCTGCGTATGTAATGGGTTGGAGATGGAGAGACGGCTTGCGCTCAGGAAGCAACTTGAAAACCCAGACTGGGTCCGGACCACTCACGAGGAGCAACTCTGATCTATCATCACGCACATTCTACTTTCCATTACTTATGTATGTGATGCTAAGATAATCAATCGTGATGTGTCTAGTCTCTCTGACGGTACGCACTTATGACCGGCTTGATCAATGACGTGGAGGGAAACAGAGCGTCAGCAAGAGACGATAGCCTCGATAATTGTGACACGAAGACAAAGCTCGGCGTGCCGAATCTATCTCTCCTCGAGAAGTATGGACATAAAGTTCTGATGTTCTGTGATGCGTAGCAATGTCTGATATAAGCATGCATGCTCCTTTCTTATTCTATGCTCGAACACTTTTCTCTCATGCACATCTAACATCTCGCTATACGACAAATCCCCATTCCACGCAAGAAGACAAAAACAAAAGCCTACTTCCGCACTTCAGCAGCAGCCAACGCCAGCAGCTCTACCCCCTGCACCCCCTCCGCCGCCGCCCATTCAAGCTGCTCATCCCTCTGCCTCCTCCACTCCGTCTCCCCGCCCATCCCGTTCATCTCGTCCATCCCTTCCATCTGCTCCTGCCCGCTTTGGTTTGGTTGCCCTTCTCGTCCCCGCATGCTCACTTGGATCTGCTGTCCTTGCCCTGGCATATACGGAGCCTGACCTTGGGCTTGACCATGATCTTGGGCTTGAGCCTGCGCAGCCTGAAACGCAACCCCCTCTTTCCTCAACCTCTCCACCCTCCTCTCCTTCCTCTCCCTCTCCTCCCTCAGCTCTTCTTTCGTCTTTCTCCGCGCTGAGGCAGGGTCGCGGTGGGCTTTGGAGATGACTGATGTTAGGGGAGGCAGGGATTGGTTTTGGTTCTGAGGGTGGGCTTGGGGCTGGGGGATGAGGTGCTGGTTTGGGGAGATGGATACGGATAGGGAGAGCGGGGGAGGGCGGACTCTGGGATTGGATGGCAAGGAAAGAGGGGAGAAGTGAGAGGCCGTCAGGGGTGTCTGGGGGACAGCTGCCTGCGTAGGAGAGTTCAAGAGGGCTGGTGGAGGAGGTGGAATACCCTCTCTCGATGAACCTCCTGCGGGGGAAGCGTTACCACCAGGCGAGTCCGCAGCACGTGGGATCCCGCTATCCCACCCCGGCAGACCTATGCCCAACCCCACACCCCCTCCCCCACCCGCCGGCCAGTGCGATGTGTTTGGGGTGGGGTATGAGGGAGAGGGAGGAGGGTGGATGGAGTGGGTGGATTGGTGTCTGGAAGAACGGGTTTCGAGCCGGGGATGGTTTGATGTCCATCCTTTTCCTTGTCCATCATTACTTCCTCCCCCACCTCCGCTGCCTTCGGCGTCCCGACTTGTGCCTGCCTCAGCATCATCCCGCCCAACTTCCCTCTCCCTAGACTCCCCAAAACCCACAGGTATCTGATTCCACACCCCTCCCCTCGGGTTATCCAAAGGCATATCCCAATCCGGCCTCACGAACGGCCGATGCACCTTTTCCCGGGGTTCCCAATTTGGACCTCTGACGGGCAGCTCGATGGGGATGGAGGGAAAGACAGAGTTGCGGGCGCGGTGTTTTCTGGTGCGTTGGGGGATTGTTGTGGAAGAAGAAGAAGCGGGGAGGGACGGTCTTGATTTTTTTGGGGATTGGCCGTGGGGAGGGAGGTCGTCGTCGAAAGAAGAAGAAGAAGAAAAAGAATCGTCTTCCTGCGCATACCGCCTTTTTGGATGCTTCACGCCCTTCAAAAGCTTGCCCATATAATCCACCGTATACCCCGGTGGCACCTGCCCAACATGCTGCCGGTCGAGAGAGTATCCTGCAGGGATCGTGCTGCGGTCGATGGGGGATACGGGTGGAAAGTGCGTGGCGGAGAGGGGAGTGAGGGAGAAGGGGGTGGTGGGGGTGGTGGTGTAGAGGTCGTCTTGGTAGGATAGTTGGGTGCGGGGTTTGCCTTTGCGGGCTGTCTTCCCTGATAGCTAGATATCACGTCAGTTTTTTGCCCCTTTTGTCTCGTCTCGAGGAAGGAAAAGAGAGAGAGGGAGGAAGCCGTACCTTGTCGTTGACGACCCAGTAACCGCCTTTCCCGCTGCCGCCTTCATGAGTGGGCCTGTCGGCGTTGACGAAACAGTCGTTGAGTGAGAGGTTATGCCGGATAGAGTTCTTTGATTTACGTAAGACTGTTGATGCGTTTTGATGCGGAAGGGGAGACGTACTTTCCACGTGGACCCGGCTGTCTTGTGCCATGGCCAACGTTCTTCGATCGCTTGGTAGATCTACAGCAAAAGAGTTAGAAGATATGAGGGAAGAAGGGAAGAGGGCGTACTTGGGCGAGGGTCATCATGCGGCGAGGGGAGGCTGCGATGACGAGGCGGATGGCTTGGATATGTGTCATTTCGGGTCGGTACTCTGTTGTTGCATCAGCCAACATACCACAACACAGACGGAAAACTGACCCCGCCCACCCTTATCATACGCGTAGCGAAACAGCCCTCCAGCACCCTTCGCAAGCCCACCCACTTCTTCCCACTTTCGCCAGACCGCCTCGCTGACCGTCATCTGGCTGAGCGCTTCCTTGCTGACGGGCCCTTCCACATCGCACGACAGCCTGACAAATGCCCCGGTTCGATACCGCCGCATATCCTCGTGCGAGATGCTAAACTCTTCATGGCCATTCGCGATTGCCGCGCTCGACGCTGCTACCCCCAGCGCCTGCACCACCGGGTCGTCTGGTTGGGGATAAGTGAGCGGAGGAAGGTTGATATAGTCATCCTCGTCATCGTCCGAGATGGGGGAGAAGGAGTAGCGTTCTTCGTCTTGGTCGTCGGACGGGGAGGGCGGGGGGCGGAGGTTGAATTTGTTGGTTGGAGTTATAATTGGGCGGCGGGGGTAGGGGTCGTTGGGGTCGATGTGGGTGATGCCGCTGGTGGGGTCGTCGTCGAGCGGGGGCGGGCGGTGGGCGAAAGGTCTGACGGGTGGCTGGGCCGGGGCGGGGGCTGGAGGCAGCTCGGGCGAGGAGATGAGCTCGTCTTCGCCCTCTTCGTAGCGCTGGGGCGAGGTGGACATGCTGGTGAGACGAACGGGGAATGGTAATACAACTACACATCAACAAGCAATCCATCTTTGCACCCCCATGCTCAGGCACATCCGATCGACATCGACACACCATCAGGCCCAGAAACTCGCAACGGGGCCCTGTGTTTTGGGCTAAGGCCCGCGTGTTTCGTGCTTCTGCATACCTTTGACACGCCCGAATGAGGCGCGGGAAAGGCGGACGGACTGTGGCTCGTTGGTTGTTTGCAGGGGGAGGGGGACGTGCGCGTGTGGGGGAGAGAAGCCAGCGGCATCACGAGGTGATCGTGTTTGTTGTCAAGGTGGTTTTGCTTCCGCCCTGCTTCTCGAAGGCCCGTGAGTCACCCTCTCTACCTGAATGCCCTGATGATCGCCGAGGTAGTCTGCATGGTTTCGGATAATCGCAACGACCAACGTTAATTTTCATCTTGTGGCTGACCATTCGAAGGTGCACATCAACCTCTCTTCGCAACAGCACAGCACTGTGTCACGTGGCTGTCGCCACTCGACCCAGAAATATCTCGAAGCATCTAGAATCATCTTTGCCACTCTGTTGGCCACTGTAGAAAACACTGGAAGGTCATGGAAAAGGGATACGTAGGCTTGAGGCTGGATATAAATACCACACTCTTTCATAGCTTTTAGATACTCTGTCGATCAAATATTGTTGTCTCTTCAAACACAAGCGTCCATGTCCTCCGGCATTGGCTTGGCTACCTCTCATGGGCCTCAAGTCATTTCGACTCACCTCGACTACTACAAGGTCATCGCTAGAGGTCATGGACCCGTGTGACACACTGAGGGCATAGAGCAGCCGCCAAACAGATACAGACACAGGGAAGAATGAGGCTTGCTGGGGGCACGTCGTTGTCGCAGTCACAAGTCCACAGGTTATGGTCCAAAATAGGTTACACATATTGTTGAGTAGGTAACGATGGCTCTTCTGATGCGCCGGAATCACCGGTCACCGTACGCAGTTAGTGCGGGATCCAGGGAAAGAGGCAACAATCAACATACTCTCGGGACGCCGAGGAGCAAAATGGCTGAAACGAACGTGTATTCATTTGCGCCTACTCTCTCGCTCCATTGTCTGTTTGTCTGTTTGGAGGATCTCTAGTGCAGCTCGGGCTATGATCGGAGGGTATGCATACATACAACATCAGCTGGCAGCTAACAGGAAGTGAGGACACAGCTTGCACCCGAATCGTGCGTCATCTCGCCACCATTCTCGCTTCCCACTCCCATCCCCGTATGACTAACGAAGAGGTATATAGCTAGCAGCGTACGCAATACGCTCTTCTCATTCCACATTACAATTAAGCATATACACAATGTCTGCTGTTCTTGTCACCGGTATCACTGGCTTCGCACGTCCCCTCATCTTTTTCTTTTACTGCCCCAAGCTAACAAACCACGGCAGCTCGGTGCCCACGTAGCCCACACATTCCTCCAACACTCCCACCCCGTCCATGCCACCCTCCGCTCCCCCGCCAAGCTCGTCCCCTTGCTACAATCCCCCATCTTCTCCCCTTTCATCGCTTCCGGCCAACTCAAGCTGTTCGTAGTGGGCGACTTGGAGGTAGCGGATTATGGGGAAGCGATGAAGGGTGTGGAGAGGGTCGTGCATACGGCGTTTAAAACAGATATTACTGCAACAGATTTCAGGAAGGGGCTGTTGGACGTTGGGGTGGATGGGATGAGGCGGGTGTTTGATGCGGTGGATAAGAGTCCGGAGATTAAGAGTGTTGTCATTACCAGCAGTATGGGTGGGTCATTTGTTCTCTTCTTCAGGCAGGGGGGTTGTGAGGTTAGGAAAGACAAGGGCTGATGGGGGGCAGGGGCGTGTAATGATATCAAGACGGCTTGGGAGAAACAGGCGGGAACGGTGGTGACGGATGATACCTGGAACTCGTATACGCTCGAAGAGGTGGATGAGCTGTGCGCTTCTAAAGCTCCTACGTACGTCCCTCCCCTCCTTCTCCCTCTTTCCCTAACTCTGAGTGAACAAGCTTATGATGAAGTAGCAACGAAGCCGGCTGGAGAACCGGCATGGTCATGTACATGGTCGCCAAGAAATACGCCGAGCTCTTTGCCTGGGAGCAGTACAAGGCTGCGCAGGCGAGGGGCAAGACGTGGAGTTTGACGGCTATTATACCGACTATGATTCTTGGGCCGCCTAGTACGTTCTTCTCCCGTTCTTCTCCCTTTTACGTAGCTGACAAAGGGAAATAGTCCAACCGATCACACCGCCTCTCTTGATGAGCAGCGTCTCAACGATGGTCATGTGGCTCCTGGCGCAAGGACCGGAATCGCAGGTCTTCTCGCCTCCTGCTTCTATCTGGTTCATCGACGTGAGCCTCCTCTCTATTTCTTCTGCCTCTTTCGACTCGGAGATGGTGAGGCTGATGTGGGTTGTGGGTTTGTTGGTTAGGTACGTGATTGTGCGGAAGAGCATTATCGTGCGGCGATCAAGGGCAAGACTGGGAGGTACATCAGCGGCTCTGGCAGTACGTCTCTCTCCTCTCTCTGCCTTTTCATCATCATCCACAAAGCTGACTTTCTTCGTTTTACCCGCCAGTATACGATTTCCAACAGATAACCGAGCTCCTCCCCACGCTCTACCCCGACCAAGCCGCCAGGTTTGCGAAAGGAGAGCCGGGGCAGAGGCTTAGTCTCAACCCTGGGTCTTATCGGATTGAGAGTAAGATGCGGGAAGAGTTTGGGGTTGAGTGTGAGTCTTGTTTCTCTTTTTATTTCTTTTGAGTTTTGAACATTGGCGTTGACTAGAATGTAGATCGAGGACTGGAGACGGTTGTGAAGGATACGTTTGATAGGCTTTTCGAGTTGGAGAAGCAGGGATTGTAGTCTTGTCCGTCGCCCGAGTTGTGCTCATAGTTCTCTTGATGATTGCTTGGTATTGTAGCATGGTGGTGGTTCTTTGATTGTGGATAGATGTCGCATATGTAGATGTCGTTGAATTTGTGTACTTGTGATGCCTACGCGCCCCGACTGGGCAGACGTTATGAAATAGAATCCTCACCGTCCCCAATAGCACCCGGATGAGTGAGATGTTGCTGCATGGAACCAGATATTGCCAGACTATAAGAGGTTTTTTCGCGTTCACTTCTTCAGGGTGTTGAGCACCTCGTCCTCGGTGACTAGTCGATATCAGCTCAACCCTACCAAAATAATTAAAAATACTCACCATCAAGCAACAAGCTCTTTCCATCAAGCATAACCCTGTTGCCACTCTGAGCCAAAGTCGTAGCGATATCCCTCGCCGCCTCGAGCTTTCGCAACTGCAAGAACCCCTTGTTCCCCCTCGCCGCCTCCCCAATCAACTCGGCACTCCTCGCCTCTCCCTGCGCCTTTACGATAATACTCTGCTTCTCCTGAATCGCCTGATCCACCAAGAAGGCCGCCCTCTGCGCAATCTGCTGCGCCACCTGCTTGGCCTCGACCGCATGCGTAAACTCGGGCGAGAAGGCGACGTGGGTGATGGAGACGTCGTCGAGGATGAGGTTGAAGCGCCTGGCGCGGCGGGTGAGGTTGTCGCGCACGAGACGGGAGACCATTTCGCGTTGGGTGATGAGTTGGGAGGCGTTAAATTGGGCGACGACGGATTTGAGGACTTCGTTGACGATGGAGGGGAGGACGCGCTCGTCGTAGTCGGTGCCGAGGTCGCGGTAGCTAGGGAGAGTGTTAGTGGGGGGGAGAGGGAGGGAGGGGAGACGTACATGGTGGGGAGGTCGTTCACCGAGGGTTTGGAGAGGACACGACATGTGATGTTGACCTGCCAGATATCAGCTTCTGACTGGGATGGATGTCAGCGGTCTTACCATCTGCAAGTCCTTGGTACCAGTCAAGGAAGCAATGTTGCGTGGCTTGGCCCTGACATCGTACAAGACAGGAGTTTCGAGCCATGGGATCTTTTCGATCGACGTCAGCCTTCTGCCCAAAAACGAGTAGGAGAGTGTACGCACGACAAGGTGGGTACCTTCGGGGTAGATATCAGGCCTGATACCGTGGATCCTAGAGTACTTGATAGCCCGGTGACCACCATCGACTATTCCAAACAGTCAGCAAAAAACGTCGTCGCTCGATCTCCGCCCCCGGCCTTCATCTCATTGAGACGGGGCGTACCGTTGAATAGCGCAGAGTTGAGGGCGATACCACCAGCAGCGAGGGCCACGATAGCACCACCACCGGCCATAAATCCCTTCGCCGGGCCGCCACCACCGCTGCCCCTACCCCCACCGCCGCCGCCGCCGGATGCCTGGACCCGGGCGCGGTTGAGTTGTTGGGCGATCTTGGCCCATGCTTCTGCTCCTTGCCTGCTGTTCATGGTGGATGGTTGGGAGATGGGGGATGGGGGAGAAAAGAGGAGATGATAGAGGAGAATGGCGGAGGGGGACGCTTGGTGGGCGGGCGGCATCGGCTGAATTGGCGGGTCACGTGACCCATGCGCCTATGTCCTCTGACAAAAACAGTCTTCTATGTATACTACTGTCCATTTCAGCATGGCTTCCATACGGCATATACCACGCCTCATAGCGAGAGCACCAATACGCCCGATATGTACAACACGAATCAGCACCCTCAGCCCGATACGGCATTACTCGACACCGACTACGACTTCTCCTGCGACCACCTCGCTCTTCACGCCTCCTGGTGACCCAGCAACATCGAAACCCTTCTATGTCACCACCCCCATCTTCTACGTCAATGCTTGTAAGTCTACCCCCACCATACCGCTCCGTCGTCAGCTCACTCCAGACATAGCCCCGCACATAGGCCATCTCCACTCCCTCCTCCTCACCGACGTCCTCGCCCGTTTCTCCCGCTTACGTCACCCCGAGAGAAAAGCAATGTTTGCTACAGGGACAGATGAACATGGGATGAAGATTCAGCAGGCGGCGATGAAGATGGGGGTGGATGAGCAGAGCTTTTGTGATGATGTGTCGCAGCGATTTAGGGTATGTCTTTATGTTGATATGGGGGACTGGAAGGGTGCTGACTGGTGGGGGTAGGACTTGGCAGAATTGGCGAATACGTCGCATACGGATTTCATCAGGACGACAGAGCCGAGACATCAGAAAGCCGTTGAACATTTCTGGGTTTGTGCTTTCCCTCTTCACCCTACCTCCCTACTGACTGTACCTTCAGAACAAGCTCGTCGAATCAGGAGATATCTACAAAGGGACACACGCCGGCTGGTATTCTGTCTCTGACGAATCCTTCTACGCCGCCTCTCAAGTGACTAAACGGGAAAGTGACGGCAAGATGGTAGCTGTGGAAAATGGGAATGAGGTGGTCTGGGAGGAGGAGACGAATTGGAAATTTCGCTTGCAAAAGCATAGACAATTTTTGACAGAGTGGCTCAGCCAGCCCGATTGTAAGTCCCATCTCCCGCGGTATCGACAACAGCTCATAGACCCACCAGCCGTCCACCCCAACCCCGTCCGCCTCAACCTCCTCAAACAAATCCCGACCCTCGAAGATCTCTCCGTCTCTCGGCCCCTCTCCCGTGTCAAGTGGGGTATCCCCGTCCCCAACGATCCCTCGCAGTCGATCTATGTCTGGGTGGATGCGTTGATCAATTATATTACGGTGGGAGGGTATCCGGGGGGGTTGGAAGGGTGGCCGGCGGATGTGCATGTTGTTGGGAAAGATATTATCAAGTAAGTCCCTCTTCTTCTCCCCTCCTTCTCTTCCCTCTGTCTCTATATCAAGCTGACGAGCTACAAGGTTCCACGCCCTCCACTGGCCAGCCCTCCTCCACTCCGCCTCTCTTCCCCCTCCGCGCCGCATCATAGCGCACGCCCACTGGACGATGGATCACTCGAAAATGTCAAAGTCCAGGGGGAATGTGGTGGATCCGATAGGGGCAGTGGGGCAGTGGGGGGTGGATGGGGTGAGGTGGTATTTGATGAGGGTTGGGGGGAGTTTGGGGGATGATGCTGGTAAGTTCTCTTTTTCTCTTGATATTGTGGGTGGGAGGGATGTGGGCTGATGAGAGGATTAGATTATGCCCCGGACCAACTCGAAGTGCACTACCGTCTCCTCGCCTCTCAAATCGGAAACCTCCTCTCCCGCTTATCTTCCCCCAAAATCTTGAATAAAGCGACAGCTCCATTCTCTTTCTCGTCCGACAATGATCCGGAACTGGACGGCCTTTTGAGCAATATGAGAGGAGAATTTGAGAGGAAGATGGAAGTGTATGGCGTAGGACCTGCGTGTGCGGGGGTTATGGATGTTATCTTTGTTGTATGTCTCCTTTCCCCTCCCCATCACTCTCCCCTCTCGCACGATCTCGTAGCACCGAGCTGACTCACGATACAGGCAAACAAACTATTCACAGACCTCGCCCCCTGGTCCCCCGAAACCCCCTCCTCCACCAAAGCTGTCACATACGCCTACCACTCTCTCCGCCTCGCATTCATCTTGCTGCAGCCGGTCATACCGAGGAAAGCGGGGGAGGGGTTGGATCGGCTGGGGGTGCCGGCGGAGAGGAGGGAGTGGGGGGATGCTGTTTGGCCTTTGGAAGCGGAGGAAGGGCAGGGGGAGTTGGTAGAGAGGATGAAGGAGGCGGGGAAGAGGTGGAAGAAGAAGGGAGTTTTGTTCCCTTTGCCTGCGAAAGAGGAGTCGGTGTAGAGAGAGAGGGAGAGATGTATTTGAAGGTTTGCACTTTTCGTTTGATACATTGTGGGGTATTGCGAGAGTCATGGAAACTATCCATGTTCTCCCGGTGTTGGACGTAGCAGTCTAGGTCGCTCATCTCGAATCAAAGATCCCGAAGTTCAAGATTGATTGTGTGACCTGATCGAATGGACAGGAGTGAGAGGTGTGTTGACTGCCATAAAAAAATGTGACAAGATGCACCCTATCACAGGAGGAGGTGCGAGGACAGGTAGAAAACTCGCTGTCGGATAGACCGCTTCTATGTATGGCAGCGATGAGTATGTACGAATGCAAATAGATGGTCCAAAATCATCTTGTTGAGCAACACATACTCTAATTGTGGGGCAAAGACATAATGTAACAAGTCCCTTTGCTCTGTTGAAAGATCGGCTTGTTTCCGCCTGTTCTCCTGCGAACGTGCTTTTGTTTCCTTCCATTGCAGTCATCAAAAATTACCTCTTCCACTATCCCCAATACATGAGATGGCCTATAATATCACTCGCTTTCTCCCTCCGCGTCCTCGTCCTGACTCTCGGTCTACTCAGTCGCGTTGGCCTCTTTCGTCAAACTTTGTGCTTTTTCGCTGAGTTCTTTATCTGTCATCAGGAGATTAGCTTGACAGCACGCCCTGCATAACCCATAGTAGTGACAGGTGAGGTGACGCACCTTTGTTGGCCCAATCGGGATCTTCCGCTACGGACCTTTGTGCGGGCGATGTGGTAGAAGACTCCTCTCCCTCCTTGAGACGCTTTTTTAAATCCGCATAGGCTTGTCGTCTGCGCTCATTTTCTATAATGTGTGAATTCAGTGAAGTCGATGGAGAGTTAACGTGCGTAATAGACGTGCAAAAAGACGCACGTTTTGAGGCCCACTCGGGGTCGCTCTCCATCTTCTTCTTCCTCCACCTAGCGACCCTTTGAGCAAATGTCACTGGAAGGAAGTGTGCATTTGGTATGTACGTTAGTTCTCCGTAGTGCAGATGGATGTTGCGACATTGGTTGACATCATTGGAGACTTTCCGTACAGGGTTTCTTCTTTCCTTCCGAATTGCTAGGCCCTAGCGCGCTGTTGTTTGTCATTCACCGTTGGAGCTCATAGGCTCTGGAAGAAAGAGGCATGTGGAGATTTGTGCCTACCTGGTGATGCTTTGCTCGAGCGTTTCAGATGCAGGCGCGGCCGAAGCTTTGTCAACTCCCCGATTGAATTTTCCAGAAACGCGCGAAGGCCACTGTCCATTTCAAGAGTGATATTGTTCAATTCAGCAGCCTGTGAAAATATTTGCCACTCTGCCCTTGTCCTTTCGAGGTCATCCTGACAACCATTAGCGAAAGAGATTCTCAAACACGCTCAAGCCTAACGCGACTCGACGCACATCAGACATGTTTCGGAGCTGTTGAATAGTCACCTTGTCCCAGTGACTGGAGAGCGTTGGGTCTACTTGCCAGTCCAGATCGGCCAAGAAAGCTTCATCATCTTGGTCGTACGAAGGTGGATGTGGGTATGTCACTGCTGTTGGTGCTTCGTCGGGATAGTTCATCGGAGGTAAAGTTGACAAGGAAAGTTGATATGTACTTTTCCAGTGCTCGTTGAATTCTCTCTTGCCGCAATGGACGTAGAAAACACACGCTGGACAAGGGAGCTGGCTTATATTTGGAAAAGAGCCACATACTGACACTCGACCACAGCGAATTCGACACCAGCACTATAAGGAGGTGGATAGGTGAGGCGTAACCTAAGGGCGGTTACGTGCACGATCCGACTAGGGGCGCCGGATGTCGACCTTGCATAGGCTGGATGGATGGAGGATGGATAGAGGTGAGGAGGATACTACGAGAATACATCGATGGGGAAAAGGATACGGAGACGCGGCACGATGTATATATGGGAACCTCATCTCGCAATCCCGCCTACGCATTCCTGAGACCATAGCGTCGACCCTAGTCACCATACCCTGCGTTCCATAGTACACGTCACAACATCTCCTACTGGCTAGTCTGTAGTAATCCCTTACAAGCACCCCGCACCACCTTCGATAGATTACTAAGACGACAGTAACTGCCGGAAGAGCTCCGGATGCCTACTCGTTTACGTCTATACTCGCAGCGTCCTAAGTTCCAGGGTATATGAGGACGTGTCTCCATAGCTGTAGATACTTCGTCGATCCACTACTGTTGCCTTCTCTTGTACACTCTTCTTTCTCTCACTCAACACTCTCGCACAAGCGCTATCTTCCTTCGGCATTGGTCTGGCCACTCACTTCGAGTTCTCAGACCATTCTCGTCTCTACACCTCGGCGATCTCCGAAGGCATAGGTTAAGGAAGGCAGCCCCCTGACAGGGACGATTGGGGGCCGGAATCGATCAGGGTGTGATATGCAGCAATGTGGTTTGTAGTGTAATCTGTATCATGTTCAGTCATTCCTCTGCATCGGAATAGTAGAAACGTCGATCAACGTGTTCGTCACGTCATGGAATACATTAAAGTCGTAAAGCATTAGTACACATCTATTCACAACAAGCTCTTATCATCATCCAGCTCCAGCACTTCCTTCTTCTTCTTCCCCTCCGCCTTCTCCTGCTCATGCTTCCCGAGAGTTCTGGGCTCTTCCCTTCGCGCCAGCCGTACATACAACATCCGCATCTGCACCCCCATCGTCTCAAAATCCCCCACTTTTCCCTCTCCCGTCAACCCATCATCGCTCCTATCGAAATACAACGCCCACAGATCTTTTCCCGCATCTTCTTGTACCACGACCCAGCCTTCCCAGCCTTCAAACAAGACACGATGCTCGATCTCGGTACAGCTCCAAGGGCCGGGGTAGTGGTCTTCGGCTTCTTCGGGGGGGCCGTATTTGAGCTCGTGCGTGATGAGGTCGACGTATACGAGGGCTGGGGAGGAAGAATGGGTAGATGAGGGAGTAGTAGTGGTGAGGCAGTCGCCTTTGTGCCCGACTTTGGCCCAGGCGGCAGAGTACTCGAGGGAGGATTGAAATCGGCCACAGGCGGGGTGTATTGAGTCGGGTGGGAAGTGTGAGTCGGCGTGTTCGACATATAGCTAAGTGATAAAAGATCAGCCAAAGCCCAAGTCGATTCGAAGAAGTTGAAACGGAAGCTGTCGAGGAAAGAGGACAAAGTACGCACCTTGCCGTTCATCAAGACCACTCTCGCACCTTCGAATTTGCGCCTATACGGATGTCCCCCCGGAAACCTCACATACAGCTCCTGGTTGATGCTCTTGTTCCCCGCTCTTTGATTGCCCTTTGAGCCGCCGTCGATAGCTTGTTTCGTGGCGATGATGGCTGGGCAGAGGGCGGTCGCGGTGATGATGTCGAAGACCATCGGGAAGAGTGTATGGGCGAGTGAAGTATCGTGTATCGAGGATGCGTTGTGAGGACTAGACGAGGAGGGGCGGAGAAGATGCAATCAACGAGAACGAGAGACAAAGCAACAACAGTCGAAGACAAAAAGTCGCAGAACGAACACAAGCAACCAGTGACGTCATTTGTTGATTTGTTGACAGAAACGCGTCCAACTACGAACGCGACGCTTGTTGAGTCCGCTGTCGAGAGCTCTTACTTGCATAACTAGTCAGAGAGATCTATGACACATGATTCAGGAGTAGGTATACTATCGCTCAGATTCAAGACGACAGGCAAACTACGACTTGGAGATTCTTCGGGCGAGTATCTCTTCCTATACACCTCCAGCTCTCAATACCACAAGATGCGCACTTTTCATGCAATCTTGCATAGGCTATACAAGAAGCGAAATGATACCGGCCGAGATGCTCTTCTTTTGCGAAGTCTGCCGTTGCAACAAACTGGTACGAGTACGTACCCGGCGTCGGCCAGAGCTTCGAGGGGAGATGTCAACAAGAAACGCCGCATTCAATAGATTCTTCCCGCTGCTACATATATATGTTGCTACCACACACGCCTTCCATATGAAATGAACTTTGTCTCGATACACTCGAATGCAAGGCAATAAGCATGAGCGAATTATGAACGGTGAACTTATCTATGAAGAGGCACGGAGGCACGTGATCTGTTGTGCCTGAGGCTTTTACGGGGAATTGGCTCAAGGCTAAATGGCTCTCAACCAATTGGTTGTCCAGGGTCGCTTTCGATCCCGGACAGTCACTTTTTCTCCTCCCGACCGCTGCGTGCTGCTAAAAGATGCAACGGGTGTCCCCGGCTCCCATCCTGCTTATATATTACATGACCTTTCCCACGCGCAACTTCCATCTGCTTCAGTTTCCCTTCACGCCCCACCGACTCATCTAAACCGCGTTCATCATGGGCAACGCTCCTTCCATGGCAAAGCCCACCGCCCTCGCCACGTATACCGACCTGCGCAACTCCTCCACATGTGCTGATACAGTCTCTGACGACGAGTGCTATCGTGTCGTTCTTGGCTCAAAATGGCACAATTGGTACGTCACGTCCTGTTCCCAGTCCAAGTCTTGCTGATCTCCTCGCAGGTACTGGGCTGATATTATGTTCGGTCAGTCGGCGACATGGTTCTACCTTGCGGGCATCGGATTTTTCACCCTCTATCATTTGTGGAGTCTGTTACGCAAAAGGTGGTTTGACTCCTTTGGCCCCCCGGTTGACGTACGCTTACCGGTATTCGCAGAGTCAGGTACTCCGGCTTGCAGTACAATCTCTTCTATATCTGGTCGACCGCCATGTGGGGATACCTCAGCAGCCGGCAGCTTAGAATCCACCGGAATTTCGGCTATACCCTCACCTTTGGCGAAACTGTGATTGTGTTGGCGATGATTCTCTTCTTTGCCGGTGAGTCCCAGGGATGAGTTTCGGTAAGGATGGCGGTGACCTGAAATCCCTTTGGGCAGTCATGACGCTCGCTCCCCAGGTACGTTCTCTGGCAGTTCCGGCGTACAAATGACTGACGGAACGATAGCCGTACTACTGGCCCAATACCATGGATTTCGGCGGCAGCCCTCCCATCGCAACCCGTGCGGGATACCTCGCCATCGCCATCCTCCCCTTCCAAGTCATGTTTGCTACAAAGTGGAATCCCATCACCATCCTTACCGGCGTTTCCCACGAGCGGCTACAAGTATACCATCGGTGGTCGGGTTGGATCATGTGTGAGTCATAGCGCCAGCGCCTGGAGTGTATACTAATAGAGTTTGTAGATGTGCTCGCCCTCGTCCACACTTTCCCCTTCATTATCGTCGACGTCGAGATGGGCATGATGGAAGAGACGTGGAAGACCGACTTTTACACTTTCAGCGGGGTCATCTGTCTCATCCCACACACGATTCTCGTCCTGTTTTCCATCGCGGTCATACGGGATCGATTCTATGAGACCTTCAAGTCGTGAGTTTCGTACCAACACTATATTGGCATATACTGATCTCGACTTGCAGAATACATTTCATGTAGGCCTCAATCTTTCGGCATCCACTTGCTCGAGCTGACGTTTGATAGTATGGCTGCGTGGTTTATCGTCATGCTCTTCCTACACTGTGGCTTTACGTTGACCAGCGCGTGAGTCTCCTGTTACGAGGAACACCAGGCATGATACTAATATACCTGCAGATACTACTTTGTCGGCTTCGCCGTTACTTACGCCCTCTCCCTCATCGTCCGCTGGGGCATCGTCCTCCGAAACGGCTTCCACCACCGGGCCCACATCGACCTCCTCGACCAAGACATGCTGCTTGTCTCCATCCCCACCACCCTCGAGTGGAAACCCGGCCAGCATTACTTCTTCCGTTTCCTCACCCGCGACCTGCACGCATTGACATCGCATCCATTCACTGTTGCGACCTCGCCTGCTCGACATGCGGCGCAAGGGGAGAGCCGGATGAAGCTGTATATCAAGAAACATAGGGGGATGACGGAGGGGTTGTTTGAGAAGGCGGAAGGGGGTGATGTGGGTGTGGTGTTGGATGGGCCGTATGGAGGGATTAATGGGGATTTGGGGGATTATGAGCGGGTGTTGTTGATAGCAGGAGGGTCTGGTACGTTGAGATGTGTTCCGATCTTCAACGCCGCCGAGCTGATTTTGTCTAGGCGGTTCTTTCATCTCGAGTGCTCTGCAAGACTTGCTCGACCGACACTCGTCGATCACTTGCAAGGAAGTGACCGTTGTGTACGCCTGTCGCACGTTGGGTAAGTCTTTCGTCGCAAGTGACAGCGACTGAGCTTATCGTATACCAAGCCGACTCTGCGTGGTTCCTCCAATCCTTCCTCGATTTGTCGCGGTCATCTGACATCAAAGTAAACCTCTTCTTCCATGTCAGCTCGTCGGCGACTACCACCCAGATCGAGAAATCGCCAGCTATGGATGACGCCAACGAGAAAGTACGCACCCAAACACCAATTCTAGCACTCGCGCTGACAATCGCCGTAGTTAATCCAACCCCCTTCCCCCACCACCTCCCTCCCCTTCCTCACCCCCTCCCACTCCACCTCCCTACCCGCCGAATCTACCAACAACATCCTCCCCAACCGTCCAAACCTCTCTCAACACGTCCGCGAGCTTACGGCTTTCCACGGAACGGCCGGCGTCGCTGTCTGTGGACCGAAAGAGATGGCGTTTGATGTGCGAAATACGGTGGCGGGGGAGCAGTTGAAGATCTTTAGTGGGAATGTGGGGTGTTCGGAGTTGTTTTTGCATACGGAAGCTTTTGGGTGGTGATGGCGCTGCATGGGGTTGAGCTTTGGATAGGGCGCGCACTTGTATTTCGGGAAGTTTGTAGATATTATTATGTCCATTTGCGTGAAACATGTGATTGAATGCCATACACCGTGCATCACGAGCTCGTCCTATTGTATGTAATACAGATATATGAACGACGAGGCTGACAATGAACGTCAAGACGAGAAAGATATTGTTTGGTTCGAGGCGTCGGCGACCGCCGTATATCACGTGACACACAAATCCTCCGCTCATCTTCTCAAAAATCGACAAGTCCCAAAACCTCAAAAGCATTCACCACTCTCTCCAGCCCAACTCCACTCCGCACACTTCCAACATGCGACAGAAGCGAGCCAAGACATATAAGCGCGTGATGGCGCTTTACACGCAAACTTTTGGGTTCAGGCAGCCGTTTCAAGTTCTTGGTGAGTCAAGGCGTCAAGCTGTCAAGCGTCAGGAGGTGGCTGGATGGGTGGCTGACCTGGGTGGTGTAGTCTCTCAGGATGTGTTGATAGAAGGCGCCAAATGCGAGCTCAACATGCCCAAACAGTTCCTCAATATCACCCAAGGCGAATGCAAGCTCAGTACGTCCCCTTACCCCCCGGCTAACTCTCCCATGCCAGAAGCGTGCTGACTTTGGGGGGCGTAGTGATAACCCAATGCTGTATGGAAGCGCTCTACAAGATGGGGCGAGATGTGCAAAAGACGACGGATTTGGCAAAGACGTTTGAGAGGAGGAAGTGTAATCATCGGACTGCTTTGGAGCCGGACAAGTGTTTGGAGGACGTCATCGGTAAGCCCTTCCCCTCTCTTTCTTTTGCGTCGGCATTTGAGAAAGTATATGAAGGGCTAATGAAAAAAACAGGCCAAACAAACAAACATCGCTACATCATCGCCTCCCAATCCACCGCCCTCCGCCTCGCATCCGACCGCATCCCCGCCCTCCCGCTCATCCACTTTAACGCCCGCGGCGTGCTCGTGCTCTCCCCGCCGTCCACAGCGACGGTAAGGGAGAAGAACAAGGCGGAGGAAGGGAGGAGGCTGGAAGGGGTGAAGGTTTTGGAGGGGGTGGTGGATGGGGGGAATGTGGTTGGTGCAGCGGAGGCGGGACCGGGAGCGGGTGTGGAGAAGAGGGCGAGGAAAGTGAAGGGGGTGAATCCGTTGAGTATGAAAAAGAAGAAGGTGGAGAAGAAGGAAGGGGAAGGGGAAGGGGAAGGGGGGAAGAGACGAAGAGAGGTGGATTTGGAAGAGGAGAGTGCGGATGTTGGGGATGGGGAAGGGAAGAGGAAGAGGAAGAGGACGAAGAAAAAGACGGAGGTTCAGGAAGCTATTGAGGAGCTCAATGAGACGAATAAGGTTGCGGGTGGTGAACCCGAGGGTGGAGAGGCGAGCGACTAGGTGCTTGATTGTAATATTTGTATTAGGAGCGTCACGAGTATGCAAGAGTAGAAGAGCAAGGTTCGGGAGCCTCAAGCAAGTCATCCATAATGCATAATCATGAGCGTCGTTGATAATGATGAGAATACAGAGACACGTCGTTATGGTAATAGGACAGTCAAAGACGGGTTTTAACTGGGAGACTCGAGAACGATGTCCATCTGATATATGGTCAGTATCACGAGACGGGGGAAGGCGGGCAGAACGTACATAGTCGTTATACGTGACGGTAATCTTGCCCGTATTCCCAGGATCGTGTCTTGAAGCCATCAGCACCCGGCTACCCCCCATTAAAGAAACAAGACTCACCTCCTAAACGCCTCGGTATAATGCTTCACAGTCACACAAGCCAGCAAGAACCGATCAAAGCTGATGCCCGGCTGATACGTCTGCCCCGGCGCTGGGGGCGGGGCAAAGCGCTTTTCGAGCTTGGCGACGAGCTCGGGGGGAAGGGAGAAGCCGAAACCGAGGAGGGCGGCGTGGAGTTCTTTGCGGTCGATGAGGCCAGAGTTGTCGCGGTCGAAGCGGCGGAAGATGCCGTGCCAGTCCTGGGGAGAGAGGACTTGGTATCAGCGAACGATATCACCAGGAATGCGAGCGACTTACTTGGATATATCGATAAAGACCCTCGAACTCCATAAAGTTGATACTGCCGCTCCTGTCGGTGTCAAAGATGTCTACGATTGATCGTTAGAAGGCATTGGAAGCACTTGGCGGGTCGAAACTCACTCATAAGCTGAGCAAAAGTCAGTACTGGTCACGAGAAAGTAGGGGAAAGAGACGCACCATCTTGACCGCATCTTCTCGAGCCTCCATCGTGGCGTCCTTGGCGAGTAATCTCTGCAAGTCGAACGCGTGAAGCTGGCCTGAACGAGAGCTGTCAAACTGAGCAAACCTATATCATGGATCAGCATTGGCAAATACTAGAATGGACAGGTACTCACAACGACCTCAACTCGGCATCTTCTCCTCCTGCAGGCGCAACCGGCGGCGCTCTCGCCTGCTGCTGCTGATACCCTCCCTGCTGCTGCGAGCCCACACCGAGACCTTGGCCCTGGGGCGCTCCATTCCACTGCTGCTGCTGTTGGACAGGCGCCCGGGATTGGTACGCCTGTTGCTGCTGTTGCTGAGGCGGCGACTGGTATCCACCCTGAACCGGGCGTTGCTGGTGGTTCTGTGCCGGCTGCTGTTGGTATTGCTGAGAAGGGGGAGGGTGGGATTGTTGGTATTGCTGTTGGGGAGGGGGCGCGCCGTAGCCCTGTAGTGGCTGTTGTTTATATTGCTGCTGGGCGTATCCCTGCTGGACCTGGGCCTGGGGCGGCGGCTGCTGGGGCTGGGGCGGGGGGGTGTTGGCTGCCTCTGCCTCTGCGCGGGCCTTTGCTGCCTCCTCTGCGCGTTTCTTTGCGTAGCGCTCCTCGTACCGGCGGCGAGCCTCGTCGCTCACACTCCCGTACGGGCTCGGCGCCGTCATGTTCGGCATCATGGGCATCTTGCGCGATACTTTAGGGTGATACTCTAGGGTGATGGAGAAGAGTGAAGCTTCAGCTTGTTTGTGCCCACGAGGCCATTACGAGGCCATTAGCGGAACCAAATTCAAACGTAATCCACTACAAAACACAAAGCGGTGCCTCCACTTTTCACTCCACGCTGCAGCGTCATCATCTCGTTCTGATTTTCTTTTCCTCTTTCATCTACAATCATCTCCAACCATGGCTGTGAGTGTACCCCCCCAGACACCCCAGGAAACAGCTGACCCTTTCCTAGACCACCACCGACCATCTTTCCGGCCACCCCGGCCATCTGTACGTCTCCTCGCGCCCATTCCGCGCACGTTCGACTCCCATCTGACCTCTTCCTCTGTAGCAACGAGGCCCAGCAGACCGCCCTCACCCAGTTCCGCGAAAACCTCACCAAAGACGCGCTCATCCCCGCCGACAGGGACACGGTCGTGCAGACCCTCGGCTATGACCGTTTCGACGACCAGACCTTGCTGCGATTCTTGAGGGCGCGCAAGTTTGACTTGGTCAGGGCCCAGGCGATGTGGGCGGATAATGAGAAGTGGAGGAAGGAGTTTGGGGCGGATGAGATTGCTGCGTGAGTCCTTTGTGTATCATTTTTCGGGTGGGTGGGCGGTGTCATTTCATGGGTGGGTGGGTGGGTGGGTGGGGGGAGAGGGGTGTGCCCCTCATTGTCTCTGTCTGATCACGACGAGACCGCTCGACATTACAAGACACAGCACTGACACCTCTCCAGCAACGGTTTCGACTATCCCGAAGGCCGCGAAGTCACAAAGTACTACCCCCAATTCTACCACAAGACCGACCGCGAGGGCCGTCCCGTCTACATCGAGCAGCTCGGCAAACTCGACGTCAACAAGCTCTACGCGCTCACCAACCAGGACCGCCAGCTCAAGAAGCTCGTCAGCGAGTATGAGCTGTTTTTGAAGGATAGGCTGCCTGCTTCGAGCAAGGAGAGCGGGCATTTGGTGGAGACGAGCTGTACTATTATGGACTTGTACAATGCGGGTATTTCTACCTTTTACAAGGGTGAGTTGTTTCGAGGTGGGACTTAAGCGATGCTGATGCGCGTATAGTCAAGGACTACGTCTCTGCCGCTTCCTCTGTTGGCCAGAACAACTGTAAGTCTCCCTATCCATCTTGCCATACGCAATACTGACGAATCCCAAACAGACGTAAGCACAGACACCTCTCTTTTCCCGACTTCGGATCATCCCCCTTTGCGAAGAATTGATGGCTGATGGATGTTTGTGTTTCAGCCCGAAACAATGGGTCATATGTTTATCATCAACGTACGTTTCTCGCTTATTTCCCATCATGATCGCATTTGCTTATCAGTTTCCGCAACTTTATCTTGATCTCCATCATCGACTGCCTTCTACCGTCTCTCCCCTTCCCTCCCCTCGCTCTCCCGACAACAGGCGCCATACCTCTTCTCCACCGTCTGGTCCCTCATCAAACCCTGGCTCGACGAAGCCACCGTCCGCAAGATCCACATCCTCGGCAAAAACTACAAAAAGGAGCTCCAAGAGTATATCCCCGCGGAGAACTTGCCGGCGAGCTTGGGGGGTACTTGTAATTGTGCGGGAGGTTGCGAGTATAGTAATGCGGGGCCTTGGAACCCGACTTCTCAGGCTTAGGTGGTATAAGACAGGGATAGATGTTGTATCAAAGAGCATCTCGCGTGGGGTGTGTATATGCATGATAGAATGTGCTTTGTCGAGGCTGTTGAGCTTGTGCTGCAGTTGCGCGCACGGGATTTCGAGCGTCCACAGTACTAGTACTGCTTTGCATGTGTTGCATGTATTCTGACCTAAGCATAGGATACTCAATATCACCCGTACGTATCTATATACAAATCCCACCAATGAAAGAGCCAAAATGAAAGAAAGAGACGAAAAGATAAGAGTCCGGAATGATGGAAGAATATGATATTCGTTCGATAAAACCCGTACAACGTGTATGAAAAGCGCAGACTAGGATACTTGTATAATCTCAAAGATCGAGATGAAGGAAGCAAGAGCGTAAAGGCATGATAGGGGAAAGAAGAGCGAAAACGAGATGAAGAGACATAAAACGTAAAACGATAAAAGACAAGCCGGCTTTGAACATAGACAATCGGTGTCCGATAAGTACGAAGCGAGACGGTGATGGAGATAAGGATAAAGACATGGCCCTGGGAGGAGCGCAAGGAGAGATATCGAAGCTCAATGACCCATACTCCCCTCCGTCCCATCGCTCAACCTCCTCGAATGCCACCCATCCCCATCCTGCCCTTGCACCTGCCCCGGCCCCGAAATAGGCGACGTGTAGCTTTTGATCGGACTTCCCAATACACCCCCAGCGCCGCCTCCGGAGGGGCTCGAGATAGAGCGCCCAGAGGGAGGGGCGTAGCCTCGGCGAGAAGCGTAAGCGTGGGCGTAAGGGGAAGAGACAGAGTGGGTGACGCCGTAGTATCTGTTGGCGCCGCTTTCGCCTCCTCCGCCGCCGGCGCTGGTCGTATCGTTGGATATGATTGGAGCAGCGAAAGAGGGAGAGGGGATGGAGAGATTTGAGAGCTGGGGCTGGGTACTGGCAGGACGGCGAAGGTAGGACGAAGACGGAGGGTATTCGGATGAAGAGGATTGAGGGGCGGGGGTGTACATCGGAGGGTAGGTGAAGCTTGCCGACATGGGCGTTGACTGGGCGCCAGAAACTATCGTTTTGTCAGTACGCATACGGCGAAGAAGAAGAAGAAGAGAACGTACAAGGGCTCCTAGGCGACTCGCTTCCGCTACTCATGCTCATAGTCTGCAGCGCGGGCGGCGGTGCGGCTCTTCCGATTCTTCCTCCTCCATAACCTCCTGCGTTTGCGCCGCCGAATGATGGATCGGAATCTTTGCGAAGCTTTTGATCGTCGTTCTGGGGAGGACGGGGACGGTGGTGAGTGCGTTCAAAGATACCACATTTGTTACAGAGCTGAAACACCTGTCAGTATGCGACGAGGGGAGAGGAGGGAGGACTTGCAATCCGGCCGGGGCTCAGGACGGACCTGCGCCAGCTTGGAGGATTTCGACTAGCGCAGTTGAAGCATTCGCGTTTGATCTATGTGATCGTCAGCGCCTTGCAAGGAGAAGAAGACGAAACACTCACGGTAGCGCTCTGCTTGATCTCGGCATCGGTCGTATAAGCAATCTGCCTCGGCACCTCGTCCTCTGAACTACCCGGCGAGCCTCTGCCGTGCTCTCTCATCGGGCTCCCCCCCTCACCACCACCACCAGTATCATTCGCCGAGCTCCCCGGTGACTCTTGAACGCGATCTTTGGACGAAGACGAGATGTTGAATGAGAGCGTACCGGGCGGGCCTCGATGGTCATGCCCCCCACTCTGGGCGTGCTGCTGCTGCGCTTGCCAAGGCGAAAAGACAGAGGGCTGGATGGTGGCCTGCATCTGCTGCTGCTGCTGGGGGTAGAAGGAGTAGTCGCTATGCGCCGAGACGGGGGTAAAGATCTCGGGCGTGCCGGCGGAAGAAGCCGAGTTTGGCGGCATGCCTGGATGACCGTGTACCTGGCGAGGCGGGTAGTATCGGTGAGGGGGATAGGACATTGGATAGGGGTAGTAACTCATGCCAGGTCCCTGGGAAATCGGCGAGGCATGAGGTCTCGGTGTTCCGGGCTCGAGGGGGGCGGTGGCGGAGAGGCGAGGGTCAAGACGCTGATCGAGGGAGGGATCGGGACGAGGGTCTTGGGTGTTGAGTCGGAGAGGAGGAAGCATCATAGCATGCGGGTGCTGAGGTGGGCTTTGAATAGGGAGAGCGCCGGAGGGAGGTTGAATCTGGGGAAGAGTAGGGCTGTATTGCTTGGTACTGAGGAATGCGTCAGCGTTGAGCGATGCTATAGAGTAGGCGACGTACGTTTGGGTCTTCCAGAACTGCGGCTGACCTTGACCTGCGATCTGACTTGGCGAAGCTGTACTTCTCCTTCGGCATTGTCAGCCATTGCTAGCGTCGTACGAGAAAGTACCCACTCTGAAGACAAGCTGGAAGTCTGGCGATAGGAATAGCTCGCGTTTCTATCCCCCGGGCCGTTGGTGGCGATGTTTTGGTCGGACATGAGCGAGTAGTGAGATGATATGGGAATGTCGGGCGCCGGAGGAGTGAGGGGAGGCAGGGGGGATGGTGGAGATGCGGAAGAGGCGAGGTGGTATAGGCAGAATGAGGGCGTTTGGGAATGGGAATGCGGGCGACAGGCATCCAATGCAGGTTGACGTACTGAGGGGGGGGGGTGAGTCAGCGACGTTTACTTATATCAAGAGGTAGGGAGAATTCCAAGTCAACTGACTGGTGCTGTTCGGCAAATGTGCCGAATCGCTCTCGGCTGGCCGAGAATGTCATACTCGCCGAGATGCTACTGTCGTTTCACATGCTTGCCTTCGGAGTGATGGGATTATGTCATGGTCATCCTGTACACAGTATGTGAGATCAGCATCACGCACATTATGCCTTCTTTGTAGCATGAAAACACCAAGCCCGACGCGGTCATGGAGGAAGAACGATAGCGGATGCAAATTCCAGGCCGAAAGGCTCGAGCGCGACTTCCCTTACATTTCGTTTGTTCTTTCGCATCCGCCCCTTCCTCCCTTCCTTATATCTATCTCCATATCCCACGCGCACCAACATGCATCCCCCACCCTCCTCTCCCACCCTCGCACCACTCTCTCGGCACAACCCCAAGAAATGCGCCACCCCTTCACCTCCTCCTCACCCTCCACCCTACCCTTACTCGCTTCCCTGCGCCAAACTCCTTCACAACCACCAGCAAGGCACAGCATGGCGGTCCTTCCGCGAGTCAAAGGCCGGGCCCCTGTGTCAAGAAGGTGCAGGAAGCCACGCGTGTCGCGCTGAACGGCGTAGGCACTGCCGAGGTGAAACATCGGGGTAATTGAAGAAGTATTGATCGGGAAATGTGGCTCTGCGGGGTTAGTCACGCGTCACATCACTCGCTCGTCAAAACAATGAGATGCCTTCAGCAGGTACTCAAAGGTGTTGCAGAGGGGGAAGAACAAGATGCGACGAGCAGGTGAGTGACCGGAATTCTTTAAAGTGTACATCACTGATACGCTTGTCGTCTATCTCTATCTTTCCTCATCCGGCCCATCACTTTCTCTCGTCCAATAGTCCCCCCATCCCTCGCCTAGCTTGACGATACATTGGCTCGGCCACGCCACTGCGGGCAAGACGGAACCCCCTCGGCCGCTTGGGTGTATTGAAAGGACACATTTTGTGAGTGGAAGGAACTCGTTGTGGGCGGCTGGGGGCTAGATCTGCGGGGCAAACAAGCAGCATATGAGGCTGACGAAATGTTCCCAGTTCGCGTCCCCTCCCAACACCATCACCATCACATCAAGCGGTGATCCTGTGCACAATCAGTGACAGTGAGTCGCTTTCCCCCTCATCTCTCCCTCCTTCCTCTTCCGCCCCTCGTCTTCCGCCACTCCTCTTACTGACGCCGTCCTAGATACCTACTGCTCGCCTGGCCCTCTCGCAACGCTGCCACTTACCCCATACACGTTCGGCTTTTAGTAAGCGCCCGCTCCTCGTGCCCACCTCGTTGTCTGCGTCCCCATGTCCCCCTCCTTTCACTCTCATTAAACCTGTATTTTCCGCGTGGGGCGGGCATTTCCTCTAGCACACTGAAGCTTACCTTTCCCTTAGCATCTCCCAGCTATCTGGCAGCTGTCGGTAGTGCACGTAAGCACCTTCTGTCCTTTCCATCGCATCTCCCCTCGGAAGCTGTTGCCGTCTTGCGCTGCGTCTCATTTGCTGCTAGGGCGTGGCGTAGAAGCCATTCTCAATTTGGCTTTTCCCCGAGCACCTTTCCACCCCGCACAGACAGCGCCACAAGCGGGAATGAAGGGGGGGGTGTGAGTCAGCCGACGTTTATTATATCAGAGGTAGGAGAGAGCC